AAATTATTAATAAAATAATAATTTATTAGTTTTAAAGTACAACTATTTAAAACTTGAATGACCAATTTAAAAAAAACAATTTCAATTCAATAATAGAATTGATAATGAGATGGTTCCAAATTTGAAAAAAAAAATAGCATTATTCAATTTTAGAATCAAAAATAGAATATGATTAAAGCTAAATTTATACTAAAATAGAATATAGCACCAGATTTAGAATGAGGTTGGAAATGCTCTTAGAATATAAGAAATATGAGTACTTTTCAGATCTGGTTTGGTTCAGTTTAACCTAAGTGTGAATCGATTTTAAATACTTAATTATCCAAAACTTATGCAAAATATCCAAAACAAATTAAAGACTTTCAGGTATTTCAGTTATCTGGTTAAATTTTCTAAAAAAATTATTTTTGTTTTGACAATTCTAACTATAGATTTTCTTTTTTTACATTTCTATATTGTTTAATATAATAATAATATATTAAAACAATTATATTTTTTACATATTTTTCATTTAGTTCATATTTTTTAAAAAAAAATTCTGCAATTTCTCTGTTACTATTTATATTATTAGCTAATCCGTTAGATTCAGCTAACTTATAAAAAAAATTCGCAAATTCCGCATTCCGCCAGATTCCATGGTTATCATCCACAATTTATATGACAACATTAACGATATAGTTCTTTTTAAAAAATATAAAATATTGAGTAATTTAATTGTTATGTAAATTAATTTCAAAATCAAATATCATGCCACATAAGTTAAAGGAAAGCATGATTTTTTTATATTTTTAAATTTTAACTTGGAAATCAACCATAAAATGTACTATAAGCTACTTTTCATCTATTTTTGGAGGTAGAACGGAGTGCAAAACCCAAAAGTTGAAAAGTAAAAATGTGCTGTTTCAGAAACTTTGACCTCAATCGTCACCATCCTCTTTGAGATTGTTTATCACATAGGTTGAAAAGCTCAGAACGTTATGTTTAATAAACGTTATCTCTTATTTATAACCTGGTTTTGAATTTTTGTTAATTATTCACAACGTCATGCATGCATTGATCAAATTTCCACGTTTTCATTATTATATCACCATCGTTTGTCTTTTGTATAGTCACTTCTGTACCACCATTATTATATTGCTTCCATCAATTCACTCTTCCGCCTTCCATTATTTCATTGATGACTCATATGCACTCAGCTATATTTCTATTCGCAACAGAACAACAGTGTCGTATATAGATCCGTTCTTTCTCATTTTCATTTTTTTACAAAGTTACACATTCTTTGGCTTTATTACCACGAATGACAACATACAGAGACTAAAATACTTGAAGCTGACACGCTGCAACGCATATTCATAACATTGTCAGTAACAGAGACATGATACATAATTTCCCCTGTTTTGTCACTTTATCTCACCACATCATTCGGTTTAACAGCATCCCAAAAGGTATATACTGATCTTCAAGTGTTAAACATGTTGCTCGCTGGAACGCTCCTCTTGATATCTCGCTCTTTCACTTCAGTTATGCCTTAATTCAAGAGCTATGTCGCAGATAAAAATGATGGTTGTACTTGGAGAGCTTGGAGGAAGAGATGACCACTCTCTTGTTGAAGCTTTAAAACAGGGGAAAGTCAACAAACCCGTGGTTGCTTGGGTCAGTGGGACTTGTGCACGGCTCTTCAAGTCAGAAGTACAGTTTGGTCTCGCAGTAAGTGGCGGGAAAGAACTATTTAAGCAACGCCTTTTTGTCTGTTTTCCAAATCAAAATAGTTCTTGAACACGATTTTTCAAATAGGGTGCCGAGATGGAGTCTGCACAAGCCAAGAACCAAGCCTCCCATGGATGCTGGACACTTCGTTTGAAGCCCTCGAATCTGCAATCAAAGAGACTTTTGAGAAACTGGTTGAAATAATGATTATTAACGACAATGATTATGTTGTTCTTAATTTTTAAATACCACAGTATTTGTCAACAAACTACGTAATCATAATTAACACGCAAAGAATTAAGACTGACACGTACTTGAAAACACCACGTGTCACTCTGTAGCCTCACTAGTGTAGATTAGGAGCTCGCCACGTAAATTAAATAGTCCTTGTTTGATTTTTGTGGGGTTACTTCACTTACTTGTGATGAACAGGTTTACAAGCAGAGACTTATAAAGAAACACAGAAGGTTTTAACTGTTCTTATCTCTATTATCTAGATACTGGTCATGTTCGTTTGATCATTTGACTGGATCATCTAGATGAAGATGAGTGTTTCTGTTCGTTTTTGTAATTAAACCAAAAATCATCCGGATGATCTATTTAAATGATTTTAAAAATTTAGGCTAAATTTTAAAAATCAGTTGGATGATCAAAATTGGCTCAGTTGAATGAAGATGATTCAGCTCAAAAAAACAAATGACGAAAATAACCTTCACTAAAATAAGTAATTACAACCAAAATCAGATCTATCTTTCGACTCTAGCGCCGTCTTCGCTCTCCCTCTCTCCGACGGCGACGCTGTTCTCTCTCGCTCTCTCCGACGCCTACGCCGCTTTCTCTCGCTCTCTCCGACGCCACGATTTTCGACTCCTCTCTCTGGCGAGTCTCGGGTAAGCTCCTCTCTCTCTCTCTCTCTCTCTCTCTCTCTCTCCCCGATGTCAATGGATTTTTTTGCTTTCTATTGATGGTTTTGGTTTATGATAAGTTTGTTCATTTGGGTTTTTTTGCTTTGATCCAATTGATGGTTTTGTTTTTGTTTCTCGATATGTCGTTGCATGTGATCCTGAATTCATCTGATAGATGGTTTTGTTTGCTTTGATCCGATATGCTTATATCTCTTTTTCTTTTGATCAAATTGGTTTAGGAAGTAATCATTTTCTCTGTTTTTTGCTCTCTCGTTTGTTTCTTTCTATATTTGTTTTGAAGCTCCGGTTGCTTGCGTTTATTGTTTATATGCCGCGTGTGTGAATGTTTTGATGGTCCATCTGTTCTTGCGATTATCACTAAACTTAGGATGACTCTCGTTGATGTATTTCTAGACTTGAGTGTTGTGTGAATGTGTTAAAGTTTGCTCATGATAGTCTCATCACTATTACTTCTTGTAGGTAGTTGCTGACACTTTTTCAGAGTTTACAATGACAACCGTTCCTGGTACTGATGTGAGTATCTTCCTCTCTAAACTCATATTTTAGTGATTGGTTTTCTGAAATTTAGATTGATTTTTTACAAAAACATTTGTTTGTATCGTCAACTAAGAATCTTGCTTGGAGTGATGAGCAAACCCGTTTCTATCTTCAACTAAGAATTGAAGAGAAACTGAAAGGAAATATCAGAAATCAGATTGTGAATCAAGCTGGAAGAGATTCAATTATGGACAAGTTCTATGACACATATGGGAAAAGACATCTATGGAAAAAATTTGGGATTAAGTTTACTACTTGCAAGAAGCAGTACGAAAACTTCAAGAGACTGACTCGTAAGTTTAGAAATACATCTGGATAGACCATTTGGATGAAAAATCTGAATAGATCTGAATAAACACATCTGGATAGACCATTTGGATGAAAAAAAAAAAACAAACACATCTGGATAGACCATTTGGATGAAAAATCTGAATAGATCATCTGAATGAAGATGATGGATGATCAAACGAACATGACCACTATCTGGATACGAGTGATAGAGCAGGCCTTTGTTTTTGTTGTTTTTTTTGATAAAGAGTAAATTACTTTCTTTTTGTTGTTCAGTTGATTGATGAACATAATTGAGTGCTCTCTGATTATTTATTCCATTTTATCATATCGTAGCTTCGTTTCTTTCATATTTAATAATCACTGTGTCAGGCTGTCACAGCTTCTTTGTCCATAATTGGCTTCAAAATGTAGCAGTTGTCGACAAATACAAAACAATTTTTTTTTTTTTAATCAGTTTGATCTAAACGACAAATCTGTAATTCTTTTAGTGACTCTGAACTCGTTCCTCTTCTTGAACGGGTTAGTTCTTGGATAGCACGTTATTTGTCATACGCAGGACGATTACAGCAGATGAGATTGATAAATTGAAGCGAAGGGAGGGAAGTTCCACTGAGCTTGGAGAGACATTTCAAACACAATCTTCACGTGGAGGATCTTCTTGTACAAATTTCTCAAACTCTTGTCTTGATCTCCCACTCGGATTCTTCTTCCATTCCATGAATTTCTTCGAAGCCTCTATGAATTTCTCCATGTGAAGCTGCTTCCACTCCTACCAAAACCAAATCCACACACATCAAAACCATTATGCAACACAAAACTGAAGGAAGAGTGTATATACTAAACCGGAGATAAACCACAAACAATGTTCACAGACTTCAGAAACCGAAATGAACAAAACAAGACATCCTCTAAATTTTCCTAATGAAAAGCAAAAACAAGGCTCCTGGAAAGTGCCGTAGACGAAGACATTGTGCGACGGAGATTGATCAGAACTAGCCATACTTCCTCTTCCCTTGCAAAATTATTAGATTTTTAGTTTGAATGAAAAATCTATGGCAGAGAGATAAATTGAGTGTGCCCTGTTTATTTATTCCCTCTTATCATATCTCATTGCGTAAGATTCGGTTCTTAAACAGTATTATGATTCGTAAACAGTAACAGTTGCCGACAAAACAAAAAATATCTATAGTTTTGGCTGCCTCTAATCACTTTGATAGAAATGATCTCTTTATGTCTCTCTCAAACTCTCCTCTCATCTTCTCATACTCTGTTTTCATTTCGATCAAAACAGCTTCAAAACATAGTTTGGTACTCTGTTTTCATTTTGATCAACATCTCCAGTGTTACTCTGTTTCATTCGATCAAAACAGCTTCAGATATTACTTTGGTGGGCCTTCACCCAAGGAAAGTCGACGCCAAATACAGATACACCATTCTTCTTTCTTTTCCCAACTGAGAAATTATTCATTTGTCCTCAATCTCTACGAGTTTCAGATTAGCTGTTTATTCTAGGTGAGTGTTATAAAAATGTAGTAGAAAAGAAAAGAGCATGCTGATGCTGTAATGAGAGAAAATCACAAGTTGAGGACATGGAGGAAGAGAAGGAAACTTAAACCATGTCATGACAGATACATGAGAAAGCCGAAATCTTTGAAAACTTATAGTATAGAAACAAACCTAAACATGTCCTTCTTGGTTGACTTGCACTAAACTCGGACGATAAGAGCAAACAAGTGCGGGACAATAAAACGGCGGAGTATACCCGGTTCCAGGGCAACGTTCATCCAAGACTCGCAGAGTTAATGTAACCGTCTCGAAGAATCAGGTTGAATAAGCTCGCAGTTAAGGTAAACTGTATTAAGGACTTTTTAAGAAAAAGTTAGGGGCTTGATTAATAATTTTGAGTTGAAATAGGGAAAAAGTGGAAATATGGTTAAGTCAAGGTGTGGGATCTGATGAGTTGTTGGGAATAACACATGTATGAGTTGTTTGGGCTTTACAACTACTTCAAATAATAGTCTATTTTGTAGGGCACAGTGTGTCCTCTATTAGGCGTAATCAAAACTAGGCCTCCAATTCACAACTCGAGTCAAAATATAATGTCTACTTACTCTAAAGGATTTGTCTGGCGTTTGCAGATCCGAGAAGCAGAATCAAGCAAATCCCTGGAGAATTTACCGTTTCCAGTGATGTCAGGCTATGTTTCTGAAGTTGTAAATTCAAACCAACATGTCTCTCGTTGTACTCTTACTCTGGCTTCTTCTCTATTTTTTGGGTTTCATGTTTACTCCTTCCTATGAATAAGTCTTTCTACTCACTTGGTCCTAAGTCTTTTCTATGGGTATTTAGACACACTTTAATTAATGGGTCGGTTCCCTTGTTTTGCAGCATCAAGAAAATGATGACGAAGAAGCTACATGAGTATAAATGTTGATGACATACATTAGAGATTATTCTTTTCCTCTGCAGATATACTTTCTCAGGTCCGTAAGTCAATTCTTATCATTTTCGTATAAATGTTTCTGTTTTGTCATGCTTCTCTATCTTCGATTTAATATATATCGTTTATATATAATAAACGAGAAAAATAACATAGTCACAAAACATATATAACACTAACAACTTTATATAATAGAGTAGTGTTTTTTTCCTCTTGCCCCAGTTTTTTAATACTTTAATCATGTCTGTTTGCAGCTTTATATTTCTGTTACCATACCAGGATTTACCCATCATTGACCAGCATGCTCTCTTTCAGCTTGAGAATGTCGTAAAAAAGCATTAAAGAATGTTACGAGAACTACCAATTCTTCCAAATATTCCAGGTACTAAACCTCCCATCATATTTTGGAACGATTGAACTGATCCAAGTTCCTAAGTCTTTTCTATGGGTATTCTCTTTAGATGTGTCACGTTTTATTTTATCTGCTTAAATGTGATATCACAGAGGCACCATCAACTAAAAATCTGGAAATACCATAAAATGATCTGCTTCATTCACATAGTTTTTCATTTGCCTGTGATGGAGAACATATATAGATTATCAGTACAAGACTTAGTTTGTTAAATTGAAACCTTGAATATATCTAAGAAACCCATAGATTCAGATTTTAGCAATTGGATCTCTATCTACTGAGGTGAGACGGACCGAAGTTGATGATGCAATTTGAATTACCGGTTTTGTCTGTTGGGTTTTGTTATTTGGTTTCGTATTGGTACACCTGAGGAGAGTGATTTCATGATTAGATGATCTGTGTTATTAAGTGATTGTATTCTTTATTTCAGATCATACAACGATAGTACCTCACCTAGCAGAAGATGTCTGCATACCGCAGATGCAGGCATGGCCTCTAAATTATTAAAGATGTGTGAAGCTCAAAATGAAATTTATAACATTGTCAGTAACAGAGACATCATACATATTTCCCCTTTCCCTTTGGTAACGTTGTTGTCTGCTTTCCCTTTGATTATCGATTTGGTAACGTTGTTGTCTGCTTTCCCTTTCATTGTAAACCTTTTTTATGAGCTATACTTACTGTTTGTCAAAACTTTACTTGAGACTGCACCATGCTGTGTTAAAAAGGCCTACTCTTGATTTATTTGTTTTGATCCAGAACATTGGTGGATATCCTGCGTTTTCTGTTTAGTGTAGCTCTTTAGGAAAGGTTCTGATGTTACAACTTTTCTGGAATTTTCATCGACTTTGGAAAAAACTATATGGTAACGTGTGAATTGTTATTCTAAATTAACACAGGAAGATGGGTCATAGTAAACTTTATGGTAGTGTGACCTTGAGGACCCTCCACGATTGAATTTGACTATAGAGTATAGTCTTATTAAGCAAACAAATCTCACAGACCAAGTAATACCATGATCACATTGTCGTCAAAAGCCACTACCTGTCTTTTATGTTACTTAGCCATGTCTGTTTGGTACCCAATACAAGTTATTTTTTTTTAATATATTTTATGGAATATTGATCCATCTGTTTATATGATGAACCGTAGCATATTATTATACACATTCAAGATATGCAAGAAACAATAATTTTTATTTGAGTAACAAGAAAACAAGACCATGCTTCGTAAGCAAGCTGATTTCCACAGACCTAAAACTCAATTAGTTTATGGCGTAGAGAATACAAACATATGGCAACAGAATCAGCAAACCCAAAAACACACTCCAACACATCTGGTTATGTTATAATTTCTAAAATATTTATTTAGTACAAACCTTGTTCATTGTAATGTTTGATTTACCTTGTACGTTGTACAGTTCATGTTAGTTCATCTTGTAGGTTATTTGCAAATGTTTAGATAAGATGAATCTAGATATTAACCGCGTACATAATAATTTTCGATTTCCATATACCTGATACACATTCATGTTCTTGTCAAATACCATAGATTTCCTCACCAGAGGCTCCACCCTATATGATCCATGGGAATATTCATCGAGTTTACTGCTATGCCAAACAGTTCATTGTGGTTGAACATCACAATCCAATATGCTGCTAATAGCCAGTCCTGCCTTGACCTCTCTATCACATCGTCGACTTCAGGAACCCTTCAAAAGTGTGCTTGAATGTTTAAAACCTAGAAATGATAACATCTAACACTTAATCTCATTAAAAGTGTGCTTGAAGTGCACTTGCTTTTGGCGCTCGTTATGAACCACTCGTTTCTATCGGTATTATAGCACGAGTCAACTCTGTAGACCCATTTGGTAGAACAATCAGGTAAAGAATTTGAATCTCAATCTACCTAATTTTTCGTTAATACAATTCGTGATTGTATGATGCATATCTGCATTACTTAAAAGAAAAAGCATCTCACTATGTATCCTAAAATGTTAATCTCAACTGCCTAAATCATGATCGTGATTGTATGATGATGAATCTCAGATTTTCTAAACTCATACCTAAATTGTTCTTCATTGATCTGCAAAAATTTCATCCACATTTTAATACTAATTATCCATAACATCTATTATACTAGAAAACCAGATCTCAGGATTAATGACGATTTGAGAAAACTACTTAGATCATTGAGTAAATTTTCACAGAAAATTAAAGCACAATCAACTTTGCTTAAGCAAAAGAGAAGAAAACATGAATAATACTAGATGTTGACGTAGAAAACCACATCTATTATACTTGAAAACCAGATCTCAGGTTCAATGACGATTTGAGAAAGCTTCTTAGATCATTGAGTAAGTTTTCACATAAAACTAAAGCACAATCCATTTCGCTTAGGTAAAAGAGAAGAAATCATAAATAATACTAGTAGATGTTGGACGTAGAAAACCAGTAAAAGCATAAACCAGCACCACATCTTAATACTAAGCATCTATTATACTAGAAAACCAGATCTCAGGTTCAATGACGATTTGAGAAAACTACTTTCCCATTGCGTTTTCCTCTGAGAATGAAGTTGCGGACGAAACCAGAGAGTAGGAAAGGCTTTCACAGATCGACTAAAGGCCAATTAGCGCATAAACAGGAGGACTTTCAAGGCCGTAGTTCACTGTCCGAGTCAGCCGCGACTCAGGAGCCAAGAAGGCTGTTCCACAACCATCATGTGAAGGAATATTGTGCTGAGTCGAAACAAGAGTTCAGGGAAGTGTTTCATCACTCGGGCTTCGAAAAGTCTAGTAATGTGAAGGAACAGTGTGCTGAGTCGAAACAAGACTTCGGGGAAGTGTTTCATCACTCGGGCTTTGGAAAGTCTAGTACTTGCAGTGTTGTTGCTCAAGCGTTGTTGCCTTTTCCTCTGAGAATCAAGTTGCAGAAAACTCCAGATACCGATTAGTGGGCAGTTAGCGCGTAAAAGCCAAGAAGATCGGCGCAACTATCAAAATTTGAAGATGGTAATTCACTGTATGGCTCACCAGAAGCTAAGAAGATCGTTTCGCAACAATCAAACTTTGGGGTGAGGCTGTTCGCATGTATGGCACCGATCCTCTTACAACTCAACCAATCAACAGAACTTGGATAGTGCTGGAGTTCCGGTACAGTTAAAACTTTTACTTGAGACTGCACCACGTCAGGTTGTGTTAAAAAGGCATTCTCTTGATTTATTTGTTTTGATCCTGCGTTTTCTGGTGTAGCTCTTTAGGAAGGTTTCCCATGTTACAACTTTTCTGTCTCTGTAATTTTCATCAGTCTTTGGAAAATTCTTTCCGATGTTAACACAGGAAGATGGCTCTAGGCTTCTGAAGGCGTGTGTTCTTTTATATATTCTTTTGTTCTCAATCTTCAGATAAGCTGTTTATTCTAGGTGAGTGTTATAAAATGTAATAGAAAAGAAAAGAGCAGGCTGATGCTGTAATGAGAGAAAATAACAAGTGGGGACATGGAGGAAGAGAAGGAAACTTAAACCATGTCATGACAACTTCAACTGAAACTTAAACTTAGAGCCGAAATCTCTGAAAACTTATAGTATAGAAGCAAATCTAAACATGTCTTTCTTTCCTTTTGCGCGACGGTAGGTTGACTTGCACTAGACTCGGACGATAAGAGCAAACAAGTGCGGGACAATAGATTGGCGGAGTATACCCGGTTCTAGGGCAACGTTCCCCGAGATTGGGAGCGTCTCCGAGACTCATAGAGTTAATGCATCCGTCTCCGAGACTCATAGAGTTAATGCATCTGTCTTCTCCAAAGATGAAAGCGGTGTGGTAACGAGCGGTCTTGGTGGGTTTATATCCGTCGAGATCAAACACCACAGCGACTTTATCTTGCTCGTCGACGAAGAAGCTCCCACCATACCACTCGTCAAACCGAACACCGGTGAGTGCAAATGGACTCATTTCCACACTCAAAAACTTGCTCAGGACACAGAGTTGGAACCCAAATCTCAAGTTTGCCAGATGAATATTCGTTCACAACCTCCTGGTAATACAGCACCGCAAGCTTCTCATCCCTTTCACATGAGAGGGTCACACTCTTGGAAAGCGTGGAAAGGAAGAGGCAGACGCTGTCCAAAACTCTCTCTTGTAAAATCAAAACAGAGTAAGAAATCTTCCTTGTCCCATATCATTTCATCTTCATCAGGTTCCATGTTACGTTCTATCTCATGAGCGTAATAGTAGGTGTTTCCCTCGACAGACACGCCGAGGCGAAAATCTTCAACTTCCCAGTCGGGAGTGACCTCGAGGACCTTCCATGAATTGGAGCTAAGTTCGTAGATTTCGTACCACAACGCATTCTCGGTCACAGCTGTAATAATTATCCACAAACCTCAAGATTTTGTGGTTACGGTTCATGTCATATCCGAGAGCATAGCTGTCATGCACGTTGAACTTTGTTCTGGGTCCGATCCACCTTGTCTGACACAAGTAAGGGTTCCACACCACAAGCTTCGACTGGTCCTTGGCGACGCATAACAATAAGCCGTCGCAGTGAAAGACTTTACATACCTCGACTTCATCAAACAAATCTACCGGCTTTGTAGATACATCAGCCGAGTCTTTTTTGCTCAGTGAACAGAGCTTTGAGTTCATCGCCATGAACCCTAAAACCTGCTGCGTTGCCGTCGCTGCTTTGCCCAAAATCAAGCTTTTGGTTAAAGCGTCCCACGTTTTGCAAGTTGATCGCACCGCTCTCAACGATGTTATTGGAATCCTCGAGAGTATCTTCTCTCCAACCAGTTTCTGTGGAAGATCGCACATCCTCGTAGCCATTCTTCCAACTCTCAAGACAAACGCCGCCCTCTTCTGTTTTTTGTTTTGGGTTGGCGTGTTCTGTCTCCCTAAACGTGTTTATATCATGTACTGTATATCCTTATTTATATATAAAAAATATAAATTATTAGGTTAAAAAGTATAATTTTATGTATTTCGATTACAAGGAAATTTATAATTAAATTAGGAAAATAATTAAAAACCAAAAAGGTAAAAAAAAAATTATAAAGGTAAACTGTATTAAGGATTTTTAAAAAAAATTACAGCAAAAATAAATACGTATGTATATACAATGTGTCAATGGCCTAGTGTCTTGACCCACAACATGGGCTTATAGGGCCCATTTACTCTCCTTTTCTTTTTTCATTCGAATTATTTGGTTTCCCGCTAAATTTGTATACCCACTCTTAAAACCCCTATCTCGAAAGTCGAAACAACCAAAAAAAAAAAGAAAAAACAAAATCAAATACTTAATTTCGTTTTCAACTTATCCCTCTCCCACCGGCGAATCGAGCGAGTCACCGGAAGCTGACTGACCGAAGAAGCGAAACCCGGTAGTATTTTCCCGTCTGAAATAGTTGTCATCACCGATTTAACCCGGAGAGTGGCGGTGATGGAAGAGGAGGAGCCAATGGGTGAGTTTCGCGGCGAGTCTGAGCCTGACCAGAGGAAATCTGGGACTCCGAGGCTATACATTAAAGAGCTCGTGATGAGGAACTTCAAATCATACGCCGGTGAACAACGCGTCGGACCTTTCCACAAGGTTAGGGTTTTTCCTTTCCACTATTCATCTTCAAAATTAGGCTCTAGGGTTATGAGTAGGACGAAATGGAAGCTGATTAGGTTGGGGTTTATCGGGGTTTTCATGAATTTGAGCTTAGGTTCCTCGTCGATTGCAGTCTAGCTTTCCTTTCGAGCTTCTGCTTTTTGGGTACTTTTAATTGCTGTTGCGGATTACATGAAGTTTCATTTGAACTTATACAGTATGTCGTTATGAAATTGAAAATCTGATTTACTGAATTTCGCTATCTGGGCTATCGTAATTCAGAGTTTTTCTGCGGTGGTTGGACCTAACGGGAGTGGAAAGAGCAATGTGATAGATGCAATGCTGTTTGTATTTGGGAAACGAGCTAAGCAGGTAACTAGTCTTCCAGTTTTTTCTTTTCTTCAGAGCGTGCTCTTTAACGGAGCTCTGATTGATTAGTCTTTATGTTTCTTTGCTATCAGATGCGTCTCAACAAAGTGTCAGAACTAATCCACAACTCAACCAATCACCAGAACTTGGATAGTGCTGGAGTTTCTGTACAGTTTGAAGAGATTATTGATTTGGTAAAGTTGTTGTCTGCTTAACTTTTTTATGAGCTATACTTACTGTTTGTCAAAACTTTTACTTGAAGCTGCACGATGTGTTCAAATGCAAACTCTTGATCCAGAACATTTGTCGATATCCTGCGTTTCTGTTTGATGTTGCTCTTTAGAAAGATTCTGAAGTTACAACTTTTCTGTCTCTGTAATTTTCATTGACTTTGGAAAAGCTTTCTAGTAACTTGCATTGTTCTTCTGAACCAACACAGGAAGATGGCTCGTACGAAACTGTTCCTGGAAGTGATTTCATGATTACCCGGGTTGCATTCCGAGATAACTCGTCCAAGTATTACATCAATGAAAGGTCGAGCAATTTCACTGAAGTTACCAAAAAGTTGAAGGGGAAAGGAGTAGATCTTGACAACAACCGTTTCTTGATTCTTCAGGTTTCCACTTTAGAGTGACTGTCTTTGTATTGTCATATTCACATGTGTCCCCTACTAATATTGTTTCTTGGATGGTGACAGGGGGAGGTAGAACAGATATCACTCATGAAGCCGAAAGCACAAGGTCCCCATGATGAAGGTTTTCTTGAATATCTCGAGGATATCATTGGAACTAATAAATACGTGGAGAAGATAGATGAATTAAACAAGCAGTAAGTGATCCATGCATTCTAAAATTTCTTTTGAATGACCAATCCCCAAGAATTGCGTTTGAGGCGCATTACTTGAAATGAAAATGCAAACTCACCTACTTTCTTTTTGTTGCATATGCAAATTTGTTATTTTTTGAATGAGTTCATAGTTCACTAGGCATATTTAGATGTACGTGGTTCCTGACTTGTTGCATGTTATATTTATAACTACATGCCTCTCTGAAATTTAGGCTTGAAACCCTCAATGATAAGCGGTCTGGAGTTGTACAAATGGTGAAACTAGCAGAGAAAGAAAGAGACAATTTAGAGGTTTGTATACGTTTTCCCTTCTCGTATGTGATCAGGTCTTTGTTGTACTTGTTAATAAAGTGTTTTCTGGAACAGGGTGTGAAGGATGAGGCGGAGACTTACATGCTGAAAGAGCTATCATATCTTAAATGGCAAGAAAAGGCTACACAAATGGCATATGAAGATACTTTAACTAAAATTACTGAACAGAAAGAGAGCTTGCAAAGTTTGGAAAATAGTCTAAAAAATGAGCGGTAAGCAGTAGTAAATTTCTTTGAAATATCAACTAAATTTTAGGAATTCGTTTATAAAGATAGCGTAACATTGTTGTTTCAGAGAGAAAATGGATGAGAGTAATAAGGAGTTGAAGGGATTAGAGTCTGTGCATGAAAAACATAAGAAGAGACAAGAGGTTTGTCTAAATTCCAGATGTGTTCTGCTCTCATGCTTATAGCTGACGTGCCAAAAGTAATTTTCTTTTCTCTTCCTTTGCAATGATTAGGCTCTTGATATCGAACTTAAAGACTGCAAGGAGAAATTTAAAGAGTTTGAAAGGCAGGACGTAAAGCATAGGGAAGACTTGAAGCACATGAAGCAAAAAATCAAGAAGCTCGAGGATAAACTTGAAAAGGTTGGTATTATAGAGGATAAACTTCTTTATGTGTGCATATACCTTTTTTATTTTTGGAGCAAATAAGTGTGCATATACCTTACATGTGTTTTATGCAGGATTCATCCAAAATCAGTGATTTGACAAAGGATTGTGAAGACTCGAGAAATCTAATACCTAAACTTCAGGAAAATATACCAAAGCTTCAGAAGGTCTTGGTAGATGAGGAGAAGGCATTGGAAGAAATCAAAGAGAAAGCTAAAGGTATGTTATGGTTTAGGATCTTATCCCAATAATGATGAGTTGATGACCTTCTTACAATCCGTGGCAGCTTCTTTAACAACATTGCAGTAAATAGGACTTGGAATTGGTGACTTGTTAAACATACTAGTAGTACCTGTCTAGAATGATTAGCTATGTGCTCAAGATAAGCTTGTTCAGCTAATTATTCTGTCAATTTTGCTACAGTTGAAACTGAAGGTTACCGGTCTGAGCTTACAAAGATTCGTGCTGAATTAGAACCTTGGGAAAAAGATCTAATTGTGCACAGGGGAAAGCTTGACGTTGCATCATCTGAAAGCGAACTCTTGAGCAAGAAGGTACATCCATATAGTAATACCGATTTGCTTCGAGAATTTTTACTTGTCAACTCATCTTCAAAAGATTTGCCAGAAAGATTTCAATTAGTTAACTCCAGCTGCTTTGTTAAAGAATCTGTTTGCTATGTTCAAATCTTTCTATGCTTGCCAGAGCTGCTTTCTATCAAATTGTTTAAAATACTGTTGGACAACTATATTTGTATCCGTTTGAACATTACTCCTTTATTATCGTAGCACGAAGCTGCTCTGAAAGCCTTCACAGATGCTCAGAAGCAGCTCTCTGATTTATCAACGAGAAAAGAAGAAAAAGCTGTAGCAAGTACCGCTATGAAAGCTGATATAGAGAAGAAAAAACTTGAAGCAATGGAAGCTCGGAAAGTGGAACAGGTACTTTTCTCAGGATATGTATTATTTACAGCTTGGAATTTGAAACTGAGAGTCTACTTCTTAACTATTGCAGGAATCACTTAAAGACCAAGAAACACTTATTCCACAAGAGCAGGCAGCTAGAGAAAAAGTTGCTGAGCTAAAATCAGCAATGAACTCTGAGAGGAGTCAGGGTGATGTTTTGAAGGCAGTTTTACGAGCGAAGGAGAACAATCAAATTGAAGGAATATATGGAAGGATGGGGGACTTGGGTGCGATTGATGGTGAGTATATTGGTCTATCTTCTAGTAGAAACCTAGCTCTGTCAATTAATATTGCAAATGCGATTTTCTCCCTGTAGTATGAAATATGAAATTTTAATTGACAATAATTTCATGTTAAATGATTTTTAGATGGTAATCCATAGTTGCTTGTATAAATGATTTTAAAAGTAATGCAAAAGCTATCAATTATTAACATTGATTGTCCTGTGCAGCAAAATATGATGTCGCCGTATCAACTGCATGTGGTGGCCTTGATTACATTGTTGTGGAAACAACTTCTGCAGCGCAAGCATGTGTTGAGCTGCTGCGGAAGGGAAATCTTGGCATTGCAACGTTTATGATATTGGTATTGCATATTAATTTCCGTTTATATGTTTTGGATCTTACCAGACTGGTCGTTTTCTTATAAGTGCCAATTTGAAACAGAAGAATCGTCATACAAGGATCTTTTGATCTGTGATACTGAGTTGGTCTTAGTAAATTATTATAGTTAGTTAGGAAGTTTGGAGCCTGTTATGGTGGATTTGAAATCGGCAAATAGAATGCAATAGGTAGTGTTCTGAGTAAATTCTCAGGTGGAGTGAATCCATAGCTTTATATTCTTTCTCCTAGTAGGTTCTAGTTACCCCATTTGCAAATAAAGAGTGAATATTCCTTATACAATATTCGTTTTTGCAGGAGAAACAAACCCATCATTTACAAAGATTGAAGGAGAAAGTGAAGACACCCGAGGATGTTCCGCGCCTCTTTGATCTGATCAGAGTTAAGGATGAACGTATGAAACTTGCATTCTATTCAGCCTTGGGAAATACTGTTGTGGCAAAGGATCTTGATCAGGTATATTATTTTTTGCTCATTAAGATTGGCTTAGTAACAAAAATCATTTACTGTCATTAATAATTATGAAACCCAAAATGAGCTATATACCTCTGAAATACAAAGTTTGTGTGGACTCAAAGCCGAACTATTATATACAACTTTTTTTGGTTATTAGGCAACACGTATTGCATATGGTGGGAAAACAGAATTTGGAAGAGTTGTGACTCTTGAAGGCGCTCTCTTTGAAAAATCTGGAACCATGAGTGGAGGGGGAGGCAAGCCACGTGGGGGAAGAATGGGAACCTCTATTCGAGCCACTGGTGTGTCTGGCGAAGCTGTTGCTGATGCAGAAAAAGAGCTCTCCAACATTGTTGACTTGTTAAGCAACATCCGTGAAAAGATTGGGAATGCTGTGAGACAATATCGAGCTGCAGAAAACGAAGTCTCTCGCCTGGAAATGGAAATGGCGAAAAGCCAAAGAGAGGTAAATCTTCTGTGATTTTATCAGTGTATCCCTCACTCTTGAGATATATGATCAAGTTGCCTTAAATGCAATCAAATGTTTCCCTTTTTTTTTTTTTTCCAACTTTTAGATCGAAAGTCTCAATTCAGAGCATAACTACCTCCAGAAACAACTAGCTTCCCTGGAAACTGCATCTCAGCCAAAGACAGATGAGATAGACAGGCTTAAGGATCTCAAGAAAGTCATCTCCAAAGAAGAAAAAGAGATTGACAAACTGGAGAAGGGTTCTAAACAGCTGAAGGATAAAGTGCGTAGCATCAGTAAATCTTTTATAAGTTTTGAAATGTGGCAAATCCTCCTTCTTCCTATCTGTTTTTGGTCTAAGCAGCCATGTTTGTGAAAATTCTTGAGGCTTTTTTCCCGGGAGCTTAGTTCAGTAGTAAATGCAGAATCTATGGAGTCGTTTCTTTTTATTATTATCTTGTATATAGAACTGAGTGGTGTTTCTTATTTTAGGCTTTAGAGCTGCAAACCAACATAGAGAACGCTGGTGGGGAAAAACTGAAAGGACAAAAGGCAAAGGTTGAGAAGATTCAGACTGTAAGTTTGCCTTTTCTCTTAGCATGCTGTTAGTGAGCTCACGTTGCTGTGTGTCCTAATTTATGTTGCACATGTTCAGGACATTGACAAAAATAATACAGAGATCAATCGCTGTAATGTTCAAATAGAAACAAACCAGAAAATGATAAAGAAGCTGACAAAAGGGATTGAAGAGGCGACTCGAGAAAAGGAAAGGCTAGAGGGTGAAAAGGAAAAGTTGCTGAGCGTTTTCAAAACTATAGAACAAAAAGCATTTGCGATTCAAGAGACGTATAAAGAAACACAGAAGGTTTTAACTGTTCTTATCTCTATTATCTAGATACTATTTGGATAAGAGTGATAGAGCAGGCCTTTCTTTTTGTTGTTCAGTTGATTGATGAACACAAAGACGTGCTGGATGGAGCAAAGTCCAGTTATGAGAAGCTGAAAAAGTCTGTAGATGAGTTGAAGGCGTCTAGGGTAACAAACAACTGAATCCTTCTCTTTCTTGCTGGTTGCTCTGTTACTTTGCGTGGTTTTCATCATCTAATACTTTCGTCGAACACAGGTCGATGCAGAATTCAAAGTCCAAGATATGAAAAAGAAATACAATGAATTAGAATTGAGAGAGAAGGGCTACAAGAAGAAACTCAACGACTTGCAGATTGCACTCACAAAGCATATGGAACAGTACGTATGGTGAACCCCCACCCATCCATGATACTTACCTCATTTTCATTTCAAATACATCGTTTCTCCATTGCAGAATTCAGAAAGATCTTGTTGATCCGGATAAGCTTCAAGCAACATTGATGGATAATAATTTGAACGAAGCGTGTGATCTAAAAAGGGCTCTTGAAATGGCTGCCTTACTGGAGGCTCAGCTGAAAGAGTTGAACCCAAATCTTGACTCAATCGCCGAGTAAGAACTTAGTTGTTTTATCCAGCGTAATCCAATCGACACGCGTTTCTGTATCTTTCTTGATTGTTTGCTCCAATTACTTACAGGTATCGGAGCAAAGTGGAACTGTACAATGGAAGGGTAGACGAACTTAACGCTGTAACCCAAGAACGTGATGACATAAGAAAGCAGCATGATGATTTGAGAAAGAGAAGGTATTCAACACTTAATTCTTCTCCGTATTTATATATGTTTCCCATTTGTTCTCTGACTCATGAAGCTAACTTTGATGACTATGAATTCATTTCAGGTTGGATGAGTTTATGGCGGGATTTAACACTATATCGTTAAAACTGAAAGAAATGTATCAGGTTAGTGTACCTTCTGAAAAGTGTTAACAACTCCATAAGCTTGGAAGATAACAATAGAGTCCGGTGTATAATAAAGATATCCAGAAATTATAAGAAAACTGCTTACAACTACAAGGCAATGAATTATGATGTCTTACTAAGCTGCTTAGCAAATCTTTCAACTTGAGCTTAATCCTTTTTTTTCCCTCGCCAATCTAAAACATTTTATCTGTTTCCCTGATATATTTTACCAATATGATGCTGCAGATGATCACTCTCGGAGGTGATGCAGAGCTCGAGCTGGTAGACTCGCTGGACCCTTTCTCAGAAGGTGTGGTTTTCAGTGTGAGACCTCCAAAGAAGAGCTGGAAGAACATTGCAAACTTGTCGGGTGGTGAAAAGGTATTTCTACAAAAGCAAGCAAACATCTTTTACACTTCATTTCACCAGTCTGCCTCTCAACTCTCTTAAAAGACTTCTCTCTCTCTCTAACCTACAGACACTTAGCTCACTCGCCTTAGTATTTGCACTCCATCACTACAAGCCCACACCGCTTTACGTCATGGACGAAATCGACGCCGCTCTGGGTAACACTCCCATTCCTCCATTGTAATTTCATCTGCGAGATTCTCTTGATCCCTGAAAAAAAGGTTTCACTCTTTTTTTTCCATCAGACTTCAAAAACGTATCAATCGTTGGACATTACGTGAAGGACCGTACCAAAGACGCTCAGTTCATTATCATCAGGTCAGTTCAATCTCCTTATTTATTCCAACAGACATGAGACAGATTAGTTCTTAATGTATTAAGTCTATTTGAGTGAAGAGGTTTTGAGATCTGATATATGAACAATGGTGCAGCCTGAGGAACAACATGTTTGAGCTAGCAGATAGATTGGTGGGAATCTACAAAACAGATAACTGTACAAAGAGCATAACAATCAACCCTGGAAGCTTTGCAGTTTGCAACAAAACGTCTGCTTAAGTCTACCAAATGAACGTATCTCTCTACATTAACCACTTCTACAAGTAATATAACTCATATTGTATTGTTAATTGTTTTCCTTGTGTGGCGTTTTCTACTGTTTAGTGAACTTTGGAGTTTGCTTTTTTTTTTTTTTTGTTTTAAAAATGCTGGGATTAACATTAACAATGTTATAAGTTATAACATCAAAAATGTATAATATAAGTATTGGTTAGTAGGCCTACTTGTAGACCAACCTCCATTGGTCAAACCATTACCATAATTATTTGTGTTTTGTATGATATCTGACTTTTTTCAAAGCACAAGTGGCATTTTTTTTTGTTACAACTCGCACAAGTTACATTTGATTTTTCCATTTTTGTTTGTTTCTTCTAAAAAAAAACTCTTGCATACAACTCAATGTCAGCATGCATACGGTACATATACAAATACAACTTCATTCTTTGGTGTTCAGTTTTCAACTCACAAAGCTCTGATTATTGCCTTTGTATTGAGGCACTTTTATTTGCACTAACAGATAGATAAAGAGAGTTACTTCAACACATCTTCTTGATGGGAAACAAAACAAAAAGCAAAGTTCTTCAAGCAGCAGGAGGATCTTCGTTCACAAATTTGGCAAACTCTTCCCTTGTTCTCCCATTAGGATTCTTCTTCCACTCGATGAACTGCTTCGACGCCTCAATGAACTTCTCCATGTGAAGCCTCTTCCATTCCTACCAAATCACACAAGTGTTTTCATCAAAGTCATTAAGCAACACAAAACTTAAAAAAGTCTAATTAGTTTCTTGATGAATCAAGAAGTTAGGGTAGAAAAAACTAACCTCGAAATCCCATTCTCCATACAAATCAGGATCATCCTTGTTGGCCCATATAAAGGTTTCCACTTGCATCTTCTCCGAAGTGTCCTGCATAAACGGAGGTTAAAAAAGCTTCAATCTTTAAGCAAACATATTATCAGGGTTGATATCAGAGATCATAGTAATGTAAATTAGAGATGATGGAAGTGTTGAACTTACAGTCAATACAACTTCAACAGTCGTCCTCACGTATTCATCTCCTTCAATCATATCTAAATTCTCAAGCTGAGCGTCTGTTAATCCAGTTAGTACCTGCATCAAACAACCCAAACATCTTTTCTCCAGTGTTTCACAAGCTTCAAAAACTGAAATGAATTAAACAGTAATAAAACAAAAAACAAGATATCCTCTAATTTCCATAATGATAGACGCAAATCGAATTATGGTAAAGCAAAAGAGATGAAATCAAAAACCTTTCCGTTGATAACTCCGTTCTCAGAAGGAGAAATACAGGAATGCAAACGCCCTTTGACCCTATACACATGACTGCAAAATAAAAAAAAAACAGCTTTAATCAATCTCCAGCACTAAGAAGAAGATGGGAGATGGCGAAGAAAGAAACGTACAAGCCGTGGAGTTTGGCGGAGAGGATGACCGGAGTGCACTCGAGGATCAAGCTCACGATGGCTGGCTCCTGGAAACTGCCGTAGACGAAGACATTATGCGACGACGGAGATTGATCAGAAGTAGCCATCCTTCCTCTTCCTCTGCAGATAATGAATTTAGTTTGGATGAAATTTATGAGAGAGAGAAACAGAGAGATTGATTGCTCTCTGTTTATTTATTCCATTTTATCACATCGTAGCGTAGCGTAGCGTCGTTTCTTTCATATATAATAATCACTGTGTCAGGCTGTCACAGCTCTCTTTTTTTAAAAAGAAAATTTGGCTTTAAAATGTAGCAGTTGCCGACAAATACAAAACAGTTTTTTTTTATTAGTTTGATCTAAACGACAAATCTGTAGCTCTTTGTATTAAATCTGAACTCGTTCCTCTACTTGAACGGGTTAGTACTTGGACAGCACGTTATTTGTCATACGCAGGACGATTACAGCAGAGGAGATTGATAAATTGAAGCAAAGGGAGGGAAGTTCCACTGAGCTTGGAGAGACATTTCAAACACAATCTTCACTTGGAGGATCTTCTTGTACAAATTTCTCAAACTCTTGTCTTGATCTCCCATTCGGATTCTTCTTCCATTCCATGAATTTCTTCGAAGCCTCTATGAATTTCTCCATGTGAAGCTGCTTCCACTCCTACCAAAACCAAATCCACACACATCAAAACCATTATGCAAACACAAAACTGAAAATAAAAACTTGTGTGAAATGTATTCAAGTATTCAACCTCGAAATCCCATTCTCCATACAAATCAGGATCATCCTTGTTAGTCCATATAAAGGCTTCCACTTTCATCTTCTCCCAAGTGTCCTGCATTCAATTGAGATTAAAAAGCTTCAATCTTTTTTTAGCAATTTTAGGATCATCAAAGAGCATTAGAGATGATGAAACTAATACTTAACAGTAAATACAACTTCAACAGTCTTCCTCACGTATTCAGCTCCTTCGATCTTATCTAAATTCTGTATCTGAGCATCTGTTAGTCCAGTTAGTATCTGCACCAAAACAATCAAACCATATTTAGGAAAGTTTCTTTCCTTCATTCAATATCTGAAATGTTCAAATCAAACACAAGGAAGAGTGTATACTAAACCGGAGATAAACCACAAAACAATGTTCACAGACTTCAGAAACCGAAATGAACAAAACAAGACATCCTCTAATTTTTGTCAATACTCGATAATTAAGTGCAGCCGAGAAAATATTTCTTGAGTTGAACGATTGAATTTGACTATAGAGTATAGTCTTATTAAGCAAACAAATCTCACAAACCAAGTAATAACATGATCACATTGTTGTCAAAAGCCATGAACTATTTATTATGTTACTTAGCCATGTCTGTTTGGTACCCAATACAAGGTATTTTTTTTTATATATCTTATGGAATATTGATCCATCGGTTTATATGATGAACAGTAGCATATTATTATACACAGTCAAGATATGCAAGAAACAATACTTTTTATTTGAGTAACAAGAAAACAAGACCATGCTTTATAAGCAAGCTGATTTCCACATATCTAAAACTCAAAGCGTAGAGAATACAAACATATGGCAACAGTATCAGCAAACCCAGAAAAACACTCCAACACATCTGGTTATGTTATAATTTCTTAAATATTTATTTAAAGTACAAACCTTGTTCATTGTAATGTTTGATTTACCTTGTACGTTGTACTGTTCATGTTAGTTCATCTTGTAGGTTATTTGCAAATGTTGAGATAAGATGGAGAAGACAAACATCAAAAAAGCTAAGTGAGAAACCAATATTACTTGATCCATTTCAGAACCTAGCTTCTCTCCTCTCCTACGAAATCTCAATCTTCAAACGAAGCGATATTAATAGCAATGGGTCAATTGACAAATGCGGTAATAAACCCCCCCCCCCCCCCCCCCCCCCCCCCCCCCCCCCATTTTTTGCAGATTAAATTAAATGTTAAATTTAAACATAGTTGAAATTACCCCATTTCTCTCTGTTTCGTGGGCAAGAAGATAATGTACTGTATGAATGATTTTTGGTTTGCTTCTGGTTCCTTTATAACCATTTTTGTAGGATTTTCCTGATAATGTTTGGGTTATCTTCCTTGTCTGATTTTTGTGGGGTTACATTGTGATGAACAGGTTTACAAGCAGAGACAATAAAGAAACACAGAAGGTTTTAAGTGTTCTTATCTCTATTATCTAGATATTATCTGGATACGAGTGATAGAGTAGGCCTTTCTTTTTGTTGTTCAGTTGATTGATGAACATAATTGAGTGCTCTCTGTTTATTTATTCCATTTTATCATATCGTAGCTTCGTTTCTTTCATATTTAATAATCACTGTGTCAGGCTGTCACAGCTTCTTTGTCCATAATTGGCTTCAAAATGTAGCAGTTGTCGACAAATACAAAACAAATTTTTTTTTATTTTTTATCAGTTTGATCTAAACGACAAATCTGTAATTCTTTTAGTGAATCTGAACTCGTTCCTCTACTTGAACGGGTTAGTTCTTGGACAGCACGTTATTTGTCATACGCAGGACGATTACAGCAGATGAGATTGATAAATTGAAGCGAAGGGAGGGAATTTCCACTGAGCTTGGAGAGGCATTTCAAACACAATCTTCACTTGGAGGATCTTCTTGTACAAATTTCTCAAACTCTTGTCTTGATCTCCCATTCGGATTCTTCTTCCATTCCATGAATTTCTTCGAAGCCTCTATGAATTTCTCCATGTGAAGCTGCTTCCACTCCTACCAAAACCAAATCCACACACATCAAAACCATTATGCAAACACAAAACTGAAAATAAAAACTTGTGTGAAATGTATTCAAGTATTCAACCTCGAAATCCCATTCTCCATACAAATCAGGATCATCCTTGTTGGCCCATATAAAGGCTTCCACTTTCATCTTCTCCCAAGTGTCCTGCATTCAATTAGAGATTAAAAAGCTTCAATCTTTTTTTAGCAATTTTAGGATCATCAAAGAGCATTAGAGATGATGAAACTAATACTTAACAGTCAACACAACTTCAACAGTCTTCCTCACGTATTCAGCTCCTTCGATCATATCTAAATTCTGTAGCTGAGCATCTGTTAGTCCAGTTAGTATCTGCACCAAAACCCATCAAACCATATTTAGGAAAGTTTCTTTCCTGCATTCAATATCTAAACCACAAAACAGTGTTCACAGACTTCAGAAACCGAAATGAACAAAACAAGACATCCTCTAGTTTCCCTAATGAAAAGCAAAAGAGATGAAATCAAAACCTTTCCATTGATAACTCCCTTCTTAGAAGGAGAAATACAGGGATACAAACGTCCTTTGACCTTATACAGATGACTGCAAAAAAACCAACAAGAAACCAGCTTTAATCAAAATATATAAAGCAAACAAAATAAGAAGAAGAAGATGGGAGTTGCGAAGAAAGAAACGTACAAGCCGTGGAGTTGGGCGGAGAGGGTGACTGGAGTGCATTCGAGGATCAAATCCACGACGGCTGGCTCCTGGAAAGTGCCGTAGACGAAGACATTGTGCGACGGAGATTGATCAGAACTAGCCATACTTGCTCTTCCCTTGCAAAAATTATTTGATTTTTAGTTTGAATGAATTCTATGGCAGAGAGGTAGATTGAGTGTGCTCTGTTTATTTATTCCCTCTTATCATATCTCATTGCGTAAGATTCGATTCTTTCATCTTTAATAATCACTTTGTCAGATAATTGGCTTCAAAATGCTATATTATGATTCGTAAACAGTAACAGTTGCCGACAAAACAAAAAAGTCTTCAGTTTTGGCTGCCTTCTCTCTCTCTCTCTCTCTTACAAACTCTCATCTCATTTTCTCATACTCTGTTTTCATTTGGATCAACATCTCTAGTGTCACTCTGTTTCATTCTTGGTTTGGTGAAAGTCGACGCCTTTGAGGCTAGAAGACATATCAAAGCCAAATATAGATACACCATTCTTCTTCGTTTTCCCAACTCACAAAGCTTTTCTTATTTGCAGTAAAAGCTATGATCAAAGAGAGTGATGTCTACAAATCTTGATGGGAAAAATAAGACAAGGATCAGTAAAGACAGGACAGAATCTTCACGCTTGGGGAGGATCTTCTTGTACAAATTTCTCAAACTCTTGTCTTGATTTCCCATCCGGATTCTTCTTCCACTCGATGAACTTCTTCGACGCCTCTATGAACTTCTCCATGTGAAGCCGTTTCCATTCCTAATCCAAATCAAAATCCTCACAAGCGTTTCGCCAAAAACCATTAAGCAACACAAAGCTACTACTAATTAGTGTTTAGGTTTTAACCTCGATATCCCATTCTCCATACATGTCAGGATCATCCTTGTTGGCCCATATCAAAGCTTCCACTTGCATCTTCTCGGAAGTGTCCTGACATTAGTGAAATTTTAAAAAGCTTCAACCTTTAAGCAAATCTCAATGATCATAGAATGTGATTAGAGATGATGATGATGAGGAGCTTACAGTCAATACAACTTCAACAGTCTTCCTCTCGTATTCAGCTCCTTGAATCATATCCAAATTCTTCAACTGAGCATCAGTTAATCCGGTTAGTACCTGCACAAACAATCAACAATTGCAGATAAACAAGAATCAAAGTTCACAACTTTGAGAAACTAAAACCACAATGAAAGACGACATCATCTAATACTCTCAAATAAAACCTCAATTTGTTCGATTGAAACCCTAACACCTCCCAATTGCAGAGAAAGCCAGAGTTCATAGAAGTAAGTCGAGTTCTTGTATGTGTTCTTAGTTCATTTTCCGCCAAAGAAAACAAAAAGGAGATGAAATGAAAAAGACAAAGACCTTGCCGTTAACTAATCCGGACTCAAAAGGAACAATACAGGGATGCAAACGTCCTTTGAGTCGATACAGATGACTGCAAAAAACAAAAAAAAAAAGAAAAAAAAAACCCAGAAATCGGATTTTCATCAGTCTCTCCACGAAACCTAAAGCAAAAAAATGGAAGATCGGAGATGTAAAAGAATGAAAGGTACAAGCCGTGGAGTTGGGCGGAGACGATGACCGGAGTGCATTCGAGGATCAAACTCACAACGGCTGGCTCCTGGAAACTGCCGTAGACGAAGACGTTGTGCGACGGAGATTGATCAGAGCTACTCATCCTTCCTTCTGTGAAAATTCAGAGGTTGACTGATTTGGTGCTCTGTATCATCTCGTAGCTCACTTATTCGTTTTCTCCCTTCTTTTTCTTCATAGTATTTTAATACTATTTCATAGTCAAAATTAGGCCTAATCACAATAACATTAACCATTTTTTATGTTCTAAATTCTACAGAGGCCTACTTTTTAGACCAATCCATCAGTCAAAGTCCAAAGCAGTTGCAATTTTATTGCATTTTGACTTTTTTGGATTAGTAAAACACCAAACACAAGAAAAAAGCTTAATCCAATATATCCTTTGTGTATAACTTGCATCAAAATTTCATGAAAGTCTTCAATGTCATCAACCAAAATAATTAAAATTTCTCAATGAGATCGAATACTTTGGAGAGTAAAGTTAGCTTGTAAATAAAATGATAATTGAAATTGTATATGTAGGCCCATAAAAACCAAAATGAAACAAAATAAAAGCTAGCTTCGGAGAGTAAAGATATCTTTTAGTTTGGCCCACTTTAAATCCAGTTTTGGGCTCTGACCAGGCCTATAAAAACCAAAGTAAAATTAAATTAAAAATCACAGTTAGGCCTAATCACAGTAACATTAATCATTTGATTAGTTTTAAATTCTAACGAATGTTTATTAGTATTATGTAGGCGGGCCTACTTTTTAGACACCAATCTATCAGTCAAAGTCCAAAGCAGTAGCATTTTCAATGCATTATGACTTTTTTTGGAATTTAGATAAGATTTTGTCTGAATAATAATGACCACCCTTAATAAAACAACATAATACTTCTAATTAATAGCCTCAAAGAGATTAGGAATTATATACACATACAAGTTACAACTCAATAATGTTCGTAGTAGACAATACACATACAAACTCTTCTTCGTGTAGCTAACTCACAAAGCCCTCTTATTATTTCCTCTCAAGTTAAAGACCCTTTTTATTTGGAGTAAAAATAGATAGAAAGCAGACAAAGTTCTTCAAGCAGCAGGAGGATCTTCGTTTACAAATTTGGCAAACTCTTCCCTTGTTCTCCCATTAGGATTCTTCTTCCACTCGATGAACTGCTTCGACGCCTCTATGAATTTCTCCATGTGAAGCCGTTTCCATTCCTACCAAATCACACAAGTGTTTTGACCAAAACCATTAAGCAACACAAAACTCAAAAAAAGACTTAAGTAGTTTCTTGATGGAAAATCAAGAAGTTAGGAGACACAAAAAAAACTTTTGTGAGTGGATGGTTTTAATTAACCTCGAAATCCCATTCTCCATACATGTCAGGATCATCCTTGTTGGCCCATACGAAAGCTTCCACTTGCATCTTCTCGGAAGTGTCCTGCATAAAGTATTGGAGATTAATTAAAGCTTCAAAATCTTTAAGCAATCTCAGGATCATCAAAGATCACTAGAGATGATAGAGTAAGAGTATATAATACTTACAGTCAATACAACCTCAACGGTCGTCCTCACGTATTCATCTCCTTCAATCATATCCAAATTCTCAAGCTGAGCATCTGTTAATCCAGTTAGTATCTGCAACAAACAATCAAAACCTCTTTCTTCAGGTTCTTAAATCAAGAATTGAGATATCAGAGAGAGAAAATTTCGAAAGACTATAAAGATGTATTTGGTCTTAGTTTAAAGTAAGAAACAGAAAGATATGAAATCAAACCTTGCCGTTGATTACTCCGTTCTCAGAAGGAGCAATACAAGGATGCAAACGTCCTTTGAGTCGATACAGATGACTGCAAAATATTAAAACCTTAGAAATTATCAATCTCAACGAAATCTAAGAAAAAAAAGGAAGAAGATCGGAGAAATGTAAAGAAAGACGTACAAGCCGTGTAGTTTGGCGGGGATGATGACCGGAGTGCATTCGAGGATCAAACCGACGACGGCTGGTTCCTGGAAACTGCCGTAGACGAAGACGTTGTGCGACGGGGATTGATCAGAAGTAGTCATCGTCTTCCTCTGAAATTGAGGAGAGAGAGATGAGTTAGTACTTAGTAGTAGTGCTCTGTTTATAATCTCGCATGAGTACCGTAGCCTACTTTCCTTGAATCCGTCTTCCTTATTTTGATAATGACACTGGATCTTTTTTTTCTTCTTCTTTATCTTTAACATGTGAACATCATCGTTTTTGGAGTGACCCGACTTATTTAGCAGACCCAAATCTTAATATCATTTCTTTTTGATCAATTAAAATAAGTCAATTTGATCTTGTAGTGTACGAAGCAAAATTAACTAGAAATGATTTTTTTTTGTAGTTAGCGTCACACCTTAAACTACAATAAAGGTAGGCCGTCAAAAAAAAAAAAAAAACAATTACAAATAAACATAAGCCGTCAAGTAAAGAAGAAATTACAATAAATGATTGGTAGATTATTGTGATATGAATGTATTTGCCGTAGTTTGTGTCCATGTTAATTTGTAAGCAAGCAGTGATTTTTCACTTTGACTTATTCCGCCTTTGTTTTTTTTTTGGTATTTAATGATCACAATAAGATTTTCTTCTTCATCCAAATAAATCAAACGACCGACATATTTAGCATAGTCAAACTGTAATTATCATTTTTCAGCTAAACTAAAATGGTATTATGCTGTAGCGTATCCGGATTTGAATCCAGATCACTAATAATACAACAACAATAATACAAACCATTTTGTTACATGTCCCTTTTAGTAGTTATTGTTAAATCTTAAACTGCAATAAAAATTGGGTGATCAAATTAGAAGAAAAAAAAATTAGCAATTTAAAATTATTTCATAAAAGAAGAAACTAATGCACAATCATAGCAATGAATTACATAACATTTTGACTTATAAGTAGAATTCTTGAGTCTCAATACAATAACTCACAAATCAGAATAAAAGACTCAGCTTCATGTTCCAACAACACACAAACACATTATTCAAAAACACTCTTTACTTACTCCTTTATTAATCATCAGACAATCACAATGATTGTGCAACATCCTCTCTTCTCATCCCATTTGGATTCTTGTTCCATTCCAACACATTCTTAAACGTTTCCACGAATTTATCCGCATGAATCACTCTCCATTCCTACACACAACATTAACCATCTGTCAGTGTCGGTTCGAGACAAATTTAATCTGTTCTGGTCCCCGGTCCAAAGAATTTATGGACTTAGGACCCAAAACTCTTCAAATATGAAAAGATATGCATACTTAAAAGAGAAAACATCTCATCATCCATAAAACAGAAACCAACCTCGAAGTCCCATTCTCCATACATGGTAGGATCATCTTTATTGATCCAAACATAAGTTTCCACTTTCATCTTCTCTGAATTGTCCTGCGTTGTCATCAGAATCCTCCAAAACCTCAGAACCAAAAATTGTATTAGAATTTGTGATCAGAGACAAACAAGATACGGTTCCAGCGCACTTACCGTCCTTACAACTTCAACTGTGACTCTCTCATAATAAATACCTTCAATGACATCAAAGTTGTTTAGCTCAGCATCGGTTACTCCCGTTATTACCTTTTTTCACCATAAAAACCAAAACTTTACAAATCCCATTTCGATCAAAACCCTAGCATCCCAAATACATTATTACTAAAAACAGAGCAAAGAGATCGAATCAAACCAATCCGTTGACTTTTCCCGACTCAAACGGGACAATACATGGATACGAACGATCTTTGAGTTTATACCTGTGGCTGTAACAACCAAGAAAATCGGAGTTAAAAAAACCAGCCAGAGAGAGAGAGAGAGAGATGTAGAAAGAGAACGTACTAGCCATGAAGAAGGGCGGGAACGGTATCGGCGGAGCGGTCAAGGATCACGGCGGCGACGGCGGGTTCAAGAATACTGCCGTAAACGAAGACGTTATGAGACGGAGGAGCATCAGAGCTACTCATCTTTCTTCCTCTGGGTTGATTTGATTTAACAAAATAGCAACAATGAATGTAAATGATGATTGAGATTTCTGAATCTATAAGCACCTGAGAGAATACAATAGTCCCAGTTTAAACTTTAATCATTTTTTTTTGTTCTTCAAATAGTTTAATCATGGGCTTTTTAGCATAATAACTATATTGGAGAAAGAATCCAAGAATATAGCTACGTTGTTCTAAAAATTAGATAAGTAACTATGTCCTAAAGAGAATTTACAATAAACTCCTTCAGTTTTAAGCGGGAACATATACTGAGATATTTTCTTCTGACGTCATTAATATACCATCTGTGGGAGGCGGCAAAATTGGCGGATGCTTTTCAACTGATCTACTCTCACCAGCTGTACGTCAGCTCCCTAACCGTCCAATGAAACGCCGCATACAATTATGTGGTGAATTCAAGGTACATATGTGGTTTACTATATAATAGTTCTGGACTATACCATAGAAAAGTATATAGTATATCTTCGCCATAGAAAGTATATAGTATACAGCATCCAATTTTAAATATTGGGAAACAATGCACAAAATACCACTACGTATGGAGAGTAGGAGTTTCTGATATTCTGGATCATATGGTTTTTCATTTCTATCGCATACTACAAGTTTATGATAGTATTTTGAGTAACATAATATTTCTCAAATAAATAGTATAGACTTGCTGGAAAATTATAAAAGTGGTTCCTTGAATTTCTATATATATTATACAGAACTGTACCCAATAAAATACCTCATACCATCCTGTGCTGAATTCAACGTACATATGTGGTTTACTATAAAACGATTCTAAACTATACCATAGAAAAGTATATAGTATAGCTTCGCCATAATTTAAGATAAATTTTATGTTATATTTTACAGTATCCAATTTCGAAAATTGGACGACGATGCACAAGATGCCACTACGTATGGGGAGTAAGGGGTTTCTGATATTATGGATCATATGGCTTTTCATTTTCAAGGCATACTATAAGTTTATGAAATGTGAATCATCAAACAAATAGTATAACCACAGACTCTTTCTATATACGTGTCAAACATATGCTAAATTTTTTTCTTATTTTTTACTGCTAACGTCAGCAAATATCTTTCAATCGAGTTTAAACTAAGGGTCTTTCTGTATATATTGTAAAATATATAAGCAATATAATAGCATCTATTTTGATATAGTTATTTGTTAAATTTAGATCATTTATATGGTCATATGACCCAATTTCCCAATAATCATTCACTTTCTTTTTTGGTTATTGTATATAGCTAGTGTCTAGTGACAAAACTTATATTCTTAATTACTAATGTCTTTAATTCACTTTTTATAATCGATGTTTGGTGACCACAAAAACGTATGCATGATGCTTGAAACTTTTCTTCAAATATCTATTTTTTTATATGTTCACAAAAAGTATACAGTTTTGTATAGTGTTTCTTTTATATTGGGTATCTTTCTGGATCAACTAGGCACTAGCTACAGTTTATTGTTCAAAATTAATACATACGAGAAGACATATATAATGAAACGCATAATTGTTCACAATGTTAAAAATAACGATAAAAGACATAAATTATTTGAATTATTGTAACATATGTAGTTGCTACTAGGTGCTACAACACCTACCAATATATTAAAACATTCAAACACTACCAACTATTTCTCGAATTGCAATGTAAGTGCCTAAAACTCCAATCGGAACACTCATCGCCACCATACCAAACAACATTATAGTCTCGCACCCAAATTTCTTGTAATTTCCAGTGATCTTCAAGTAACATATGCATGGCAGAAAAATTGAAACCGTCACACTCAACAACGCTCCAACCAAAGACATCATATAGCCGAAGAAGGGAAGTGTCTCAGCGACGACCACACTACTTGTAATGAAGAACGTACTTATCAAGAGATGTAAGTATGTCTTTTTGGCGTACCGTGAAGGAAACCAATCTTTGATAGTGTTCACCGTTGGCGTGATCATCAAGGCGTATTTAGCTATAGGGTTCACGAGGGTTGTGTATATTGCCACCTTTGAGCTCGTCTTATGAATCGGAAGATTCAACGTTATCTGCGATAACGTTTGTGATCCATACATTAAGTAGCCCAAAACCGCCATTGATGTGTAACCTATGGTGCATAACACAAAACTTATAAGTAGGACCTGCCAAAACGGTGAAATTAATACTATTAATATTTTTGAAATAAATCATAAAAAAGCATGAAATTATGCAAAGTGGTTTGTAAGATAATGACTTACATTGTTGAACTGATGTTTGCTTTTCATAGAGGAATACAAAGTGGGCAAAACCGGATGTGCACCATAGCAAAAAGCATATAAGCTCAAAGCCGTAGGGATTCCACTCCAATTAATCAGCTTTCCTTTTTGACTAAACCCAATTCCATCAAATGCTCCAACCCAAGATATTGATCCAAGAGTCACCATCGTAGCTAAAACGCCACTCATAGAGACATAAGACAAAACGCTTAGATTGTCCCACCATAGTGTTGGCATGATGACGAGTGCCACAGTGGCCATGAAAGATTGTTTGCCATTCAATCTCAGTCCGATCATTTTGATGTTGAACCTCGGGAAAAGATTGTGAAGGTTGTCGCCTTCAAGGATCAAGAAACCCGTGGTGACTAGATAGAGTTCTAGGTGCATGAAGAGTGACACAATGAGTCTTCCTGTTCTACCAAACGCGCGTTCTCCGATATCCGGATATGTTTTGATGCTGCGATCCGCGTTCATACATTTTGTGATGAGTAGAGAAGTGTAGAAAGCGGTTGCGGCTAGGAGTAACAGGAGTGAAAGACTCAACCATCCTCCACGAGCTAGTGAATATGGCACCGATAATATTCCAATCCCTAATACATTCTCAAAACTACGTGTAATTAGGGACAAAAACATGCAATAACCATGTTACAAAGAAGAAGAGTGAAATAACCAAGACGGAAACAAAAGTAACCTGAGAGAGCATTGAGTGCGTTGAAACAGGTCTTATAGAAAGAGGAAGATCCGTCGTTGTCATTATGTTTTTCGTGGTTATCTTCTTCCATTGCTGACATCTAATAGAAAGATAAAGTATTGGAGATAATAATAATATATGTATTCTGATGAAAAGAAAGATAAGAAAATAATCGATATGGTTAGAAAGTGATGATAAGATTCATGTTTTCTTCAACGTACAAAGCGTATATATATATATATATATATATAATATTACAATATATCAAGTAATTAGTATGACTGATGCATTATTTCCTTTTATATAGGGTTCATCTAATCAATCCGAAAGCAAGAGAACCATTACTGATTGTGTTAGGAGTTACGTGTGCATTATTTTACAACAATAAATTCATAACTTTGCGAAGATGATTATTTCTTAAAGAAAATGAAAGCAACCCCTAAACCCGATGTACCAACCCTAACAACTTCATCAAAAAACTTTTTTACCTTTTTAGACCATTTTTTATAGAAGAAAGAAAGGATTGATTTTATGCTATTCATGAATATGTGATTATAGCCTCAGAATTTCAAGGGTTGCTTATACACAAACATGAAATTTATTGAGAGATCACAAAGACGATTCAAAACACCTTAAATTTACCTGGAAAATCAGATGGGAAGAGACTAACTCTGAAGGCTGAAACCGATTAATATCCAAAGGAAATCTTCAAATCAAACCTGAAAAAGAAAACAAATTAAATTGAGTTCTCGTGAGGAGTTTGTGAGAACTTTTGTAGCTTTAACAACACGAAAAAGGAATGAGTGGAGTCACACTTATGAAAGTAAGATAAAACTTTTATAGGTGATTTAGCTTTAAAGTCCTACACGATAGGGTTTCAATGCCAACTAATTAGATTTTAGCTTTTAACTCAAATCTAAACTACATTCTAAATTACAGACGTTTGAACCTCTCTAATCTATGAAGTCTAAATTCTTTAACCTAAATTACAGCCTATCTTTTTAATTTAAACTTCTTTATATACTTTCCCCTAAATCTGGTACCGCAAAAATTAAAAATTGAATAATGGGAGCTTAAAAAATTATTGAAACACAGAAAATTATACTGAAAAATAAATAATCTCTTGGAGGATACTGTTAAGTTGTTCGACAATAGTAGAAGAGCACGATGCTTATGGAAACAAAATTTGAAAACCTGGTGGTTTAAGAAATATTGAAAATAATAGAGACAAACCGGGAAATAGGTAGAGAGCCTGATGAACTCGAGAAATCACACGATCTCGCACTGATTTGTGTAATTGCTTAAGTCACAAAGCAGGTGTTCGAAGAGTGTTTTCGTTTGTGAAGAAGAAGATCAAGAGCCACCTTGAATATTGGTAATTAGATATTGTTATTGGATATGCATGCGCGTTACTTGGTATTTTGTTAGAACTGTTTTTACATTTAAGAAAATTAAGCGAATTCCTAATCCTTATATCTGAAGGAAATCATCTAACCTGAAAAATAAAACCAAATTATATAAAATTTATATCAACCAAAGTACGTTTAGAATATGTTTAGCGATTGAACATGAAGACAAAAATAAAAATAAAATGATATAATCTTGTAAATATTTTGAAACAATCCTTTTTTTTATGCTCTAAAACTCAAAAAATGTGAAATGGAAAATCAATTTATGATCGATTGTGAGACAAATGCTATATAAGCTTACAACAAATAAGAACTCGCTGTCATTTAAGAAAGTTGAAAAATGGAGACAGCAGCTTGAGACTTGTTTCATTTTTGTTGTATCAACTATAATTTATATGCGATGGTGTTTGTCTGCTTCATTGCTTATCTCCAGTCGACAAAAGACTCGCAAACCCTTGTGAGAGACTTCGCTCGATCGCGCAAGGTGACTTGGATGAACATCTTGTTGGACTGTTGTCTGCTCTGATACGTTTCAAGTATGGCGACGAATAAGAGTTTTCAGTTTCTGATACTTCTTCTTCGTCGTCTTTAGATGATTTTCTCTTTAAACCTGGAACATTTCTTAAACCCGTGTGGCGGCGGCGATAATCTTTGCGGTGCTTATCTAACAACATACAGAAGAAAGAAGATGATAAGAATCTAGTGTCAAGAAACTTCAAAATCTCTTGAGATTATAACTTATAAGAAACCACACATACCTGAAAGAGGATCTTCATAAAGGCATGATTCAAATTCTGTATCACCACAGTTACAGGACAAGCCAGTGTTCTTATTCGGTCCTAAGATGCTGCGAATCAGCAACAAAAAGGATTTGACTTTTTTTATTGTTCTAAATGTAAAGAGTAAAATGTTTTCGTTGTTGCTCCAAACCTGTACATATGCTCAACAAAGTCATCGATGAGGACAGGCCAAGCACCTGAAGTGAAACAAAAACCATCAGATGAATCAAAACACAAACAAATATACCATAAGATGAATCAAAACACAAACATACACTTGTTTTTGATGAGACATCTAAAAAATCGTACCTTCGGAGTCATATCCTTCTAGATTCTCATGCACACAACGACTAAATGCCAAGACTTGTTGCCAAGTATCTTCTGAAATAGTGTGCCGTTGATTTTTCTACAAGTTAGCATCGTCTTCTTCTTGTTAGATACACAAACACAAGAGCCATTTTAATAAAAAATAGTTAACACTTATGAAAAACAAGTACCTCAATAAAGTCACACCAGCGGTTAAGTAACCTAAATCTCCCAACCAAAACAAGTTTCCATGCGGTAATAGCTCTACCTACAGCTGCACAACATTCAATGGAGTTTTATTATTCTCTCTACAGGCGAAACGCCACATAGTTGAGGAGATTAACCAAAACAATGATTGAAAAAGAACAAAGGCTCTTACTTATACTCTTCTGTCCATTCTCACGGCACATAAAGAAAACAAAATCATATAAGCGGGTAAACTCGGTGAAGTCAACCTACAAAGAGGAAATTTCGAAAGGTTAGATCACAGTTCAATTGTTTAAGAAGATAGTTAAGCCACCAAATTAAGTAAACCGATTGTGTAAACTTGCCATTAAGTCCAGCCGTGACATCAACTTGAACAGTTCATCAAAAATGGAGTTTCTGCAATGGGATGCAACAGAATTTAAGCGAATGGATTTAGCACAAGACGAAAGTAAGTTTTGATTCATATGATAGCAATAAATAGCAACCACCTTGCTTGAAACTTCTTCTCGACTAGACTCAAGAGCTGATTTAATGCTTCTTTAGAATAATTAACTCTTTGTGATTCCTCGCCGGGTTTGTATTGAATTAAAAGTTGACCTGATCGAATATCTGCAGGAAATATCACACACGGCCCTTATAAGATACCTAGCCGAAGCAAGAAACTTTACACACAATTCAGCAAACTCAACTTCTCATAAGCAAAGCAAGAAACTTTCATTTTGAAAAACAATGTATCAACCTAGTTAAGTACCAATACCAATATAGCACTCAAAAAGAATCCACTTTTCTGTAGCAATGTCAGAGAAAGAATGATTCAAAGGTAAAAAACCAGAGAGAGATCTTCAAGCAATCGAGCTAAACTTAAACAAAACTAAGTGTACGATTTTAATTAAAAAAAATCAAACTTTCACACACGAAAAGAAAACCCAAATCCATGGACAAAGATATCTAACAGATCGAATAGAAATACAAAGTATATATGACTTTACCACAAAATCTGCGGTATATCTCGAATATATCGAATCGACCCGAAACCGGCGGAGAAGAATCCATGGATTCTCTCTCGAGCTCGAAGCTTCTCTGTGAAGGAGGGCGATCGAAACTCGAGAGGGATCTTCCAAGAGAAATCGGTGCCAAGAACAGATCAGGAAACCACAACCAGAAATTCGATTAGGCAAATCCCAAAAAGCAAGAGTCAAAAATTACAAAGAGGAAAAGGAAAATCTTTGTTAATTCACTGACTATCGCAAAATAGAAAGAAAAAAAAAAGGCTCTATTTAGAATTTTTGCAAATCTTCCATCCTGCTTTCAAATCCAGACCCAAACACAAGGCCCGTTACAAAGTCAAACATGCTGATATTTATCGGTTGACTAAGTGTTTATATGGAAGTTACATGAATCTTAATTCTCTAGATTAATAAAAAAAATTTTCCACAAGACAACTTTTCGTTTTATGGTAACTAGGTTACTACCCGTATATTAGGTAATTTTGTAAAAATATTTAAAATATATTCTATAATGTATTACCTTTTGAAAAATATTTGACTATCTAAAAAAAATTTAGTTAAGATTTAAGAAAATTTAGTTATTTTCATTTTTTATTTAAATTTATATAAAAAGGGATTTACATTACTTTCGTCTGAGTTTTGAAAAATAATATTTTCCATTTGTATAATATGTGAATCTAAGCTGTTACAAAACAATAAGGCTGTAACTGGTGATCATAAGGAATGAAAGAGAATACTAAATTTCTTATCATTCCTTAAAAATTACACTATTTAAAAGGAATATATTATACCTATGATTCCTTCTCATTCCTTATGTTTTAGGGACCTATAATATTAATATATTTTTTATAAAAAATGAAAAGGAACAATAATTCCTATTATCTTGTTCCTTTTATTCTTTTTCCTATTCATTCTTATTGTTATTTATATGGTCACCAGTTAAAGCCTAAATACTAGTAGATCTAAAACATGAAAATAATTTTTATTTCCATTAATAAAACAGGTAACTAATTTAATTTACTAAACCAATAAAGTTATCAAATTATTTATGATTGGTTCGATTTAACTTCAATTTAATTTAAATAATTTAAAATAAAGTGTTTGATAATAAAAGATAGCACACAAAAATAAACCAATAAAAATATTTGAAAAATGAGATAATGACACCTAAGTTAATGCTTTCTGTTATATGTTAGATACTTTTTTAAAAACAAAGATTCACTTAAATTTTGTCATATTTATTTAAATCAAATTGTTTAAATTATATATAAAAAATCTAAATATTAATTACAGATTTTTAAAACATTAAATATAATTAAAAAATAAAAATTAGATAAGTTTTTGTTTGGTTGTAAGAAAGATTGTGTTTAGTTGCAAAAATAAATTATTTAAGTTTTTAACCATTATTAAGCTTTAAAAATTTCAAAATTCTGAGATAATGACACATAAGCCATTATGCTTACTGTTTAATATATGTTTTTTTGTCAACATTTTTAATATATGTTAGATTTTTCATTAATAAAACAGGTAACTAATTTAATTTAGTAAACTAATGAAATTATCAAATTATTTGTGATTGGTTCAATTTGAATTCAATTTAATTTAAGTGATTTAAAATAAAGGGGGTGTATTGAAACTAAAATTTTAGAGAATTTGAAAAGATTTTAGTTTTAATGAAATTTTAGATGATATTATGTGGATTGGAAAAATTGATATGATTTGATATTAAAATTATATGATATTCCACCTAGAACAATGAGATTTGGGTTTATAGATTTTTAACTAACAAACTCCACCAAATCATTTAAAAGTACTTAATATTTTTTTAAAATACACTATTTAAAATATTTCCAATAACTGTGGATTTAATTTAATTTTTATAAATTGTTGATTGAACAACATGGATTTTTAAATGACTTTAGTTACTTTACATAAATCACACACACACACCCCCCCCCCCCCCCCCCCCCCCAAAGTGTTTGGTAATAAGGATAGCATACACAAATAAACCAATAAAAAATATTTTTTTAAAATACACTATTTAAAATATTTCCAATAACTGTGGATTTGATTTAGTTTTTATAAATTGTTGATTGAACAACATGGATTTTTAAATGACTTTAGTTACTTTACATAAATCAATACACACACACCCCATCCCCCCCCCCCCCCCCAAAAGTGTTTGGTAATAAGGATAGCATACACAAATAAACCAATAAAAAATATTTGAAAAAGGAGATAATGAAACCTAAGCTAATGCTTTCTGTTTAATATATTAGATACTTTAAAAAAAAATAAAGTTTCGTTTAAATTTTCTGTCATATTTTTATTTAAATCGAATTGGTTAAATTATATATAAAAAACCTAAATATTAATTGCAGATTTTTAAAACATTAAATGCAATTAAAAAAAAAAATTAGAAAAGTTTTTGTTTAGTTATAAGAAAGATTGTGTTTGATTGCAAAAATAAATTATTTAAATTTTTATCTATTATTAAAATTAAAAAAATACAAAATTCTGAGATAATGACACATAAGCCACTAATGTTTCATGTTTAATATATGTTTTTTTTTTTTGAACATTCATGTTTGATGGGCTTTATCTCTAAAGCGTATTATCTCATTTTAATCTCATTAACAACGACGTTTCTATTAATGCTTTGAGATGGATGAACAGAAAAGAAAAGTGCTGATGAAAATCTTGAATTGTTTATCATCAAGTTGGTTTCAGAGATGGCAAGCCTTAATGTAATATGTATCTATTGAATTCTCTATCAAAACGGTATGAATGTCTTCGAAATACACTGAAGTCTGGAAGTGGAAGGGAGACCTTGACCATGCATGAGTTTTATGTTCTACTTAAAGCTTGAAGGAGGCAAATTGTTAATGAGAAACAACACTCACATTTGATTGCATTCGCAGTATAATAATATGCCGAGTCAAATTAGGTTGGAAAAAATAAAATAAAAAAAGTCTTACGTGAATTCAAAGTCTTGGTATTTTCGTGTTTTGATGTTATATAGTTTTGAAGTCCAGATAATTAACAGATATATATATATATATATATATATCCAACCAAATCAACGAAAATATCCTAGTCCATCTATATATCTCTCTCTGTTAATTATCTAGACTTCAATTATAAGAAAATCATATTATCACAGAAATATTCCCTTTAGTAATAAAAAGAAGATTATTAAACAGATAAATTAAAAAAAAAAAAAAAAAAAAAAACAAGTCAAGCTGACCAAACTTTCCTCCAAATAAGACCAGAAAACTCCCAACAATTTCAGTAATGTTTGAAGAAATTAAAAGAAACTTCCTCTTTTCCAATTTCTTTTCAAACACGGACTTTGTCTTTGTCTTTACCTGCACTACCACCTTCCTCTCTTTTTCCTTTTTTGAAAACACTATCATGTTATGTATATATATATGATTCATCTACACACACAAATTCTATATCTTCAATATCTCCTCCAAGACTCTTTACTTAGTTCTCTGTGATTCTTTTCATTCGTTCATTGATCATATATACGCAACCATGGAGAAGACTTTCTTGTCGGAATGCAAACAGTCCTCTTCTCTCCCTTTCTTTGCTCTGTTCAACTTGTTCCTCGTAGGGTTTTGCAGATGGGTTTCTTCTGCTCGCATCTTTTTCTCCAGATTCTTTCCTCTTCTTCAACACCACCAACGTGCTTCAGACAAAAACAACAAAGATGTTGATTTATCAGACCAACAGCAGAGTCTGATCAAACACATAGAAGAAGAACAAGAAGCAGAAGAAGATGCTGGTCTCTGTAGAGAAGAAGCCGAGATGGTTATGAGAAGCTTAGGGCTTTTTCCCGACCGAGAAGGCGAGGAGCTTCAAGAACGGTACACTGCCAAGGAGGTTTCGAGTTTGTTCCAAGAGAAAGAGGCGAGCTTGGAGGAAGTGAAGCAAGCTTTTGAGGTGTTTGATGAAAACAGAGATGGCTTCATCGACGCTACAGAGCTTCAGAGAGTTTTGACAATCTTGGGTTTCAAAGAAGGATCTCACCTAGAGAATTGCTCGGTTATGATCAGATCATTAGATGGAAACAAAGACGGAAGAATCGACTTTAACGAATTTGTGAAATTCATGGAGAAATAGCTTATAAACCTTTTTAAAAACATTATATTCTTTTCTTCTTTTAACACATCTTTGCTTCTTAATTCTTATCTTTCTTCTGCTTTTTTGGGATGAGATTGTGTAAAACACTTAAAACATGGTTGTTGTCAATATTAATCAGACTTTCATGATAACTTGAGGACTTTTGAGTAACTTTTCCGAAACTTCCAATTTGAATCCGCTATGATCAAACTCCAAGAAATCATATCTCTTTGCGGCATTAAATCGAACACCTTGCGCGCACATATCTTGAATCTATTCTCACTCTCTCTTGTAAACGCACAACGACGGGGAACTGATTCCGGCTTACCGGCGGGACAAAGCGGACATGGTGGGGCGCCAAAAAAAGCAGTCTTTCGGTATCCAAGAGAATTCACATAAGCGTTGACGAAGCGCGTTGCTCGCCGTGGTGTGGGCCTGATATTATATTACATGTGCATAAATTAAAAGCTCCAGAAGCTTCTGTAGGGTCTTCGAAGCTTCATTCCGAGATCGCCGAGCAACGACCCTCGTCGGGAATTCGATTTGAGGTAAGCTTACTTCTTACTGGAATTGAGATTTGACACCCCCTTTATCGGAATCAGATACCTTGTCAAAGTTCCGAGATTTGTCTGTTTTTCGACCTTCTGGGTTTTCGCTGTTTTGATTATGGCACTTGTATCGTAGAAGCTTCAAATGAGTATAACTAGAGCCAAAGATTTGGGGCTTCCATTGATGAATCTCGTTAGACTTAGAGGAACACCAATCTTGGAGCAACTCCATTTGGAAGAACGGCTTCTCAGAACATCTTCTGATAATTGGTGCATCGTTAACGATGGAACCAATGTCCCTACCATTGTCATGGGAATGTCAGGGTAAAAAACTCTTGATTCCATCTTTTCCTTTGCTGCCTTTGTGGGTTGAAGAAAAAAATGTTAACTTTGAGCAAATCGGTGTCTCCTCGTTACAGGAAGCCTTCTCAACTTGTTGAGCTTGGACCTGTTGTAGAGGATCGAGTAGCGGTGATTAAAAGATTCACGGGAGGAGGAACGGTGATTGTGGACAAGAACACACTGTTTGTGAGTTTGATTTGCAACAAGGACGATGTTCCAAGTGTACAGCCTTATCCTCGTTCTGTCATGGCGTGGAGTGGTTCGTTGTATGGTGAAGTGTTCAAGGGTATCAATGGTTTCCAGCTACGTGAGAACGGTGTGTGAAACTCTTTTTAGAATGTTCTAGTTAGTTACTCTGGCTTATGATTCTTCATCCACCATGAAAAAAGGTTTAAACGGTTCCTCTTTCTTGGTATTTTGGATTTCTCAGATTATGTTTTTGGTGATCGTAAGTTTGGTGGAAATGCTCAATCAATAATTAGGAATCGATGGATACACCATACGTCATTTCTATGGGACTACGATGTGAGCAACATGGCGTACCTTAAGCTGCCTTCGAGAGTGCCACAGTACCGTTTGGTATGATCCTTAATTTCATCTTGATCAAATGTCTTCAAAATTAATTACTTGATCCAAAAGTCTTTGTGATAATTTCGTGGGATTTTAGTTATGTATTTGGTAACGTTGCAGGAAAGAGATCACACAGATTTCGTGTGTAGAATGAAGGATTACATTGAAAGATCGGATTTTCTCGAGAAGACAGTAAAGGCTGTGGGAAACCAATTCACACTGAAGCAAGTGAACCTTGAGGATATCGATTCATATGCAAAAGGAGAACACTTAAAGACCACGAGGCTCCTTACAATGGAGGAACTCGAAGAAGCAATGGCTGGCACAACTCAGAACGCGTGAGCGTGCTGCTTATGCTAGTTAAGTTTTTACTCATGTGGAATGCGAAACTGCTATAGTTTTACTTTATCCTTGATTCTTTACCTTTATCTCCATTCTTAGAGAATTCCATCCATGGTCTAACTCATAATTCGTAAGAAATATATGTCCTGATGTTTGATTTTGCAATATGTTTTCAAAATTTTGGTTAAGAAATTCAATAATTAGCACATGGGGAAAGAGAAAAGAAGACACTTGATTTCGTAGCTTGTCAAGTTAATGGCTAACAAAAGACAGAGACTTTGATAATAATGACGGGAGTAATCAAGTTCTTGATTAGCTCCCACTCTTTCTCTAAATGTTGGGGCTTTGGTGGCCTACCCCAAGAAAATCTATAAATGTTGGAGCCTTGATGGTCTCAAAGTATCTGGTCACCGTTGTATTATCTGTAGATGATAATGGCAGTGATAATGACGAGGATGATGATGATGATGCTGATTCCTGGATGGAGACACGCAGTGTCAGTGCCAAAGAATCTGCAGGGAAGGTTGGGTAGTGATGATGCGGGCCCTGCATCGGCATGCGCGAAGAACAATACTCTTCTTGGAGATACTGAGCTTTCAGGTTAGTTGTTCCCTCTTTTAGCATTTTCCAGCTGTACTTTTCCAAATTCATATCTTCATCAAAACACACACAGAAACATCAGAGCTCAAAACTCACCAAGCATCAGTTCAATTAATCTCCCTAGAACTTGCCATATTGCATTACAAGTCTACAATAGGAAATGGCAAGAGATTCACTGTAATGATTTGACTCCAACAAGATAATGGAAACTCACTGGATGTGTATCAAGGACTAGAAAAAGAGACAAACCAGGAGAGAGATTGAAGGTTTTGTGATCTGCGGTAGGTTTATGTGCAGACCCATTGAATCTCCTGATGTAAGAAGTTGATTGCTGTCTCAGCTTTCTTGCCATGAGGACATGCCAGTGGTTCTTCAAGGCATTGTCTGTTCTTCCGTTGAAAAGCTTAGTAATCAATGCCCATTTGTTACCAAATGCTCTGTGAGCTGCAAGTAGCCTCTCCTCTTCCTCAACACTGAAAGCTCTCTTGTTGATCCTAGGGTCTAGCTGGTTAAACCACCTCAATCTGCAACTCTTGCCTTTTGACAACCCAAAAAAGCAAGAAGAAAAAACACATTTTAAGTACACTTTCTCCGGAAAATAGCAGAGGAAAGATTTGTAACCTTTTCTTGTTAAAATGCAGGTTTTTTTACCTGTTCTTCCTTCCATCTTCTCTGCAATGTGGTTCCAGTTTTGAGGACCGTAAACAGAAACGAGTTCCATGAGCTGAGAATCCTCAGAAATTCTCCAATGTCCTCTACTACAAACCCTAGAGCCTCTCTGATTCTTCTTCTTCTTCTTCTTCTTTAAATGCTCACTCTCCTTCTGCATCCTTCTTTTATCAGAGAACTCTTCTACTGTTGCAGACACTGCATTGTTTTCTCCAAACCCATTAAATGCTCCTCTGCAACGGAGATCAAAAGGGTATTCTTGGAAAAATGAAAAATCCATCTAGCTTTTCTCTTGGTCTCTCTCCTGTAACCATGTCTCATATATACACACAGAGACACATAGATATAGAGAGGCATGTGATGTTTGGATTCGGTGATGGCTATGTTATCGTATGTAATCTTTTTGATTGCCAAAAATAGAAACCTGAGGAGAGAGAAGAACAGGTTGTGAGGAGAGAGAGCATAGATAGAAATAGAAAGAAACCCCACGCATACATCTTTCATGGTTGCTCTCTGTTAAGAACAGTTTCAGTTCTCTGACATCATGTTTTTAAAAAATCGTTTTGAATATTTTGTCACCTTTATATTCTTCTCCCCACGCTTTAACCTTTTTCTAGAATATGCCATTTCCTTGTATATGTATAAATGTAGGTGTATAGAACCAAAAATATGCATAACCATTTTTAGATGCAATTGATATATGTATAACGGATACAAATGTGTATATTTAATCTCATAAAAAAATGCATAACCATTTTTAGTACTAAGCATTAATCATGGCAAAGCCAGAAAATGTAGTATATATAGTGGCAAGAACATGAATTCAAGAAGAAGAATTCATATAACATATTAGGACTTGTTTCGAATAAGAGCTCTTCTAAAACAAAAGCAAGCACAACAACACCAAGATAATCTGAATCATATCATAACACACACAAAAAAACATAATACATGTTGAACCATTTCTTATCGAATCCATTACAAAGATATATTTTTATATATTCCTTGCAGACTCTTAAATAACACACATTCGCTAACAAAACACTTCAGTTCAATTTCAATTGGTTACCAAAAAAAAGGTCCCCAACTTAGAACCGGGAAAAAGGCAATTACAAAAACCGAACCAAACCAAACCGGTCTATCATAAATATAATTGTAGAAGTTAAAACCGAAACTGCCCTCCGGTGTAGGTCTGGCCAAAGGACCAAGTGGGAGGAGCAACATTGTACGACACGACGCTTCGGCGATCACTTGTGGTGACAACAAACGACAGACTTTGACCGTTGAGATAAGAGTTGCTTTGCCAATTTTGCCCCCAGTTTCTTGACATTAATTGCCATTTTGACCTTGACCCTCTCATCGAGACAGAGTGTACGTCTCCGGCTCCACCAACGTTTGTGACCAGCACCAGGTTAAAGTATGAGTGGCCGTTGATCGTGAACCTTATCCCGCCGCTTCTCTTGCACCGAACCCTATAAATATCACATTAAGAAAACAGTTACTCAATTAAGAAACTTTAAATATGTATATTGGGCTCACGGGAAAAGCTTTAAAAGAAACTCTACAAGTTCGGTATAAAAACTGTTGTCACTAACTATGCAGCTTTCGGTCTATTAGGACCAATAATTAAGCAAGTTCGGTGTCAATTATACTGTCACTACTATGCAGTTTTCGGTCTATTTAATAATTTGGTACCCAATTTCTACTACATTTATCAACTGGTCCAAAAGTATTAAATGCGTATGTATATATATGTCATAAGTTTCCATTAACTGGTGCCTGGTCCTGTAGGCATAGAAGATTGTGAATGTTTTCATCATACGCGTCTTTTGACTTTTTCGACATACACGAAGTATGGTTTTAAGTTTTAACCAATTTGTATAGTGTATACTACTATTTGTATTTGGTCTACGAAAAGTCAGAAACAAACCAGATAAGAAATTTAACTGAAGAAATCTTTCTTTGTCTTCTCAGTAGTCTATAAAACTTCTACAAATAAATTTATTCAAATAATAATAATAATAATAATAACATCATACGAGAGATGACAAGATCAAATTAAGACAAAAGTCAGATGCATATAGTTCATCCATTTCTAAATATGTGCAACTTTTAGACTTACTTATTTGCTTTTAAGAATAGTTTCATTGACTTGAAATATTGACTATCCCTCAAAACAAAAGTAAAAACTTTACTTTAAACTTAAAAACGTTCAAGAAAACACAAGTAATATTTATAAATAAGATCAGTGTGTTTGATATTTTAACGTCAGATATTCACAAACTATTAGTACTATATTGGGTGGGTTGAAACCGGGATAATAAATTAGTACCTTCTGTACATAACCGGAATGATACCAGACTTGTATAGAGCGATATGCTCGTAGATGGGCTGAGAAAGATCGAAGTGGTGATTGGGAGGATCGCAGGCGCCACCAGGAGGACAAAAGTTAGTGGCAGTGACCACAATGGAGCGGCCTTTGATGCACCACTGAGGATCGTTGACACACATAAGCTCGAAGCACGCACCACAGGTTAGTCCGCTATCGAACAACGCCGTGCTCAGCGCCGCCGTCTGCGTGCCATAGCCTTGGCTGTACAGATTCCCGTACCCGCATGCTCCACCTATAATTAGGCAAATTACATATTTACATATGTTTAAAAATCAAATGTTATATGCATAAGACGTCTGACTAAAGATTCATTTCTTAATGGTCTGTTTATATAATATAGTATCATGTAAATATCTTTATGATTAGCCGTTGAAACTGTTTGCATGTTACGAGGGAGCTTAATAAATTAGCTCTGAAAACATGAGATGAAGGTAAGGTGAAATGACTTAACTACCCTTCAGTCAGTTGAAAAGAGAGTGATGGGAGTGAAAATGAGAAAGCGTTTTCATCGGAGATATCGATAAGGCACGTACCCATAGTGCCGGAAGCATCACCACCGCCGTAGAAAGTGGCATGAGCGTTAATCCACGGTCCCATGTGGCCGCCGGGATGGTGGCCGCCACGACGGTAGAAGCCTTGAACGCAGACGGAAAACGCTAAGACATGCAGAAGGAGAGCCGAGATAACTAAAACCCCCATGATGAAGCAAAACAATTACAGCATGCAAAGGAAGAACAAAAAAGAAGAAGCGAGGAGAAGCAAAAGGGGTACTTTCGTCAATGTGGAGAAGTAAGAGGTTTGGTGTGATGAAATTGAGGAAGAAGGAGGGAGTGGTATAAATAGGAAGAAGGATTCGGACAAAGTTTGAGCTGTAATGAATCAATCCGGGTCCATGCAACTGCTTGCTGGTCTTCACTATACTCCGTTAATTAGTTTTATTTCGTTTTTAAGTGTTTAGTTTTTACTTTTTAGAGAAGAAAAAATACTTAAACCGACGGAAAATAAAAAAGGAGAGGTGTCAAAGAAAATTTGTCAAAAATATTTGAAAAACTCGTAAAAAAGGTGACTCAAGATATGAAATAAATGCGTATCAGAAATTAGAAGATGTGACTGTGATACTGTAACATTATACTCTATTTTTTTCTTTCTTTTAAAGTATAGAAGTATTGATTATTTTAAAAGGTCAGAAAGTAAATCATACGGAGACACGATTCGAATTGCATTTAAATTCATAAATTATGAAGGTTTGAGTGTTTGAGACAGACAATATAGAGCTCTATAAATAATATTATCCGCAAAAATAAAGGGAGAATTTAAATACAACTGTTTTTGGTACACGTTTAACTGCAATCTATTTATTAAATTTGGTTGTATTGTATGTCTGGGTATTTTTCTTAATTTGTGGATGAATACCGGAGCTACATTTGTAATGGTAGCAGAAGTGATGAAGAACGGTTGGGACTTTTTATGACACTGTAGATATTTCATTGGACAAAAATGGTTACAGCTGTTTAAAGAAAAAACAAGACATAAGCACGTAGAAACCCACGAAAAGGAAAGCACACAGAAACTTCATCATATTATTTTATTTTATTAGCTATTTACATTTAAACATATAGTTATTTTCCTATGATGATTCTATATTTTTTTCTGTTTCATAATACTATAAGTGTTTTTACACTAATTTTTATGTTTTATGATAGTATCGATGTTAATATAAATTTGAACAAAAAAAAGTATTAAACAAGGACAAATTACATTGAAACATATATGGGAAGTATAAGGTAAACTCACATGCATCTTTTGACAAACAAAATTTTTTTGAAAACTATATATCGGTGGTATTTATTATTTAATATAGAGTTATAGTCGTATAGACTACATATAATTGTTTGTATCTTTAAAAAGAAATCATCAGAACAATCTGATTTCAGTTGTGAACTTGAGAAGAGAGAAGTATGACTATGTATCCGATTTCAACTTTCTCACTTTAATTCTTTTCTTATTATTCAGTCGGTACATAAACATGGTTGTTTAGTTATTAAAACATGTTTAAAAAAAATCTTGTAAAGAAAGTATGATCTTAATACACTGACATTGTAATTGTAAATTCAGTGGCGTGTGACATCAGTCTTTCGGTCTGAAGCTTCTTCTTTAGGCGAGATATGTGTCCATGCATGCATGTGATCAGTGGATCTGTACTCTAACCGACAAATTATTTCAGGCAAACAAAACATATTGTAATAAACAGTGATTTGATAAAACCTGAAATTTTTTTTAGAGATGTTTATATTATACCTGGAATGGTAGATATGCATTTGAAGTAGTACAATTGTACAATTAATGGTAGAAGTACAATCATTACAAAACTATATCATTAGCTACGGCTAAAATATGTCATGAAACATAAAGTCTACTATCCATATATTGACATTACTGTTTAAAGAGTGATATAATTTTTAAAAAAATACTAGCTAAACAACAACAAAATTTGCTTGACTAAGATCCATCTTTTCGAAGTGGACTACATTACTTTTGATTTATTTTAATATAAATAGCACGTTTGTATTTGTTATTTGAAATTGGCTATTGTCCTCTTAAAGATCCAAAAACTGATAGAGAAATGTACATCCATTCATTTGACCCAAAAAAATTTTACATTCATTCAATACTTTAATTATTTTTTTGTGTAGAAAGATGCTTTTAGTTCTTCATCTTCAGAAATATAGAATTCAGACTAAGACTCAGCTGAGCTCTAAAACCATGGCTAAGATAGAGACACTACTTTAAATCTTAGACAAGGTGTCAATAAATGTATAAGTGGATTTTATATATTATGCTCATGTAGTTATATACACTGGATGCGCAATATTTTATGGGTTAGCTTTGTTGCTCAATAGAAGTAATCACTATTTAGGTAGGCCACGTTTAAATAAAATGACAATGAATCAGAATGAAGAAAAGGGAGACAGACGCGTAATATTGTAATAAATTGGTGATAACATTTTGTCTAGACAATTTTAAGCCCACGTATTGAAGCCATCGACCTGGCACGGCAGATTTATATTTCTAGATTTGGTACTCAATTTTTCTAAAACCAAATTTGTTTGTTAACAAAAACCCAACTTTTTGAATTACTTAAATAACTTTTCATTTACTTGTGTGGTAAGAAAGCTTTATGCGCATACGCATATTCAATTATTGAAGAAAAAAATTACGGAAAAAGTTTTTTTCTTTGAGAAATCTTTTACCACTTTGGTCTGTAAATTAACTATTTGAAAAAATACGTTTTATCATCAAATATGTGCATATCGAGGAAGTTAAGCGGATGAAAATTTTGACTGGTTCTGCGTGTGGACCGAAACTTGTTTCTCTAATATAGTGAGACCATCTCAAAGTTAATATTAACATTTTTAGTATCAATGTGTAAAAGATGATACATGCATGGTCAATTTTTGGACCCATTAAAATTAAGAAGATGTGGTCTCGAGCATCTGGTTTGGTTGAGCAATGACCTTTTCAGTTTTTTGTATTTTTAAGTTGAATCTTTGATCTGGGGTTTGGGTTTTTAGATAAGGGAATATCAAGAATCCTTAATAAGAAAACTATACATATAATTATAAATTTACATCATAATAATATTAAACATTATAAATCTGTTACTAAAATTAGTTTTGAAAAAAAAAAACTATGGATATACAACTTTTAATTTTTAAAAATGTGAATTGATGTGAACAGAAGCATGTAATTAATATACGGCATGCAGATAATTTTATGCGAATGAAGTCTTAATCCATACTCAAAATTGGTTAAACACTAGTACCCGTTTTCACATGGATGAAGCATGGTGGTTGACATGACGCTATTTCAACTAATTATGTCGGTGATGAAAATAAATCGCTCAATATTATATATATCAGCATACCTTATGAAGATTATAGTTAACACCCTTCTTTATAATCAGAGTAGATCATGAACCAAAATCCAGACTAATTCTCAAAACATGTAAAGTAAATAGTTGTATATTTTCATCAATAGGAACGTCAATTGTGGCGTCAATCATGGTTAAAACTTCAAATATAGCTTATGAAATGTGTCCAAAGTCCTTCTGATATGACTATTAGACTATAAGGGCATATATGATGTATATTTATGAAAAATTTGACAATACGGTTTTGTATAATTATAGTTGAATACGATAAGTTCATATTTAAGTGGCCCAATAACGAATCTAACGCAGAATGATCTACGGCCCGGACATTTCTTCACGATCGTTGCTGTGTTGTCGTGTTTCATTTCGATCCATGTAATCGAAGGTGGTGACGATTAATTACTAGTTATACTATTCCAAACATTTTGTTTGATGTAAGTAATAAGTTGACCAAAAATATCGTAGACGGTGATGATTAACAACTATACATAGTTAATTACTGCACAAATATATAGTTAATTATTGCAAAAATGTCTATTTTTAAATATATACTGTAAATATAATAAGACCACGGAGTTCTTTTGTCAAATATATATTTCTTTTTTGCTAAGAAATATCATGATTTAGTTTCACAAATAAATTTCTTTTTTTCCTTAATTAACAGCTAAGAGCAGGTACTAAGTCAAAGTCAATTTTTGCCCAACAGAGTATCATTCCGTTCATATTACTCTGCATTAATGTATTTTTCGTGTATATACATGTGTGTATATAGACACATATTCATCAAGGTTTCAAATTTGTTGAATCATGTGCTTCTCAAATATTTTTGCTGGACTATATATCAAAACATATTCATACAAGACAAAAAAAAAAGAGAAAAATAAAACAATATGGATTGGATCAGATTAATTCGAGTCCAAGACTCCCAACAACTGAAAATAAAATAAAAATGAAGCAAGGTGTTCATAGATATGTATTTTTGCAACAAACATAAAAGAAAAACCCATAGGCTTAATTTGCTTTTACAGAAACATGTTTCTTCAAAGAGAGATGAAACCTTCGCTCACGAGCAAGCCAAAGAAGAGGACAAAGAGACCAGCGCCGAGAGATTTTCCCGGAGAAACAAACGTCTGAGAATAAGCACCGAGAGTCAACGCAGCTCCAACGAGTCCAATCACCAGAGATTGCAAGTTTCTTCTGCTCACGCTTCTTTGTATTGGCTTCACCTTCTCTTCTTGATCTCCATCTTCTTGCTCTCGCTTCTCTTCTTCTTTCTCTGTCTTTCTTCTCTGTCTCGCCATTTTCAGGATTATTTGAGGAAATGGAGAGAATCTGACTGTGAATCTTAGATATGGGTTTGGTTGTGTGTTGTGATTTGTAATTATAAATTAACGATGGAGACAAATATGGCCTTTTGGGGTTTGCTTTGAGGCCTTTTGATCGAAAGAAAAAGTCAACTCTTAATAGAAAAGTTATTGGTGGGTATAGATCCAGAGTTCTTATGATAATTACTATGGTGTTATAAAACAACTAGTGGTCGGTGATAGTTGAAGTTTAGCTTAACACCAAAAATATAGTTGAAGTTTAGCCATAATATATGATGTGTATAATTATATATTGTCACTCCAAATCTAAAAATAAATATGATATCATTCTGTCTGATTTCTTATCCTTATTTTGTAACCGTTGTTTTTTTAGTGTTTTTATTTTAATATGTGGATTTTTTCTTCATACTAAAATCATTTCAACTCATATTAGTATCCAACCAACAATTTTCGAAATATTATCTTGGTGTAAATGTGTATGACATTATAGCTTTGTCAGGGAAAAAACAAAACTAGTTTATAGCTTAAATTATATATATATATATATATTTTTTTTTTTTTGTATGATTGTAGTATTTTAACAAAGTCTTTACATCGTCATTTTCTTTTATGCAAATCAAAGAAAAACTGAACTCTTTCTAAAGTTTCTTTAGAGGATTTGTGATTTTCTTTAAATGGGTCTCTATGTCTAAACAAGCCAAGGCCCATTAAGTATGTGATCATCTCTGTGGATCCATATTTGACTCTATGAAGTGGTTACAATATTTTATCTCGTAACCAACTCCATTTTACAATACAGGCTACACAGCCAGCACAAATTCGAAAAAAAAAATAATCTAACATAAAAAATTAAAACATAAATAATTCAACTTTAAGGGAATAAGAGTAAAACGTTTGTATCAGTTAAGCCAAATCTTGATATACTCAAGTGTCCTTTTTAGTCTACTAGTATTTATTTGATCAAACCTAAACCTCTCCACCAGAGATATACTATATATTATTACTTTTGCTGATTCAACTGAAGTCACAACTTAGGAAGCTATGATCACAACCCAAAAAAATTATGTACTCAGGCTAAGCATATTTGAAAGCATTGCCATGGACTCTCAAACAAAAATATCGTACTACTCATAATAGATTATAAGTATTTTAAACATTTGGTAATTGACATGTCTAAATTTGGTCTATACATGGCCAATGACACCTGTGCATAATTTATATTTAACCTGAATTATATAAATCCGGTCGACATGGACTCAAGTTCAATTGTCCAATATTTTTTTGATCCACCATTCGTACAAATAAGTCTTCGATTCTATCTATATATAAAAAAAAAGCTTCAAACACTGTAGATAGATCGATATTTTCTGTATATTCTTTAAATTTTAAATTGAGACGCTAGAAAAAAAAAACAAACATTAGATTGCTAATTAGTTTAATATATCCACAAAATTGGGTCGCCTAACACAAACAATAAAATAGGACCATGTCTTTAGATGACATAATATCCATTGGTAAACCGACACGTGTTAATATTAAGAATCGCTTACTGATGTTTCGCGCCAGGAAGCTGGTCAAAACCCACTTTAAGTAGTTAATTGAAATTTTAAAGAACAAAGGTTAGTGCTTACCTATTAAACACCATTGAGAACTCACCACCTGCCCAGTGTCCCTTTCAAGCTTCATCTTCTACTTATTGACGTTGACCGTTACAGTAACTTTCAAATCGTTACTCGTCCTCAGTAAATATTTTAATCGTCTACTCGATTTTCCAGTAATCCGATATATAATTGCTCCTTTATATAATTAAGTGATTTTGTTTAGATTTGTAGCCATGCTTATTTACGATAGTAATAATACCATAAGTTTATTTGGAACAATGACAGAGGCGAAGCAACAATGTGTTGCCTCTAGTTGAAGTAATAGTCTAGACTCTAGAGTTATATATGGCTCGAGATCTTGCCAAATATAGAACTAAAAATTATTATTTGAAGGGTAATCATATATACTATAAAACAAGCATTGCTATTTTTGTTTTTTTGAATAATAATAGTTAGTTTAAAGAATGGACAAAAGCGTCATCAGTGATGTGATAAAGATTGTTCTTATCGCATCAACAGAAAATGGATGGGTTAGCCATCGGTGAAATGTTCCTGGTCAAATTGAAGCTTTGAGATATTATTAAAGTTTCTGAATAAGAAAGATTTTATTATTTGTTAATTTAATAGAAAATATCTCCAGATTTTAATCAAGTTTCCTATTGATCTACGCATCTTTCTCCTTCTCCATCGATATACTGTTACAAGACTAAATACAGCATCAAACCAAATTCAAATTTATAATATTATTTTTGGAACTATGTCATGGTTGGGTTGGGTCGGGTCTACATCAAATTTGTATACATATATACTTTATTAATATATAACTGAGATATTATAACTTGAATACAGTTTTCATCCGGATAACCATATTAAAATAGCTTTAGAAAATAATAATTTGATACCAAATAGTGATCAATTATTGGTGGATATAAACTATAATATTTTTTGTTCTTCGTCTGATACAAAATAGTATAAGAGCTTGGCTGCTCAAACCATTTTCTCTTCTCTCCACAACAAAAAAAAAAAAATATCAACTTTATTCTTTCTCTCTTTCACATCAAAAACTAATTGCACCTTCTCTCTTCATCTTCAACACCAATAAACAAAATTTTCACATTTGATAGTTTCTGAGGAAATGGATTACGAGGTATCAAGAATTGGGGAGATAGTAGAAGATTCAGAGCAGATTGATCTGCCACCTGGCTTCAGATTTCACCCAACAGATGAAGAACTCATAAGCCACTACCTGAAACCGAAGGTTCTAAACACCTTCTTCTCCGCTATAGCCATTGGTGAAGTCGATCTCAACAAGGTCGAGCCTTGGGACTTGCCCTGTAAGTTATCCAAACTTCTTTTCTTTTTTATGCGTTTCTGACTTTCTTCAAATCTCTCTGTTTTCTTTATTTCTAATTCAAATCTCTCTGTTTCTTTAATCACTCTGTTTTTCTTTTTCTTTTTGGTGGAGTAGGGAAGGCTAAGATTGGAGAAAAAGAGTGGTACTTCTTTTGCGTAAGAGATCGAAAATACCCGACTGGTTTAAGGACGAACCGGGCAACGAAGGCCGGTTATTGGAAAGCTACAGGCAAAGACAAAGAGATCTTCAAAGGAAAATCTCTTGTGGGTATGAAGAAAACTTTGGTTTTCTACAAAGGAAGAGCTCCTAAAGGAGTAAAAACCAATTGGGTCATGCACGAGTATCGCCTTGAAGGCAAATATGCCGTGGACAAACTCCCTGAGACCGCTAAGGTAATCTATATAGTAACTGCAGTAAATAAACGTATCTTTATTATGTGTGTGTGTGTGCGTGTAAGAGTTCTCTGCTTTTCGTTGTGAAGTTGGATTTGATTACTGAGTTTGGTGTTGTTTGTGAATGCAGAATGAATGGGTTATTAGTCGTGTTTTTCAGAAACGGGCAGATGGTAAGAAGATGCATATCTCCGGTTTAATGATGCTTGGTTCAGAGGTTAATCAATTCGAACCGGTCGGGTTACCTCCGCTGATTGATTCTTCTCCGTACCTCAAGAGCGGAGGAGGAGACTCTTTCGCCGGATCGTTGTCCCACGTGACCTGCTTCTCCGACAAAACAACCGAGGACAAGAGTCTCATCTCCGAATCAAAAGACGATTTTAACCTTACCATGTTCGGTTCTTCGTCGACTCACTTAATACCGAACATTGGTTCTCTGCTATACTCTGATCATCTGTTTTTGCAAGATAATTCTTCAACAATGAAGATGTTGCTTGGCAGTGAAGAAATTCAATATCATAAAAATCTCCAGGATTTAGGTACATTGGAGGATGAATTAACCGCGAGTTCATGTCAAGCTCATGATCCTTCTGGTTCGGCCGGTCCGGTTATGGTCGATTGCTTTTGGAATTTCTGAATTTGGAAACTGGAACAGATCGAAAATTGGGGTATATATACATGGGGGTAACAATTAGGGGGATATATTAGGGTTTTATAGTGTTTGTGTTATGTGTTTGCTCTAAGATTTTAGACTCTTCATATATATAAAGATATTGAAAGACTCTTGTAAGATTTTGTAAAAAGGACTAACATGTGAAAATCGATTCTTTTACCATTTGGAATCCATTTATAATTGTCTTAAAATCTCGTTTTAGGAGCTATGTAAAAACGTGTATATGAGTTCTTATCGGTTATATGAGTTTCAGTTACAAAAACTAAATTTCCATCAGAATATATACCAAATGTTGAAATTATTTTTAACAAACATTGGTTTCTGTTTAGAGTGTCCTGATTCTATTTTCGTGTGTTTTACTTTTTATTTCAAAATTTGTATTCTTTCTTTAATGTATTTCCGTTTGGATTATAAATTTTAACACTTGGTGGATATATTTACATTTAGGATCATTTTTGTTCTTGGTTGGTGGCCAAAAAGACACATGAAATGACATCTAACCTTCGGTCACTGAGAGAAACATTGAACAAATTTTTGGTTTATAACTAATCTAATAATCTCTTAAAGAATATAGTTCTGTTACGAATCGATCATTGTTTGGTTTTAGTGTCTAACTCGGATCATTTGATTTGTCTAAAACATAGAGTCTCTCAAGTGACGTATGTAGATAAGAGTCGTGATTCTCCTGCTCTCTTTTTTTCCGTATCAAGATTTTCTACTTACTCTTCAAGCAAAACGATAAGTTACCATTCCACACAAAAATTGATACATGTACAAGAGCATACAAGAACAACTGATGCAGAGATCTTAATCAAATCTTAAATCTTTCATTTATGCAACTTGAAAATGTCGAAGAAGTCCTAAACCCTAAAGACATGTTACTTTCCTTATGGCATTTTGGGAAGAAACTTGATACTCAAGAAACCGCGGATTATTCCCATTGAAGACGCGGTTGAAGCGTTTTGTAAAGGGAAATTTATAGGTGACCGTTGGGAGAGCGAGAGAAGCCCAAGAAAAACTTGTTTGTTACGTATGATGAAGTGACCCTCAAGAAACAGACAGGAGTTGAGATGAAGCGAATCACTGAGTCCTTGGGATGTTTAGTCACCAGAGAAAAAGATTAGAGGATGGAGAGATACTTTGAAAAATCATTAGGAAAGGACTTTTGACCAATCCCTGAGTCCGAGATTCTGGTTTTTCGATTTACTGTGGTTTAAGGCTTTGAATACTTATTGTTGATAAGCTTCTTTCTTCAATAATTTGATCATCTCAGTTAAATTAATTGTTCTCACTGTGTCTGTTATGTCGTTCTAGTATGAATAAATTAGATTCACTGATTCAGCTTTACGTGTTCCATAGAATGCGGGTTACTACAGCATAATAAACTCATTGCAACTAAGTTTTGGTTTAGTTACTTTGTTGGTCAATCCGAATTTCAGTTCAGTTCAAGCACCAGATTTTTATAAAAAAAAATTAACAAATTTAAGATCTTTCAGTTCACATATAAATTCAGTTCGGTTCGAATTAGGTCTGATGGCACAAAAAAACTAATAACATTTGACCATCTTTCAAAACCAGTGCACAGTTTCATGTATCTGCAACTACTAAGAAATTCAGAAAGTGAAAAATATAAAATTTTAATTTTAATTTTGAAAAGGGAACAAAGTAGAAACAATAAGGCTTTCCTGGAGAAAAGAGAATTTCAGGAGATTACTGGCAGCAGAGACACATGAACCGGAATCGAATAGAATCGGGTTGGGTCATAAGCTGCAAAGCGGATCCCTAATTTTGATTTATGCACATTAATTAATTAGACAGATTCCCCAATTTTTTTTCACGGGGATGTCCCAGTACTTGTGCAATCATACATCGTAGCCTTCGATTATCAAAAACCAAACGAAAATAAATTAGACAGAATGATAAAACCAGAAGCAAAGGAGAAGAAATAAACGGCGCAAATAAAATAAGGATTAGGGTTTCACAGAAAATTCTTCAGTAAATTGTTTTTGCTCATTTGGAAAAGATGTGATATCCAGGCTTTATATATACACTCATAAGTAAACCCTACTTATGTATATGTAGTTTTGGGCCTTCACCCAAATATTTGGGCTTACTTCTTATGTATTATTTTGGGCTTTTTATTATGTAACGCTCATAATTCAATTGAGCGAGCTAGCCCATGGATTTGTTCTTTTTCATTTCATCATTTCATTATTTTTAACAATTAAAAACTCCAAAGAAAATAATAAAAACTGTATATGCTGGAAAATTGGAAAAAATCAATTTTTTCATGATATAAATTAATGAATTAATCAAAAATTTAGCTGCTTTTTGGTTTTGGTGTTGGGAATTGTATATAGTTTACATGGTCTTGCTTCCTCCAAGTTCTTGAAAAGGCAAAGGTACAGACTTGAAGGCTCTGTATTTCCCCACATTGTTCAAATGCTCATTCTCCAACCTGATTCCAAACAACAAATATCATTAAAAATAGTTCATCGTACCATATTTTTCTTTTCGATCAAACTATCAGAAATCTCCGAAATGTGTGGTCTAAGTAAAAGAAATATGAACCTGAAGAAGTTCCAAATCCCACGACGAACAATCTCTAAACTGGTAACAACGGCAACCAAAGCTCTTTTGTGCAAAAAAGGAGCTTCTTTAATCCCAAGAACCGTCTGCATCCACGCCAGCCTCAGCACCACATTCACCACCTTCAATTTTTGCAATCCCAAATCCAACAGGTCAAAACCACAATCCAAACCCTAAAGAGAAAAAAAAAAAAAACCCTTCCTTTTGTTGTTTTACTAACCATGACAATGAAGTAGGTGCTTTTGTAAGGAAGTAAGAGTTTGTCACGAAGCCAAGGGTTTTTGGAGTTGCGGTTCATAAGACCCCAATCCTTGAAAATGTCCCAGTAGGTATTGAACAATGTGGCAATACTAGACGTGGTTACAGCCACCGTGAGCCAGTAAGTCCCTCTATTCATCTCGAAGATTGTCCTAGCCGCAACCGCCAATATCGTCGACATATACTTTAGCGCGTTTAGGCCGTGCATTTTGTCTTTCTCCTCAACCAACCTCCTTATACACTGCCAAAACAAAGTTTAAAACGTTTTGAAAGTGTCAAGAGTCCCGGGTTTTAGCGTTTCAAAGCAGCAACGTTCGCGGATTTGAAGATAAGCATGGAAGTTTGACTCTTTCAAAGATTTTTCTATCAAAGAGTTGCGGATTTTATGTTAAGTACATAGTTTTTAGCGTTTTGACTACGAAGTAATGGATATAGTACCTGAGCGAAGCGGAACCAGTAAGGAACGATGGCAACGACAAGGTAGAGTTCTTTGTAAAGGTCACTTTCATAGCATGTGTGTGTTCGTTTCTTGAAATCACCTCCCCATCCATAGTAGCAAACATAAAACAACATGTTTCTGAATGTTTGCACCTGCGATACCAAAACCGGATGATTTTTCTCTGGAGGAAAAACATACTTGATAACCGGATCATAAACCGAGAAACTGGTTTACCTGGCTTGTCAACTGATCTGCGAGGAAGAAATCAGGGAGAATAACCTAACAGAAGAAAACACACTTAGAAACTACTATATGTAGCAAGAAGAACATCAAACTACAGAGATTACTTGGATTGGACGTTACCTTGTAAAGAGGGCTTAAAAGACAACGGAAGACGCATCCGATGAAGAAATATCTGCTTGACCGATATATTATATTCAATGGACAGAACAGCGTCATCATCAAGCACTGTGTAATCATAAGCAACACAAAAAAAGACACATTTTACAGATAACACTGAGGATTTATAGTTAGAGATTTGATATATCATTGAACTAAGAACTCACGAGGAGAAGAGCTAAAGGAACAAGCTCGGTGATGACACTAAAACTTTTAGTCCTTGGATCCATTTCCATGTCAAGATTTGAGATGACTCCTGCGAATGTTAGAACTGCTAGACCAGAGCCTACTAGAAGAACTTCTCTGTAACCAAGATCAGTCCCTTGCTCAAACCCGAAGATAAACGGGTAATTTACTCGATATTTACTCCAAAAATATATGTCTGCTGCATACATAAACAAATGAACCGCAACAAACCCGAACAAGCTGCGAACAAAGGTTAAAAAAAAAGGTTATATAACTACTTCCGAGTTGAAAAAATTCCTCTGTTTTACAAATGATGAAAATATATAATAGACCTGTAAAGAGGGAAAATGTTCTCCATGTACTGATGCCGTCCCTCACTTTTTGTTAGGCCTCTTATATGTACAAGAACCGTTATCGCAACGGCTAGAGCCACAGCGCAACCCGACAAGAACCCTGTAGATGAAGATGATGTTTTAGTCTATTAGGAAGAGAAACAACAACAACAACAACAACAACAAACAAAAAGCCCTTCTTTGTCAAATTGAGTACCGAGGAAGTATGTGATTCTGTGTTTCTCCCTCTTAGCTTTAGGCCTTAAACATTTCATTCCTTCTCTGTGGTTTCCATTGGCGAAGTGCTTGATAAACGTAGCCTCTACTCTCGACATGAGCCTCGAAACCTGAAAATGTAAAAGATAAGTCTGGTTTTTTTTTGAAGTAGCGTTAAAGAGAGATTGTTTATATTCGTATTAACCTCATCGCAGCTGCCTAAATAAGAATGATCCACTGTGTTTAGATAAGGCTTCGATGTATTCCTCAAAGTAGTCTGCGAACCATTACAGAGATACCAATGTCAAATCACAGCAAGAACCAATACAGACCGAACAAGAAGCTTAACTAGAAGAATCTTCAAACCTTGTCATACTTCTTTAGTATCTTTGAAAACGCCAATTGGTTCAAGAAGCTGACAAGAGAGAGAGATGATGATGATGAGAAACAGAGTTTTAGGGGAACAAGAGAATGAAGAGAGAGGTTTCTTACCAATAACTCTTTAGGAACCTAAGTTTCTGGTAGAACTCAACAAAAGCGCGGCTCATAAGCTCCTCGGCTCTCTTAAGCTCGGCTTTGCTGAAGGTTTGCTCATTCGTGAGACCGAGGATCATGCATTTAAGAGTCGTCAATGGCGTTTCTGGTTCGATCTTGAGCTTTATATGATCCAACATTTCTACTGGAGCAGGTTTAAAGACCTTTTTGTCTTCCGTTTTTTCCACCTCTCTAATCACATCCATTGGTGAAGTGGCTACACGTTTTCACACGAGTTTTAATCAGAGCTCAACGTTACCATTAACGATCACTTAAATGCCGAAAATGGAGAATGGTAAATTAACCTGGAGTTCTGGTGGTTGCATGTGGAGAAGAAGGAGCGCTCGAGACGACGTTATTGATAGGAGGAAAGTCAACGTTAGGGTTCTCAACCTTAACCCTAAGAGCAATCAAAACGTTTAACTGTCTACTAAGCTCATCGGCTTCCTCCATCACACTCTCCACTTTCTGCTTGTAGAATCTCAACACCTTGTTGAATTCTCCGTCCAGCCTCCGGAAAAACTGAACCTCCATGTCCCCTCCTTCCTCCGCCGAGCAGAGAAACGTCGTCGTGTAGCTCGACGTATCGTCCTCGTTGATCATAATGACTTGCTCCTCGTCGTCGTCGAAGAGATGGTAATGGTGGTGGTGGTGGTGGCGTTTGCTGCTCAGAGGATTGTGGTGTTTGTGTGATTTCTTCGGCGAGCCTTTCGCGCGGTTCGTGAGGCCGCTGAATGCGCGGTAGAGAGAGACTCTCCTCGACAATCCCGCCCCGCCTGTTTCGCCTCCGCCTCCGCCTCCGGATTCGAGCGTTGCGGCGTCTCCGGCGGTCGGAGGAGGAGGAGGAGGAGCACGTTGTTGTTTTTGTAGGCGATAACGAAGGATCTGTTTGACGATGGATTTGAGAGAACGATAATCCATGTAGGCTTCTCGCCATTCTTGGATCATCTGCGCTTCGTATTCTCTTCCGAACTTCATCTTCTTTCTCCCTGGATCTGGTTTTGTGGTTTTTTTCTTTCCGGGAAAGATTGGATTTTTTCCCGGGGAAATCTAGCAAGACCAAAAAGTCCTGTTTTTGTTTATTGTTAATCCTCTCTTCTCTAGCTTTCTTGTAATAAAAAGGAATTGGTTATGGAGATTTTTTTTTCTGGTAATCAAAACTGTATACATGAGGATTGTTTTAGTTGGAGAAAATAAACGAAATGGGAGAAAAACAGAGCTATTTTCCTTCCAAATACAAATCTCATGCAGGTAGTAGGAAATAATATAAATTATGTTAACAGATTGATAAACATGAATAAAAATCATTATCACCATATAATCTGTCTGTCTTTTTTTTGTATCATTATGAATCGATACGACTTCCTTCCTTTTTTATGTATCCTAATTACTCATTTTAAAATGTTTGTGAAAAGTTATAGTCAGAACTATTTATCTTAAGAAATACATTTCTAAATGTATATCCGAACGGGGAAACAATGTCCATAACATGAGTTTCCACGTTTTCATATTAACAATCTACAGTTCCCATATTTTCCTCATAGATTGTTAATATGATTTCAAAAAGGGAAAAAAATGCGTTAGATATTAAAGACGTTGAAAATCTAAAAAAATAAAGAAAATATGGTCATCGTTACACCACGCACATCGGCACATGTATGTGTAGTTTGAGCCGACTTAGTGCTAATATTTAAGGAAAAAAGTGTAATGTAGCCTGTAGGTGGCAAAGGATAAAGAAAAAAATTAGGTGATGGTGGAAAAAAAATTCCAGACACAGTGACACCACACACATGTATGTGTATTTACTTAAAACAAAAATGTATGGGGTCGACATGAATTTATTTAAAATTGTTAGCATGTCTGAATTCAAAAGAAAAAAATGTAAATATTAGCACTAAGTCGTCTCAAATAGTCAAATTACCAAAAACTCGTGGGTGAGATTTGGAGAGGTTTCTTCTATTTTTGGCTTTTGGTGTTTTGTAACCACAAGTGTTTATGCTAGTCTCAGATTAAACTTAAACTCATCAGTTCCTTGGTACACGGAAGGTGATGATCTGAAAATTATTCGACAGAACCAAAAAACCAAGAAATAAACAAAATCTTCTTTTTTTGCGTTATTCCAGCTCTTTTTTTTAGTGTTGTGTAATTGGAACATGGATTTGGTATCATCACCAAGATGTAAGATTCATATGACAACGTCAAGATGGATCATAATAATGATGATGATGAGAATAGGAGAATCTATGAGACTGGATCTGGAATCAGGCACCACCAAATGCATCTCCGATGACATCAAATTAAATTATTTGACTGTCGGAACTTACTCCATCGTCAATCCCAACGAAGCTCACCATCTTCCTCCTTCCCACAAAATCTTCGTCACTGTAAGCTTTAAGGATATATAAATAAATCGAGATGATCTATGATTCATTTGACGTAGAATCACATTTTACGTATGAGTTTCGGCTTAGATCTCCTCAACCTTAACAAACAAACAAAAATCATATTTAGCTAATGTATCTTTAGGTGACATCACCAAAAGGGAACAGCAATCATCATGCAGAAAATGTGGAGTCCGGGAAATTCGTGTTCACGGCGGACGAAAACGGCGATTACACGACGTGTTTTGTGGCTCCTGGTTTTAGACCTCCGGCTAAGTTCGCCGTTGATTTCGAGTGGAAAAGCGGTGTAGAGGCTAAAGATTGGGCCACCGTAGCTAAGAGGGGCCAGATCAACGTACAAAACTATATATATTTAAACCTAGCTAGTTATATAGTTTTTTTTTTGAAGTTTAACCTAGTTACATAGTCCTAAATGACTATTTCAAGCTTGTTTCTCTATATGAATGTATAACTTGAGTTTAGTAAAGTGATATGGTTATTCTCAGATGCTGGAGGTGGAGGTGAGGAAATTACTCGACGTGATGGATTATATACACGACGAAATGTTTCAACTCCGGGAGAGGTACAATTTCGACGTCCAATTTTTATATTCCAATAAGAAATTCTATTTACGAGTGATAAATGGTATTTCTAAGTTATCTAAGCTATTTCATGATTTTGTAATGGTTCCCTAATGTGACAGGGAAAGGGAAATGCAGGAGCTAAACCGGTCGACGAACTCGAGAATGGCTGGTCTAAGTTTTCTGTCGCTGGTGGTTACGTTGTCAGTCGCCGGTTTACAACTATGGCATCTCAAGTCATTCTTGGAGAGAAAGAAGCTTCTCTAATCAAACAAGTTGTTTCTTTTACCTTTTTTTTTTATCAGATTTTTGGTGTTCTCTATTTAGCTTCTTTTTTTACCAAACGGATCACTTTCTTTAACTTGGATTTTGAGAACTTTAATTAACAACACATTTTCTGCCATAATAAAAAATATTCAGTAGTGGAGGTTAATGAATGGACATTACATTTTTTCAACCTCAATGCTGGAAGTTTTTTTCTTCTTCTCTTGGTTGCTTAATAGACATAGGCTCGGACATCATCACCATCATTCTACTTCTATTCGTTAAACCAAACGAGATCAATACACTACTAGAAAACTCATTATCCATAATTAAAGTACTTGTTGAGGTCTTATCGAAGCTAGCACAAACGCAAACGCAAAAACAAATGACAATAGTCAGATAAACGTAGAGAGAACTGAGAGTGGGTTACTTATTTGCTGATAGAAGCTTTGAGATGCAAATCTCAGAGAAAGAAGGCATTAATTAGTCATCGTCTTCACGATGTCCCTTGTGGTGCTTGTGCTGATCTTTCTTCTTCTTCTTCTTCTCATCATCACTACCATGATGGTCCTTCTTCTTCTTCTTCTCATCATCACTACCATGTTGGTCCTTCTTCTTCTTCTTCTCATCATAATCATCATGTTGGTCCTTCTTCTTCTTCTTCTTCTCATCATCATCATCATCATGATAGTCCTTCTTCTTCTTCTTCTCGTCATAGTCATCATCATGATGGTCCTTGTTCTTCTTCTTCTTCTTCTCATCTTCCTCAGAGTTATTTCCATCCTTTTTCTTATCCTTATCCTTATCCTTCTTCTTCTCCTTCTTTTCCTTCTTCTCCTCATCATAGTCCTTGCCACTCTGCGACATTTAAATAACGATTAGAGCCACAGCTTGTTCAAATTCATCCAAAACCTTAGTAACCATTTTTTTTAAAACAGTGAGCGAGTCAGGCAAAAAGTAATTTAATCGACTCCACAATGCAGAGAAAGATAGAAACTTTCAAGTTTCAAGGAATGTTCTTTGAGACGAAGGTCAATGATTTAAAACATTCTAGACTATGATAATTCCAAATTATCAAACACAGTAGCTCGACAAAATCTAGATGCAAAGTAGAAACTACATACATACTTACTAAATGAGAATTTCGATTTCTCCTTTATAAACCAATCAAACTTACGTGTTTTTTGTAGCCGTGACTCTCTTTCTTGTCATCATCATCATGGCCATAGCTAGGCTTCCTGGAGTCTCCATCTTCCTCTTCCTTAGACTTCATTCTTCCACCATAGCCAGATCCGTGCTCCGATTCAGGTTTCCGGCCATACTCAACCTCCGTTCTTCCGCCATACCCAGATTCAGGTTTCCGACCGTACTCGACCTCCGTTCTTCCGCCGTAGCCGGAATTAGGTTTCCGGCCAAAATCAGATCCAGATCCTCCATGCTCCGGTTTCCTCCCACCGTGCTCACCTTCGACGTGAGCGCCTCCCTGACCTCCGGGTCGGGTTTTGGGTCGGGCATAGCTGCTGTACTCGGTGTTGAGAGCCTGGTCGCCATAGGCAGAAGGGTCATGGTTGGATGAAAAGACGGGTCGCTGGTACTCGAAGGCGTCGCCGGATCGAGACGAGAGAGGGTAACAGGTCTCGTCGGACGGCGGGATTGAGCGGCCGTACGTCACGGCGATGTCGTAGCCTCCGCTATACGGCGTCGGGTCGTACTCGGTGAAGTCATCCACCTCATCGTCGTCTTTGGAATAATACGGCATCGTTTTCGAAGGCTCCTCCTTTCTTCTTCTCTCTGTATCTCAAGATCTCACATTTGTTGCTTAGTTTTTTGTTTCCCCCTGTTTCCTTGGCAACCACTACGCGGGAAAGTCAATGCTGCCACGTGGCCTTTATCTTTGTTGTCTAAGTCAAAGTATCGATTTAACTTAAATTCAGAATTAACGATGTGGCAGGGCCGGTCGAACCGGAATCCATATTTTCATGTTAAACTGGTTAAAGTTCTCGTTCACGAACTACGGGGTGAATTTGAAAATAAGTAGATATTAGAGAGAGTTTTCATAAATAAATAAAGTAACCTGATCACAAGAAAAAAAAATGACGAAGAACTAAGAAGGAACACAGAGACACACAGATGGTGAGCGAGCTAAACGACACCTATAAACCCCACCAAAGCTCTGCTACAGATCGACGCAACTAAAGTTATCGGACACTGTTACTGGGTTTAGTTCACTAGAGAAAGAAGAAAGGGAGATCTCAATCGGGAGACAATGGCGACGGCTCGAATGGTGAGGGTTGCTCAGGATGGTTCCGGCGATTACCGCACCGTTCAGGATGCGATCGACTCGGTGCCTGTCGGAAACACTTGCCGGACTGTGATCCGTCTCTCACCGGGGATTTATCGGCAACCAGTTTACGTGCCCAAGAGGAAAAACTTCATCACTTTCGCCGGAATCTCACCGGAAATCACCGTTCTGACCTGGAACAATACGGCTACCAAGATTGAGCATCACCAGGTTTTTTTCGGGATTTTGTTTGTTTTTTTTGCTGAGAACCTTGCGATTCTTGGCACGTGTACCACTCTGATTGGTTGGATTGTTTGTTTGCAGGCGTCTAGAGTCATCGGGACGGGAACGTTTGGGTGCGGGACTGTTATTGTCGAAGGAGAAGACTTTATTGCAGAGAACGTTACCTTTGAGAACTCTGCTCCTGAGGTAAATTTGTATAAAGTCTGTTACTTTTTCTCATTGTAAACTAGTCAAAGATTACAACTTGTTCTGCTGAGTGTTTCAACACTTCTGCTATTTAGACTTCAAATGAATTACTCAAATCGATTTTGGAGTAATATCTGGTAATGCTAATTGTGTTTATGCTTCTCTTGACCCATTAAATTTCAGGGATCAGGGCAAGCTGTGGCGATAAGAGTCACTGCAGACCGTTGTGCCTTTTATAACTGTCGGTTTCTCGGCTGGCAGGTTCGTTTCTTAAGCTGTCTTTTTAGTCACATAACTTTCAAATATTTATGTTTTCTCAATAAAGTCTGGTGTTGGTTTAGCTTCATATCTCTTCAATGTTTCGTTGTGGTTTGTTTCCTAATTGTCTTGTTTTATGTACTTGAATCGATGTTCTTGTTTAGTTTACAAGGTTTATCCAATCTTCTTCTAGCTTACTGCAAACTCTGAAACGACAGGATACATTGTATTTGCATCATGGGAAACAGTATTTAAAAGACTGCTATGTAGAAGGAAGCGTGGATTTCATATTCGGAAACAGCACCGCTCTCTTGGAACACTGCCACATCCACTGCAAATCTCAGGGTTTCATAACAGCACAGAGCCGGAAAACGTCTCAGGAATCTACTGGTTACGTATTCCTAAGGTAAGCTTTGGTTTATAAATATATCCTCAAGGGCACAACTTATCCTTTATGCCTTACTACAAGAGGAAAACTCAGCTTCTTACATACATACTTGTTTGCAGATGTGTGATCACGGGGAATGGCCAGAGGGGGTATACGTATCTCGGAAGGCCATGGGGACCATTTGGGAGGGTGGTACTTGCGTACACTTACATGGATGCGTGTATCAGAAATGACGGATGGCATAATTGGGGAAACGCAGAGAATGAGAGAAGTGCTTGCTTTTACGAGTACAGGTACATCATCATCTGAGATTTCTGTAGCTGTAACAAATGGTAAATCAAGAAACAAAACTGTTGATCGTTGATACTTTTTTTGTTTGGATGTGAGAACCTCAGGTGCTTTGGTCCTGGTAGCTGTTCGGCTGAACGGGTTACGTGGTCGAGAGAACTGATGGATGAGGAAGCGGGACACTTTCTGCATCATGGTTTTGTGGATCCAGACCAGGACAGGCCTTGGTTGTGTCTGAGAATGGGAGTGAAAACACCATATTCCGCGTAGAATACTGATATAAAACAAAAAAAAATGTTGTAATTGTCACCGAGGCGTACAATAAGAAAGGATTCTGGAGAACCTACTGTAAAACCAAGATCATCTGATTTGGGATTATCTTTGTACCAGTGAATAAGAACGTGGGTAAAAAATCTTCCTAAAAATGCTTTATTGTAACTATTCGTTGTTTCTTCTTGGTAACTGGTAAGAGTTGCTGCAGCAGCATTGGTAAGAAATTTTTTAAATAATGAACATAATGTTTCGTATAATACAACATATATGATGTTATCTTTCAAAATGGGCGTTTGGTCTAGTGGTATGATTCTCGCTTAGGGTGCGAGAGGTCCCGAGTTCAATTCTCGGAACGCCCCACTTTTTTTTTCCCCTTCTTACGAGTCAAATTTACTTAGGCAGGGTAAAGAATTTAAATGTTACTGTCAACCTTCAATCTTCCTCTCTTCCTTATGGCAATTCAAACTCTTTATTTGCTTTTACAGATGAATTTGGTGGAGAACACAAACCAAAAGGACAAGAGCTTCCGCACAAATCAATCACAAAACATGTATTTAATAGTACTCAGAGTTCTAATCTCAATCTTAGCTTTTTTCAGAATCAGAGGAAAAGTCAGCAACAAAACAGCGACTACAACAATGGCATTGACCAGAGTAACTTTGATTAGAAGAGTCGAAAGACTTTAATCAAAAACACACTCGAGAGAATAAGGAGAAGAAGAGAGAACACACAAAAGCTGTTCAGTCACATAGATCTCTGACAAGGCAGGGAGTTGCAAAGCAGAGGCTTTCCACGGTTTCACCTGGTGAGTTTGAAGTCCAAGATCAAGATAATGGCGAGGACAAGGACTGTAATGATCGCCCCGATGGTCCATTTGTTCCTATTCATCCTCCTTGTCATCGCTGTCAATATTTTCTTGCTCTTCCCAACGTTATCATCGACTCCATGAAGCGTCTCATGTGCGCGTAATAGAGACTGCCTCTGCCCGTACAAATCCTCAAGGATTGAAACACCAAGCTCTTCAGTCTCCAGCATCGTTTTCCGACTGTCCTTGACTCTGTCTGTTGTTCGGCCTAAACGGTCCGTAGACATCATCAGTCTTGTTCTTTGATCAGCTGAAGTCTAACCAACCCATTTACACCGATCAGAGAAATCAAAAAATCTGTCTTAATCAAACGACCAAGACTAAAAGTATATTTATAGAGAGTCTCTCTACATACATACCGTCCTTGTGTCAGCCATACCAGCTTCTAGCAGCTCATCTCGAGCAGCAGCGTTTAGGTTACCGGATGTGATTCTCTTCACCTCATTCTTGAAATTGTTCAGATCGGATTTGTATTCCCTTAATTTGACAAGAAGGCTGGATTTAACATTAGGTGGTAAGCTTCTTGCCTCGAGATTCATTTTCTTAATCTGAAAAAAACAGAAAAGAATGGTAAAACGTAGAGTAACCACCACCAATCAAAACACATACAGAACAATGGTTAAACTTTCTCCAGATCAATCACATACCAGTGTTTCTGCATCCTCAACTCCAGATTTAATATCAGATAGCTTCTGCTTCTTTTGTTCTGCAAATTAGTAAAGGCACATTCAATTCAATTCATTTATTTTTCTGAATTTCTTTTGGAAGAAAAGACTAATGGGATTATCCATTTTACCTCCATCAAGAGAAGAAGCTGAAGTACACTTCTTTGAGAGATTTGCAGAAAGCTCACAGTATTGTCGCTCGTATCTTTCAAACACCTGACTCATCGTTCCCAGGAATTGTATATTACTAGTTGCAAATTTTCTGCAGAATCAGTTAAACGCATAAAAAATACATTAAATTCTATCACTAGTCTAAATTTAATCTTCAAAACAGTTAGAAAGAAGACGATTTACCGAAAATTGATCCCTGAAACATCGAAAAAGGAAGCAAGCACAAGATCAATTATATAAGTGAGGAGACCTCAGGCGAGCAAATGAATTAAAAAATGTTCGCCGGAGCTAAAGCCGATAAAGCACAGAATAAGGGAAAAAAAAAGAGCGATTAGGTGACGAAGGATTAAAAAAAACTTACAAGATGAATATTGATCGATGAGAAACGCCGGCAACGGAATGTGGATCGACGGGGGAGATCCGGCGAATACAGTTTTGGAACAGAAGGATAAAAATAAGATGAAATTGTTTTTTTTACAAGAAAATGTTTAAAAATGGTTGAGAGATTACTACAACGATTAAGGAAAAAACATCTAAGCCTCTAACTGGCTATACATAAAAAAGGAATAGGAATAAAAAGAAAAAGAATGAAAAAAACAAAAAAAAGGAATCAATAAAAATAAAATACATATAAAGAAATAAAGAATATTTTTTGTTCCTCTCCATATTTTATAAGAAATACTTTTGTTTTATAATTCCTTAAATAATAAGGAATGAGAGAGAATAACATGGAACAAATATTACTAGTGAATGGTAAAAAATTTAAGGAATGAAAATAAATTTATTATTCCTCCTCATTCCTTTAGTCATCGGTTAGAGTTTTAGTAAAAATATTGTTGTTTTAGTAAACCCGTAACTAACCCAAATCAATTGTAGGCCTAAATGTGTGTTAGGTTTTGCCACTAATATAAAACTGACTGCCTCTAGGAGTAAGTTGTAAGTAGCTCACCGATCAAAATAATCTCTGAAACTAAACCTGCACACTTGAACTTTGGAGACGACGACATGGATGTGGAAGCTTCTGCGGCGAATCAAGAGAATACTTCTCGTCCTGCGACGAATCTTATGAGGATGGAGGTGGCAGAGTCAGTCTGCATCACTGCATTGCCTGGTGGAGGTTACCAAATCGTAGGTGCCACAACGTGGATTAAACTCACCGGTACTGTTCTCGGTCTCGTTTCAGGCCAACCTTCTCCTCTGGCAGAAACTAAAGGTGGAAAAAGAGAGTAGATGAAGAAGATTGATGCAAAAAACTATTTAGAAGCAAGACTTTTTATGTAAAGAGGGAAAACACTTGCAATGTATCAAAAAAAGAAAAGCTTCATAAACATTTAATTTTTTTTTACTTTCAAAGAACACAAGTAATTTTTTTTTGTTTTATTTTTATTGAATATCATACAGAAATAACATGATATACATACGACATAATGAATTTTCCAATCATCATCATTCTCTAACACATCAAAATGTACTTTATCATCATCATCAATTCCAACAAGTAGGATAAGGAATACCACAAGCCGCTAGCATCGCGTGAGCTTGCTGGGATTTAATGAGGTTTTTAAAAGCTGGGGTCTGTTTGAAAGCACAAAAGCATGGTTGTTGTGCTTTCAATGTGTCGCAACACTGTGTCGTTGGTTTGCCTCCCAAGATGGCTGATGTGCATCCTGTGATCTCAATCTCGGTGCATGGTGCTCTCGTAGACTCAGGTTTCACCATGCTTGATTTGATCGGACCCGGACATGACAAAAACGCTACAACTAACGCGATGAATACTAGTTTTGTAAACTTCATCTCTTGTTTTCTTTCTTCTTTAAATATTTAAAGAGTACTTTGAGTAGCGTGATTAAAATAGGGATGGTGAATTGATTATATATAGGGTTTGTGGTATGTAGTTTTTTCACGTTTTCACGTTTTGGAAATTTGATTTTGTTATTTTTTACCATTCATGTTATTCATCACGTTTTCACGTTTTCATGTTTTTTTATGTTTTTGAAACGTGATTCCGCTAGCGTGTTAAAAATATAACTAAAAAAACAAAACGTGATTAATCTACTAAAAGTAGCTTTTCAGCGTTTCACAATTATTCAGCTAAAATATTATTCAGTTCAGTTCATTCCGCTAGTAATTTTTCAGTTATTCCGCTATTCTGTTATTCATCTGACATAGACCCATAGATCTCAAACTTCTAACTTATCAGTATCACAACTGTCAAAACTTTCCAACATAAGTATGTAGTCAAACTTTATTTTAATTGTAGGAAAATTTGACTACACGAATTTTAATTAGTCAAACTTCTAATCACCATTATTTATTAGGAAAATCAAAAGGAAGACAAAATCATCATAAGTATATCTTTTTTTGGATTTTTTTCTACTATAATAATTAAAAATGGAAACTGGAAATCATTTTTGACTAAAATACAATCATCAAAAGTTTTTTAAAAAAAATTGTTTATGCAATTGGCCGTTTGGCCTAGAGAACCTAGATATGTACATGATTAATTATACTTGCATATTTTATAAATTATTTCTGCTCTTATGTAATTGTTAAGTAACACATGAGGTAATTTACATGATACAACCTATCGAGGTTAAAAAAACAGATGCTTTACTGAGGCAATTCGAGATCGGGTCTTTGATCAAAAGCATCGCTTATTGTATCAGAACAATAAAATAGATGTTTTTTTTTGTTTACAGGAAAATATTCAGAAATCATTTGAAAATGGTTAAATGGTTAGAGATTTGCTTGCTTCATTTTTCGATGTGTTGTTTACTTTTTTTCTTTTCTTTTATCACGCAAGAAAATAATAAGTTTCGGTTTTATGATAACCGATTAAGGAAGTAAGCAAGCCACTTTTTAACTTTTAAGCTTATAAGATAAATCAGTTTTAACAATTTTTTTCTTATAAAACTATTACCCATTTCTTTACGTATGTGCGGGTATAATATTTTTGATATACATAATTAAAACATTAGTATATTTGTATATATATATATATATATATATATATTGTTTTAGTATTTCATAACTTATTTCTGGAACTAATGTATTTTAAAAACTTTTATTTTTATAAAATTTATAATAATATATAATCAAAAATATAAAAGTTATATTAAATAATAATTAAATTCTTATAATATTTTTTTGAATATTATTTATTATATGTTTTATTTTATCTTACACAATCTACAATAATTTTTTTACGTCTTACATAATATGAATTTGAAATATGTATATAATATATTTTTAAGTATATATTATTTTTTTATTTATTGCAAATTAAACTGAAATAGTTTTTACTATTTTTACTTATTCTAAGAGCGGATAGATAGTTGACATGCATGTGTGGGGGTACCAACCGCCTCACTACGCTTAGAATAGATAAAGATTTTTTTTAAGATAAATTGTACTATAAAAATTAAAATATAAATTAGACTGTAATCAAGCTTAACAAATACTAACATCCACGAAAAAGTTCATGTGACTTCTACTAATGCACAAATATTATTTATGTTTGTACGCGTATTTGTAAAAAAGTCGAAATATGGCTCTTACATGTTAAAAAAATTTTAAGTGACTTTGTAAAACAAAGTGAGAGAGATTTATTTTTATACACTTCTATTTTTAATTCTTATTAATATTTATTTCATTTTATTTAAATTTATTATTTCATTCGGTTATTTTTTATTTCATTTATGATCTCGATTTTTTGATATACAATAAAAAAATTACGAATATATATATATATATATGAATATGATATAATTTTTTTTATTTAAAATATGATAAGAGATAAGATGAGATGGTAACATAAGTTATGTATATTTTAGAAAATAATAATAAAAATGTGATACAAGTTTTATAAAAATATATGGTCCTATTAATATTATAAAATAATAATTAGTATATACTTTATTCATTTAGTAAATATTGGTTTGAAAAGAAAATTTATTTTAAATTACGTTTTTTAAAAATTTTCAATAAATTTTAATTATTTTTTATTATTTTTAATATTTTATTCTTTAAATTATTTTTTTATCATGATTGTATTTTATTTGAAATTGTATTATTTAATAATTTGTTTAGATATTATTATTATATTTTGTAAATTAATATTTTTCCAAAATAAATATATATCATAATTCAAACATTATTAATATATAAAATCTTTACTATTCTATTGGATAATTTAATATTATTTTTTCGATTTCATATGAAATATATATATTTTAAAATCATAATAATTATTATTTTCTGTTAATTTAAAATTTGTTAATTTTAGTGTTATAAGTATAATCTAGTATTTTATGTTTTAATTCTTGAAGTTTTTTAATTTTAATTCAACCAATCAAAACATTTCATTTATTTTAGAAAGTTTGACATGTCACATTTACATGTCATCAATTAAAAGCACTAACTTTGGCTGTAGTATTGTCAAGTCAGCTATTTTCAATAATGTTACTTCTCAAATAATATATAGTAGATTTTGTTGGTACGATAACTTCAACACATCTTAATCCAACGATTAGATATTTCATGATAGCCTAGTAATATATGATGAATCTATGAAGTTATTATCTAACTCACATCTGAAAAATTATGTCATGTTCTTTGGGTAAAGTTTCTAAGGCAAAAAATTTAGTCGAAACACTTCATAAACATTTCTTTTTCCTTTCAAAGAACACATTTAAAATTTCATTTTATATTATACGGAATTGACATGATACATGACATCATAAATTCTCAATCATCATCAATACACCTCAAAATATACTTTTTTTTTAATATTAAAAATAACTTCAAGTCCAACAAGCAGGATAAGGAATACCACAAGCCGCTAGCATCGCGTGAGCTTGCGGGGAAGTAAGGAGGTCTTTAAAAGCTGGAGTCTTAATGAAATCACAAAAACATGGTTCTTGTGCTTTCAGTTTCTCGCAACACTGCGTCGTTGGTTTGCCTCCCAAGATGGCTGATGTGCATCCCGTAATCTCAATCTCGGTGCATGGTGGTTGCGTAGACTCAGGGTTTACCACCCTTGATTCGATCGGAGCCGGAGATGACAAAAACGCTACAACAAACGCCATGACTACTAGTTTTGTAAACTTCATCTCTTGTGACTTTCTCTCCACTCTTTTTTCTTCTTATTTCTTTGTTGTTTATGTGTTTAAAAGAGAGTACTTTTGAGTAGTAGTGTTCAGCTAGGGATGGTGGATTGATTATATATAGATCTCAAACTTTTAACCTAATCGTCACAAATGTCAGATTTTGCAATGTGTGGATTGTCTGTCTCAATATTAATTAGGAAACAAATCGTCAAAAATTGATTTATTCTAGATTTTTCACTATAAGAAGTTAAAATGGAAATTAGAAATATTTTTTACTAAAATAAAATCATCAAAAGTAAATAAAAAATTCAACTTTTACTAGAAAATAGTTTATGTATAGTATATGTATAATTTACATGATACAACACCTATCAAGGCAAAAAAAAAAAAAAAAAAAATAGATGTTTTCTCTGTGAAGATCAAGAAGCAAACACAAGTAACAAGTTTATCTGAATGCTTTACTGAGGCAACTCGAGATCGGGTCTTCGATCAAAAGCATCACTAGTAGAATCATCTGGAAACGCGTCTGGATACGTAGCCATAATCTTACTTTTGATGCTCCTGAAACATGGGAAGCACTCGTCGTGAGCCTCTAATAAGAAGAAGGTCGTGAACGAGTCAGAACGAAACGGATACAACAAGAACGGGAGGAGCATAACCTTAGTTTCAAGAAGATGTAATCGAGGTCAGCTTTCATGGATTTAAGAAGACGTGTGTTTCTAGAGAACTCCAATGATACATCCGCGAAGCAATTCTCTGCAAATTCGTTGTAATGGGAGAGAACTGCATTGCTATCCTGTAGCCTCCCCAATCTAGGAAAATTGGCATTTGATCAATAATCATCAATCAACACATATCGAGTTCTTGATATAAACCAAGTCATCAGATTCCATTTGTAAATATAAAGAGTGCTCAGACAAAAGACTTTTCCAACACCTGTGAAGCTGTAGCAATGATCCGAGCCACAAGCACTATACTAAGCACTATTGGTGGAATCTAGTGTCAACTATGAATTAGTGATTGATACCTAGAGATGGCGGAAACTATAGTTTCTAGGACAAAATGAGAGACAACATACATGAGGTGCTGCAAATGTCTGAGAGAATTGAGATCTTCTGTCTTAACAAGAGTCTTGAATTCATCAGAGACTTGTTGTGAAGCTGCTCTTATGGGTTCTTCCATCTTCCTCCTCTCCTAAGTGAGAAAAAAAAGAGAGCATATAAGGCCAAAGGTATTCTTCTATTAGGTATTTGTCATAAATTTGAACAGATGAACCAAAACCCCAAAAAAAATTCAGATTCAAAGTCTCCAGCAACCAAAACGACGAAATCACCTATCGCGAATTTTCTTCAAACGATAATCTAAAATCAAAACGTAACCGAAACCACCTGATCCGGAGAACATTGAAGATGATAACACAAAGAGGAACAGGTTGTGCATATCAAACGAATTCGAATTCGAATTCGAATTCGGCTCACCTTAGACTGCGAGCGGATCGAAGGAAGTTGCGAGATGCTGTGTGATTTTGCCTTTTTCGTAAATCTCTCATTTTCTGGTAGAAACTCGATTCGGTTCAATCGGAATTCGGCTCGCAACGGTTTAGATTGGTTTAAACGCATCGGTTCGGTTCGGTTTAGATAATTCGGATTTGCGTTTTTTTAAACAAAAATAATTATCTTCGGATTTGTTTCGGTTTGACATCACGTAAACAGCCGATAATAAAACATTGATTTCACATTGGTTTGTATAATAAACAATAGTAAAATACCAATCATATATTATATTTTATAGGAACTCATGAAGTTGAAAATTCAACATGTAGGATATGGAATTTTACAAGCATCGAAAAGTTTGTGAGCATTTGGAGTTCTCCAAATAAAACCAAACCAATAGTCTTTGATGTAACCACACATACACGGCTGGTGTTCTGTGAGTTTCTCGCAGCAGCGTGGAACCGGTGGAAGATGTCCGATGATCGGTAGGAGACATGGTTGAAGAGGGTCTTTCATATCGCAAACCACTTTCTCTTCTCCGGCCGCGGTTGCTCTGACCAATGTCGGAGATAATTGGATGACTACCACAACCACAAGGAGTACTAATGTTGTGAACTTCATGTCCTCCTCGATTTCAATTTGTTTTTATTTGTTTTTTTGGTTTCAAGAATGTTTTGAGATTTTTATTTTGATTGATGGTAAGAGCTACTATATATAATAATATAGATACAAAACCATATAACTTTTATGCATTTCATATCTAGTCAAGGCAAGGTGGGTACACCCCCATAATGGTAACAAATGTAATTTTCTTTAAACATTAATTAGTGCCCCCATAATATAAGTCTTGTTATTCTCCCATTCCTTTTAGTTACAACCTTACCAAAGTCATGAAGTTCAAATAGATAAACTGAGTTTAAAGCCAAGATTTAAGAATCAGAATGCATCTTGAAAACAGCTTAAGTTTATGTACACATCATCAAACCTTTAAAAACCTTCAAAAAAGGAAGAAAAAAAAAGAAAGTTACTATTACAGTATTACAGTAGAGTTTGACTTAGGATCCAGGTATATAAAAGTAACCCGGCAAAGTAAAACACTGCACCCACATATTATATGATCTTCTCTACTATTACAAACCGTGAAATAGGGAAAAGAAAAAAAAAATGTCTGAACAAATGGTTAAAAAGGTTCAGATCACACGGAGCTCGGTGAGAAAGGCGGCACATAGATCCAAGAAGAGAAACTGAGGACCGTTAACTCTCTGGATATCAAGCAAGTACTTCTCTTCGCGTGCTTTGTATAGCTGTTTCAAAATAAAAAAAGTAGTTAACGTGTGTGTAAAATGATATATCTGAGCATTGTTCTTCTGTAACAGTTGGTTCAAGTTTTGTAAAAGAGTCCTAGAGTCGGTTTAGGTTTGGTGAACTACTGGGAAAAGAACCAAGAAACCTATATCCAACTCGAATATAAAACAACAGCAGATCTTAGTCCAGCTAGATTTTGGGAAAGTAAAACCGTTGATCTGTTCATATTTTATTTTTTCTCTCCTAATGGTTCCTACGATGTGTGAGTTTGAAGTTACCTGAAGTTCAAATTTGATGACGGTGGGTGAGGTCATGGCACAGTCATCCTCAACGATGCTGGATTCATCTCTGAAGTGCAGCTGATTGTTGTCCATAGTATTCTCACCATCCGCAAAACCAGGAACCCATCGGCATTTCATGTTGTAGTGACCGATCTTCTTCCAACACACATTGAGTTCTTGAAGAGCTTTCAAAACTTCATTCATGATTTCACGAGGATGCGCATGGGACTGTTCAAAAAACCACAGTAACATATATCTGATTGTGTGTTTCATTGGTGAGGGAAAAGAAGATTCAGCAATAAGAAACAAACCTGAAGTCCAAGAGCCCATTTTCTGTCAGCTGGGATCTGTGATCTTGCTCCCAACCCGTAGTTATCCATATGTGCAGGAACCCAGTGGCCTACAGGTGAAGCTGCTGCTTCAGCTGGGCGCATAGGATTGGAACCACTGTCCTATGAAGAGAGATTGAAAAGGTGAAAAATGTTAGTAGAAAATCAAAAGGTGAAAATGTTAAGCTATCAACTTGGGAGAGAAAAGAATAAACACATACTGTTGTCTCCTGAAACTCGGACTCAAGATAGCCACTTGGAACACGGAACCGGTTGTCTAATAACAGGTAGTATGTAACAGTAGCCTGAAACAAGAAGCAAGTGGCATTTCAATAACAACTATTGGAAACTAGCTTAGGGGATTAAAAAGTCTTAACAGACAGAAACCACATACATCGTTTTGTACTCTGTTGCGAAGAGATTCCATAACCTGGTTTCTGTCAAATCCCATGTTAAGGACTTCTTGAATGATCTCCTCATTGATCTGTAAAAGTATAAGAGAAGTCGTTACTATTACCGCAAGTGACCCTCTTTTTTTTTTTTTTTCCAAAAACCAACCTTTTTAGCCTGCTCTGCTGTATCTGGTGGAGAAACAGCAAGATAACGAGGAAGATGAGTCTGGAACCAACGGTGTTGACGGATCTCAGGGATGGTGATTCGTTTTACTGGGTCAACTATAAGCATCCTTGGGATCAGGTCTCTAGCATCAGATGATAAATGACTTGGAAGAGTGTAAATCCCACCCTAGAGAGAAAATAACACCTCGTTTATTTTCTTGGCATAAATCTGAGCCACTGAGCTGAATCAGAGTATAATGTAGAGACAGTACCTTTATTTTCTTGAAAAGGTTGGGAATGTTTTCATCATCAAATGGAAGAGTACCACATAATAAAGCATACAATATCACTCCGCAACTCCATACATCTACTTCAGGTCCAGCATATAATTTTCCTGATATAACCTACAACAAGTAGGAAGAGATGATTCATTGAAAAAAGTTAAAAGAGTTTCAGATAGATACTCAAATACCCAGTGAAGAGAGAAACGTGACACCAAGTGAATAAGGAAATGAATACCTCGGGAGCAGCATAGTTGGGGCTTCCACAGCTCGTCTTTAGAAAATGACCATCCCGCATGACATTACTAAGCCCAAAGTCTGCAATCTTAATGTTGCACCTCGAGTCCAATAGTAGATTCTCAGGCTTCAGGTCTCTGTGGACAACCATATTGCGGTGGCAATACTCCACACCAGATATTATCTGATCGGATAACAGTAACAAAACTCAAAACTCAGAGAAGAAGAAGATGATAAGCTACAAACACACTGGCTGTGGTAAGACTAAGAGAAATGAAACCTGCTGGAAAAAGTTACGAGCCTCATCCTCCTGTAATCTGCCTTTCTCCACAATATAATCAAAAAGCTCTCCAGACTTTACATACTCCATTACAACATAAATGTCACTTGGGGTCTCTATTACTTCATACTGCCTAATTATATGAGGATGCATGAACAATCTCAAGATTTTGATCTCCCTCCTCACTGGAAAAAAAAAAATAGACATACGTTCAGCTAAAAAGGAATACAACCAATATACCGACAAAAAATGATTTTTAAAGCACATACATATAACCTTTTGCAATCACTATTGAAATCTGTAAAGCTAGAGAGCCTAAGAATGCATGTGTTACCTTTCTCTTCCATTTCCATGTTCTTGATCTTACGGCGGTTGAGGATTTTGATAGCAACCTTGTGGCCCGTGACGACATGCTCAGCTATTTTCACCTTCCCAAAAGATCCAATTCCCAGAGTTTTACCAAGCTTGTAGTTTGGTAAAATCGATTCCACTCCATTGCCGAATCTATTTGAAGAATGATCCATCTCCTGTGCCAAATGCAATAGAAATTGATTGCGTAGCAGCTCCTGTAAATGTTCAACTCATCCAATGTCTCGCTGCCATAGCTAAACCTAAACCATAAACCTTAACCATGCAAGAGAACTAACAACATAAACCGACATCAGTACTTGTAATGGTGGCTGCTTTTTACTCTGCAACGAAACCATGGAAGTAATCGCAACACACAATCGCCATTCTCACTTCTTATCAGATGTTCTCTACCACACAGACTTCTGAAACATATTCTCAAAAATCTATCACTAATCAAATTTGGTTATCGCAGAAGAAATCGAGAAATTGAACAAACAGAAAAAGTCAATTTACCCGAAAACCCTTAAGAGTCAATCCCTCTCCGAGCAGATCCCAGAATCAAAACGACGAAAATTGTTGAAAGAGAAAGAGCGAAGAAATAGGCAGAAACACAGAAAATCTAATTGATAGAGAAGGAGAGCGAGAGAAGAATCGTGGAGCCTAGTTGAGATAGATATGAGAAGAAGAAGTAAACTTACGGTGTAATCGTAAAATCTCGGGAACTCAGATTCCAACTCCTCTCTGACGCAGAGCTGAGTCAGTCCTTTTGAGTCTTCTTCATTGGTGATCTCAGTTAATTAGTAGATGACGACGAATCAATTAACGAAAACACACACTTTGTATCAAATTTAATGCAATTTTGCGCAATCCCTCCTCGAATGGAAGAAATAACCATTTACTGTGTCTTTACTTTTTAAGTTGATTAGTAGGCTTACGAATCAATTTAATTATTTCTTCATATACTTATGGAATAAATTGTTTACTTTGACAAAGTTGATACAGTTTCAGTTTAGTTAATCGTGATATATAGATCAACTCAACGTCTTATATCACCCACAAAGACAACTTCACTTCTTCTTTTGCCTTCTTTGTCGAAAACACAGCAATCTGTTTTATCTCTACAATCCAAGCTTTGTATCTGTCAGAACACAACTGGAGTATTCTCTACTACACGATAGGAAGAAAAATCTAAGCGATTCATGAAAACAGCTCAAAGTCTATTACTTTTGGATTACCATCTCTCTAACAAGACTCTACCTCAGTAAAAAGAAAACGAAAGAAAACTTTTCTATGCACATATACTCTTTAGTACTTCTCCAGCTACTTGAGCTCAGTAGGAGGGAATGGCTGCGAAACGGTAACCTTCAGCTCCTCTCCATGAATAGTAAGCAATCCGAGTCTCGTAGAACCCTGTAGCCACAATCGTGAAATGTGTCAGAGCCTTTAAACTCACTGTTACGTCTCATAGCATACAATGAGTAAAGAGAACAAACAAAGAAAAAGATAGTGAAATCATCACCAAGTATCCAGCAGCATGAGGAATTCAAATAGTGAAACATCATATTCTAAGTCTTACCAGGGAGGAAAGTAAGGATCCCAAGGACGAGAAGTGCATAGCCTTGAGAGCTATCTCCTTCCATGTGACCAGTGAAGATGAAGAAGGTCAGAAGGAGAAGCAAGCAACCGAGGAACAGAAGAAACACAGCTAGTGCTATGGACCTCCATGGAACTCTATCAAATGATTTCGGTGTATAATCGAAGCGGGGATCGTAATCTCTCCTTCCACCACCAACATTTGCATAACCTTCGCCATCTTCATCTCCTGGAAGCTGAGCATACCGCACATTTCTCCTGGACGCCATTGATCCTTCACTATCACAAACACGTATTATCATTAAGCAGAGAAAATGCTGAAAATGCTGGAACTCACATCTCATCAGAGTAAACACAAAAATGTTCATAGACACCATAAGTTCACAAATCGTATCTAAAAGCCTAAGCAAAACAAAGTACAAATAAGAATCAACCAAGGCTAGGTGAAGCAGATCTAGAACGAAATTCCCACGCAAAAATCAACAAATTTAATCGCCGCCAAAATTTGAGAAGCAGAGCGAATCAAAACCTGATACAGCTATGAAGAAGAGAACGGCGTGCCGCGACACTCACCGGAATTAAGTTATTCCGTCGAAAACGATACAGATCGAACTAGGATCCGGATCTACTTTGACGAAAGGATTTGCATATGTTCTTCGTCTCTATCGTAACGACGCGTTTTGTGAGTTAACACTTTTTGTTTGTTTGTTAATGATTCTGATCCAAAATTTACAGATTAAACCCTTATCTTTCACTTCTTTACATGTTGAACCTGACTTTATTTATCGCCTCTTTTATAACCCCGCAAGAAGCGAAAATTTCATTCATCTATAGGTTCGAATGGTATGTCAACTGAATAGCAGAATAACAGAATAGCTGAATTATAAAATAGCGGAATCATAAGAACGAAATTATAAAACAGCTGAATAACAAAAAATGAAATTTCATAATGATAGAATGTTGGAATGGTATGTTTTTAGCTGAATAACTGAATAATAAAATAAATAGTACTAAATTACCAAACTAAATATTAAATGTAAAAGTAAAAAATAATTTAAACGAATTTATAAAATAGTTATGTCCTATAAATTCAAAAAAAAATAATCAAAGCTCAAAGCATCTCAAACAGAACAAAAACAAATCAAATATAACAATTAAAACAAATAAAAAAAAATTTGAGAAAATATTCTGAAACTAAAAAACTCCTACGCTTCCATATTCCATAAGTGAGATACAATCTTTTGACGAACGGTCTGCATACTTACGTCTTCTTCTTGCTCATGAATATTAGTATCACTTCTTCCTGTGTTTTCATGACCATTGATATCAAATCTATCCACTTCTCCAAAATCTTGATCTGGAATTTGAGATCGCCGTATAAAGTTGTGTAAACCTATCATAGCTGCAACAATTTTCTTCCTAAGTATGATTTTTTGGTAATTTTTTATCAACTATTATTCCTAAGTATGATTTTCATCAACTACTTTGAACACAATAAAATAATTCTCGATGTCTTAAAAGAGCAAGTTAAGAAATATACTTACATCACCAAAGCCACGAACTTGTGAATCTGACTCATCAGACGAACTCATGATGCAATTGGAAATCTGCAGTTTCATAGATCGAGAATAGTTAATATGACAGCTTGAATTCAACTAAGTGTTTTATTACCTTAATCCTAAGTCCATAATTCATAGCTATTGAGGTGCACATGCCATCATAATAGCAAATCTAATAGAAACAAAAACAAAAAAAACTACTTTCTTAGTTGACTGCGTTCCATTTATCACAAATATATATATGTCTATAGCTAGATTATTGATAGCTTAAATAGAAAGATGGCAGTAAAAGATGACGGGATGTAATCCGGCGCTAATATATGGAAGCAAAACTAATTATTAATTTATTATAATAAAAAATAAAATTATAATTTATTTTAGGGTAAAAATAATTAACAAAAAAATTAATTATTTTGAAACGTCAAAAAGCTGCTCTTAAGTAGATGAATGAAGTTTTGTGTAAACTAGTTATAAATATAAAACGTGCAGGATAGTTTTAAAAAGCACTTGTTAATTTTTAATTTTTATCATTCCGTGCGTGTTGTTGTGAATGGTATGTTTTCAGCGGAATCACGTTTTCAAAACGTGAAAACGTGAAAAAGCTGCATACCATTCAACACCTATGTACTGCTGGATGGGAATTTTATCTACGGAGGTTTAATAGGAAATGATCAGGTCGACGTGTAAGTTACACGGTGTAAAAATAATCCTGATTTTTTTTTATAGATATTTGATATTCGAATTTCTGCTTAATTCAGTATATTTGATTGGAAATGATTCATTTTCTAAATAATATTAAAATTTTGCAAAACCTTTTTATGAAGTTATATAAAAATTAAATTATTAAATTTTATAACATGTACCTAAATTTAAACCATATCAATACTCACTAGTCACTAGTGTTTTAGGAATGGAACGAGGAGATACCATTTGAATATGTATGATTTTGTTATGCAATATGTTAATTTTAGATTTATGAACTTACGAGCTTTCCTGAATCGAATAGAGGTTGCACAAGTCCTAGTTACTAAAACTTGGTGCTTCCAATAATAATAATTTTGACTAGGCAGTGAAACCTATAATTATCCAAAACCTCTAAAGTGATAATGGGCAAATAAAACCAAAAGGAAAATTATCTCTCCTCTAGAGAGTCCTCTCGCTCTGGTTTCTCTTTCTTTAGAGAGAAAGTAGAGAGACAAGAGAAGGACAAAGCTAATCTTCCCTTTTTGTTTGATTGGTGTCCGTGTCCGGATCCGAAATTTCCGGGGCTCAAATCTAATTCGGCTTATCTTCCCTTCCTGGATTCTTCTTCCTCCCTCCGAGATTAGAAATCTCTGCAACGAACGGGAAGATTCTTCCCCTTTTTTTTTCAGACAAAAAAACAACAACAAAAGGGGATTTGCCCTTTTATCATGCCTACTTTTTTCAGGTACTATCAGATTCATCGACTTTTGTTTTTCGAGTCTCACTGTCTTGGATTCGTCTTTAAATTAATGTACATTGTGGATCATGCTCATGCATGTTCTATCTATTTTACCCGTTTACTTAATTTTCTCGTTCGGATCTGTTCTGATTTAGCTATGGATTGATCATGATCTTTACAAACTCAGGCCCCCTTTTTTTTTACCTTCATCCGTAACTTCTTTTGCGTATTTTTTCAGCGATTGCACTGCATGCGTGCGATATGTTCTTCTGGAAAATCTATTTGGTTTTTTTATTTGATAATTATATTTCCTGTGTTCCTGATTGATGTTGACGTCGTTAATCATATATACATATGTTCAACTCTCTGGCGAAAACTGTTTTTATACGATGCTGAAAGTGATTGAAACCTCTGATTTATTAATAATCTTTATATCAATGCAACCATATTCATACATGAGAGGAAAAAAAAAACTGGTTCATGTTTTGAGATTTTCAGTATTGAGATTTGTCGCTACATGTTGTTGTTGTCCCCCACTTCCTCTGATTATTGGTTTTTCGGGTACACTTATGAGCTGGCTAATATATTATATAGTTGAGAGATTTTGTAATGACTTGTGTATTTGATTCTTCAAACTTGGTCCATATGTTAGTAATAAGCCAGAAAGTGACAACTAGTTTCTGTATGTGGGGATATATATTTGTTTAGCTATCTTTCAAAAAATTATGTGTTTATATATTGCAAAAGCATTTGGCCTTTTCATGAGAATTCTTCTTTTTCTCACCGATTACATTTTCTTTTTCTTCCAACAGGATCTAAACAAAAATATATTAAAAAAAAAGGATGGGTGGATGTGTGTCAACCCATTCAAGAGGAATCAGGCCACGGCGTAAAGGCCGTCGCAGATCTTCAAAACACTTGTCGAAAGTGTCTGATATTGTTCCTCATGCAAATATCAGAAGGCCTAGTGATGTTGGGAACCGAGTTTCTTTCGGTGAGTATGTCCTTTACCGGCCAACTTAATCTTGCAGTTGTTAGATCATATAAATTTTGATTATGTTTGCTCATAAACAAAGATGAATGTGGACAATCATACAGCTATCTCGCAAGATGATGCATGGTTTGACTCTGTCAGTGTTCTTGATTCGGATGAAGATGAGGAGGACTTCATCAGCCTATCTGAAGGTAAAATGCCAATTATATAGAGCTCATATGATATATAATAAATAGAGGAACAATTTTAATATGGATCTGAATTTGTTCTTTTGCTCGCAGCTGATAACGTATCATCAGCGAGTAACATCCCAAATGGTCAAGTAGTTCAATTTGAATCTTCTTCGTGTATTGTGGATGGGAAAGGAAAGTACGAAGAGTACCATGAGACTTACTTGAAGATAGATGGGAGTAAACCGGAGAAGTATCCTAGTGGTCGTCTCTCTATTCTCTCCGGAAACAACAAGAAGAAGCTAATGGACCATGCAAGCTTCAAAGGCTTAAAGGAACAGAAACGGAACTCTCAAGACAAAACCCTGAGATCCAGCCTGAGCCGGTTGATGCCAACCGTTAGTTTCAACGAGAAGACTCTTAACTCGCCAACATCTCAGAAACGGAAATCAGCGGTTTATCGGCTTTCCTTCAAGAGGAGGTCGTGCGACGGCGAGGAAGTTACCGAGCACCGTAAGCTGCTGTACCGTCCGAAAGCTGGATTCACCATTCCTTGCTCAGCCAGAGAGAATCAGTCTAGTGGAAGTTGGTGTGAGATACCGCCTTCAACTTTTAAACTCCGTGGAGAAACCTATTTCAAGTACAACGCCTTTTCCACAACTCTGTTTCATGTATCTTTTAGTAGAAACCGTTTTGTGTGTAACTGTTTTAAGGATATGGTGTTTGCAGGGACAAAAAGAAATCACCAGCTCCAAATCAGTGTCCGTACACTCCTATTGGCGTTGACTTGTTTGTCTGTCCAAGGAAGATTGATCATATCGCTCAACACATCGAGCTTCCAAACATCAAAGCCGAGGCAAAGCTCCCTGCTCTTCTCGTTGTCAACATTCAGGTAACGAACCACCACTCAAACATCAATTGCTTCTTAGTCTTGGGTTTGTCACGAAACTTTTTGCTTGTATCATGTTCATAAGAAGCGTGTGGATAGTCGTTTTGATATGTGCATATATGTGTAGCAAATGATCCTGACCTTTGTGCCTCATTGGCAGTTACCAACTTATCCTGCTGCAATGTTCCTTGGAGATAGCGATGGAGAAGGCATGAGCATTGTGCTTTACTTTAAACTGCGAGACAATTTCGAAAAAGAAACCTCTCAGCAATATCAGGACAGCATCAAGGTAGCTTTCGAAAGGCCATTCCTTTACAACTCTCACATCTCGTGATTGATCTGAATGCTTACCGGGGATTTATGTTTTTGTTTGCCAAAACAGAAACTTGTCAATGATGAGATGGAGAAGGTGAAAGGTTTTGCGAAAGACAACAATGTTGCTTTCCGTGAAAGGCTTAAGATCGTGGCTGGACTTGTGAACCCGGAAGATCTAACTCTAAGCTCGACTGAGAAGAAGCTTGTACAGGCTTACAATGAAAAACCTGTCCTCTCTCGTCCTCAACACAACTTCTTTAAGGTATGAGCACCACTTACCTCTTGAAACACACAAAAGAAGAAGAAAGAATGAATATTTTGCTTTTACCTCTCAAACAGGGTCCAAACTACTTTGAGATTGATTTGGATGTGCATCGATTCAGCTACATATCACGGAAAGGACTTGAAGCATTCAGAGATCGACTGAAGAATGGAACTCTTGATCTCGGTTTAACCATCCAGGTATATGAGCTTATTAGCAGCTTCCATACAAAGTAGTTATATTTAAATTCAGACCAGAGGTTCTAACTTTTGATTGTCTTTAAAATTGGAACATGAAACACAGGCTCAAAAACCAGAAGAGCTGCCGGAAGAAGTCTTATGCTGTCTGAGGCTGAGCAAGATTGACTTCGTTGACCACGGTCAAATCCCGATGCTTCTAATCCCGGAGGATGGGGAAACTCTCGTGTAAACAAACGTCACCCATCTTGTATCCTCAACCGTCGGATGAAGAAACCAAATAAAAAGTGTGTTGTTGTTTATTCATCAAAATATTGTATATTTCCAAATTATGTACATTTTATAACTTATATATATATATATATAACGTTGGTAATGCAAAACTCTAGAAGTCATCATCTTCTCGAGTTTGCCCCTTTTGTTGTAACTTTGCACTCTGTTACCTCAATTACACTGTGTTGTGTTGTGTGTTTATTATTTGCTGTGAGTTGGGCTGGCTTTTCAAACTGCCGTTCATTTTAATTTAATATGTTGTGGTGGGTAAAAATGAAAGAAGAAATAAATGTCGGGGTCAAAATGAAAGAAGTAATAAACGTAGGGGTAAAGATAGAAAAAAGAGAAAAGAAAGGTGGGTGTATATAAAGGAGTAAGAACCCTAGAAGAAGAGAGAAAAGAGAGGCGCCTGAGGCCGAGCGCTTCCCTCGTGAGTGAGGGGTGGCGTGGTATACCACGAGATAAGGTGTTTCATTGGGATTGTGGCGTACCCTAAGGGTGCGTAGGCGCATATCATTCAATCGGGGCCCTTCTCTGCTTCTGCTGTTTCCTTTTACTTAGGCTGTCGAAGCAGAGCGGTTTCTGCCCTACATTTCTCTCTTTCGTTTTCGTTGAGTTTTTCTTGTTTTGCTTATTGGATTTGATTTTTTGTTTTTTCGAGCCTCTGAAAAGTTTCTGCTTTGCAAGACTATCGTAGAAAGTCCCGACTATAATGGCCTCAAGATTCTTTGATCTACGGATCTGCTTAAAAGAGAACGGATTTCTTTTTTCTTATTTTCTAAGCTCAGATCAGTAAGTAACTAGGGATCCGACAACAAATTCAGAGATTTTCAAAATGATTTTAAGTCTCTTTTTTTAGCTAATGACCGGTTTGGTTTTTTTTTTTAATATGTTGAATGCTTCTGTTTTATCTTTCAGCACAAGAAAATCGCTAGCATTTCAAACAAGAGAATCATTTGAACGCGAACGTAATTGTAAAAATTCCCATCTAATTCACTTAAGACGTAATTACTCTTTGAAGACATAACGGAACATAATCAGAAAATTGGGAATTTGAGTGGACATTATCAGAAAATGTTGATCAGCTAAACGAATACTCCAAATTCTAAATTAATAGCGTCTTAAGTTGGTTTATGTCTTTGGCAAAGAACAAATTCTGAAGAAATTAAATTATGATGTGAGATCAAAATGGTCGACTATAAGTCATTTTAAAGATCCAAAGTCAATAGATTTGCTGTTTTGTTTATACAGAAATCTCAGACAGTACAAAGGGCATACATGATCTATTTATGTGTCCAAAACAAAGAAGAAACTCACACTTTGATCTCAGAAAAATAAGTTGATGACACAGCCATACCTTCATGGTCATATGTGCGCACGAGTCTCTGTCTTGAGACAAACGATTCAAGCCAGCAGAACTCTAGATGGAAAGACTTCAACTCAGCAACACTCTTTGATACGTCGCAGGGACATCCCATGTACATACCTCCTGGTAACAGGGTCATCTGATATCCTTCCTCGAACGTAACCAAGTTCTTCGACATTTTCCCCTCCCAGTGCACATTTGTCGTCACGTTTTTCACATCGGATGTCGACGAAATATCCTGATATTGGTATCATACACCTTATAAGGTCAGAGATAAAAGGCTAAAAGCGGAAAGTTTCAATTTCTATGTGGGAGTGTGTTGTATTACCTGGACAACTTGACCTTTGTCATTCATTTCAAGAACAGCAACTGTATCGGCTTCAGATAGTGTTGCTCCATAGACACCGCTTCGTTTTGTTATTGAACGACCTTTCCAAGTACCGAGAAATGGTGTAATCCTTTCTGCATCATCCTGCTAACTTGAATCAGCACTAAAATGGCATCATACAAGGACTGTATGGCTTGAAACGATAAACCGATCCGACAACAAATCACCTGAGAATCGTGGAGGGCTGGATGAAGGAGATTCTCTAGCCCTCTTTCCTCGAGGAATACAATAAGCATCTCAAGAACACCTTTGGGATCCATGATGTGAAAGGCTCTGGCTCTTCTATCCATCTCCTTCGAATACAAGCAGTTCTCACATACTAAAGCAGGACGCCGAGATGGAAGTTTAAGGAATCTGAACAAAAATGGTTATAAGCCTATTACTACAGTCTACTACGATCATGCATGCTTCATTTGTAAAGAAAAACAGCCAACGGGGCACATGATGAGAAACCAACCTTGGTGATTCTTCTCCAGTGTCATCTTCCCCGAGCACGCCTTGCCTTAACGTCGTATCCAACATTCCAGCGGTTTGATACCTCAGCGAAAATGCTCTCTCCTTGGGGAAAAATCCAATCTGCAGACTACTGATGGTGGATATCAAGAGATAAAAAAAAATGAGATAGTCAAGATACTAATTTAAACCCTAAGACTGAGACAAAACAAACTACATACTAAAAAATCAAACTTAGTATCTCAGCTTAAATAAACTCTCACCTGCTGATATTTGTCGACAGTGAACATATTGGTTTCTTTGATTTTGTATTCTACCCATTCCGGTTCCTCTTCTTCCTCTTCAGCAACTGAAGTGGCTGATGTTGGCTGCTTTATATATAGCCTTACAGTTACAACACACAACAAAGAATTAGTCAGAGCAAATAGCATTGCTTGGCTATAAACATGAAAAACTTCAGATTTGCTCCAAATTCTTAGACATCACTATATATATGAATAGTGAGGACATACAGTTTCTTAGCTCGCATACTTCAAACATCGTATATTAAATTCGGTAACTTTCTATAATTTCCTCCATTGATTCCAAAGATAATTGAATCCTTAATTACAGACGAAATAAAACTTATTTCCATCAAAGCAGAAACTCAAACACAGATGATTTGTTCACCTTATTTTCTAAATATCAGAAAGAAAAAAATCAGGAATGAAGCAGAAGAGAATCATACATACGATTGATTAAGGCTAATGAGCTCATCTTCTCCATATGAACTAGCAGAAAGCCGCGTATCAATCTTATGCAACAAATTCCCATTCCCATCAAATTGCTGCTCAAAACAAGAAGAAGAAGGAAGCACTTAGCAAATTTTGCAAAACCCAAAAAAAAAAAAAACAGGAGCTTGTAACTCTCAAATCTCAATCTGATGACATAGCCAAAATCCAGAATCTCGGGTCAGGGTTTTGTCATACATGAAAGGAGCCAGTCCATTTTCCGACGTTAAGATCAACAAATCCGCGTAAATTGTCGATGCTCATTGCCTCGTCGCTCGTTCTCTTGTCATCTTCTTGCACCGCCAAGGACCTGATAACAACGCTCCTGGTTCCATAGGTCGAGCGCAGAAGCGGATTCGGATTCAAGAGCTTCAATCGAGTGGATGATTTGTTTAGTGGAGAGAAGAGAAGCGAGCAAGTGGCCAAAGCAGCAGCCATGGTGGAAAGAGGAAACAGAGAGAAATGTGAGTGAGGGTGAGTGATTCGTTTTTGTGAATTTTTTTATCTTATCATCAAGAAACGAGCGTTTTTTGTTTCAACAGTCGAACTCCGTGCCGTTTCATCGGTTGCCCTTCCTAACATCATCTTTAAAGACAGCGTGAAGTTATGTACTGTTAAACCGAAAACAACATGATATTTTATTACAGAGCTACGATTTTTCGTAGAGGCTTGATGCACTCCAACCAAAGTCAATGTGCTTGCTAGTTGCAGGCCGTTTGACTTTGAGGATTGCGACAAATTCGCTTAACACCCAATCGTTGTTCCACACATGGCATGATAAGATTAGTCAACTCTTTAATTTCACATTTGAGAATGTGTACATACCTTGAAAACCAGTGGCAAACTTTGTACAATGGAACCAAGCATGGAAATAATAGTGTAATAACGTTCAGTGATTTGTAACTTTAAAAAGAAACCAAAAAACCATTACTACTTTACTACAAAAGCCATTTGTTTTTTATTCAGTCTAGTCGCCTGAGCAAGTACTCCACTTGAACTTCTTTTGTCAAGGGCATGATCCAGTCTCCATACAAGTGCCCGACCAAGATCGGGCTGATTTTGTAAACCTGAGATTCATTTTCTTCGTCTTCTGCTTTCTCCTCCATGCCCACTTTCACTTCTTGCCCGTATGTTCGGGTTTTCATCTCAACTCTCTTCTTTATCGCTTCCTCCACGGTCGGGAATGTCAGCATAGCAATCAATGCATCCTTATCCTGCAAAGCGTACGTTGCATTTTGAAAGGTGAGATATGCATATAGAGACAACAACAGCAACAACAACTAAAATTCATAAACTTTGGATGGCTCATTATCAAGGTTTTGTGTATATGTGTAAAAAAACTAAGGAGAAGTGGATAAATACTTGTGCTTTGATGGCGGACTCGTATGCCTCCGGTGAGGCTTGGAATTTGGCCTCTGCAACAAATTTACCGTAATGGATCCTCTTTGAAAGAGACTGCAATGGGCAACAAAAGGTAGTCTATGGAACACTGTTTCTGATATCTTAGCAAGAGGAAAGTGGTTCTTTAAAAGGCAAAAGGCAAACCTGAAGACAGATCGCGTCACATACAGCTGTTGACCCGTAGTTACCATCATCGCCTTTCTTCACTAGCCTTGGGACAAGGTCTCTGAAGTACATGTTCCATATCTTGTTGTTTATGTTGATCGAATCAGCAGCAAAATGCAAAACCTATTTCATAAGAAAAAAACCAGCTCGTTGCTATGCCAGAGATTGAGAAACCAACACAAAAAGACTCCATCTTTCAATCTCTTTAACATATGGCATCCAAGTGAGAACTTTGTGAATTAGAGATATCATCAATATAAAGCACCTTTGGGTACTGCAGAGGAGGCAACATAGGCTCTGGTAAATCGTCTGGGAAGAAAGGATGCTCATCAGGGCTCTTGAACCTACCAACCTAATCATTCACAAGAGTAATCAAGTTTCAATCTTTTTCAGTGAGAGAGAGAGAGAGAGAGTCCGTTGAGGTTCCTTACGGATTTGTGTTTACCTTAGCGTGAAGCTTCTCAGTGCCTTTGACCATGTACTCAACCAAAGAGCCGTGGAATCCATCCATGTCGAAAGCAGTAGGATCATAGGTATCTTCATTGTAACAGTACTTGGCTCTCTCCAACAGACCGAATATAATGCTGTCCTCTTGACGGATCAAAGAGTTTCGAATGCCTTCGAGTGTCAAGCTCTCGCTCTCATCCACTCGTTTCTTTCCTGTCAACGATCTGTATCAACAACAACAACAACAAAGGTTTGATTCAATTCATCAACAAAAATGTTTCTAATTTAAGCTACAAAAACAACAAAGTCCAACATCGGCTTTTGTTAATTTGACAATGGGAATCTAACAAAATTGAATATTTTTTTTGTTGTTGTATCGATTTCAATCGATTGAAAAGAATAGCTTTGATTCATACCCAGCGAGAGTCATAACGGCGTGAACAGAGCTTGTTCCAGAGCGTGGTTTCGAGGGGTGAAGAGAGCAGCGAGCGGAGAAGGAAGCTTTGGATACAGGAAAAGGAAGAAGATTGCAAATGGGTTTGGAGGTCGATAGCTCGCGTCGATGGTGGAGGAAACCAATCGAAGGGGAGCAACAGGACGATCTCAAAAGCAATGACGCCTCCATTGATGAAACAGAGAAGGGACGGAGAAAACAGAGAATCGAAGAGTCAGAGGAAGAGACAGAGAATCATGAGCAGAGGAACGAGAGAGATGTTTAAAGGGGGGAGTTAGAAATTGAGGGGGTAGGTGTAGTGGGTGAGGGAGAGAGACAGTTGGTGAGAGGAGGAGAAGGAGAAGGAGAAGGAGAAAGGTAGGGTTGTCTGCGTGCACGTCTTTAGCCCACGGAAGCCACCCAACACACAATATTGTTCTTATTACCTTTTCTGGTGTTCTCACTTCTCAGTTTTCATTATTATTTTATGCCCACTTTTTCTACATAGAAATAAATCTGAATCGTTTGGTTATAATTACCTTTTATATATCTCTACAACTGAAGTTAGAGATAGAAAATCATATCTATTTTAAAATTTCTGTGTGTGTATTTGCAGTTTCATTTTTATTTATTTCTGTAATAATCTGGAAAACGGAATTAAAAATACTACATTTTTTTTTTCGCTTAACACCCGTATCTCTGTTACTGCTCGTCGATGCTGCAACTTTAAACCATCAGGCTAATATATTTCATGAGCCCACACTAAATGTTTACCAACTCCCACTTCATAAAAACCACATAAAATACTCTAATTAGCATTCTCTTCAAAGAAAAACAAAACAGCAAGCAAAGTATGTTTGGAACACGCTACAATGCTCTCTAATCTCTATGATGAGATTATAACCAGAGTAAACCGACAATGGTTTTGAAGAGTTTCATGAATTTTCCCGGACATAACGAACCGTTTATTCTAAAAAGCTAACGGTTTATTCGTTAAAAAAAAGATACAATAGTGTTTGCTTAATTGCTGAGCTCTTAGAATTCGATATTGTGTGATTTCGCTTGAACATAAGCCGTGGATAATATCCAGAAGTTGCTTATCATACTTTCTCCAGATTCGCCCATACTTACACGGATACACTACACACATACACACTATTATTACATATAATTGTCAGTGACAGATAAAACCCAAATTTCTCAGTTTCGTTAAGGATCTTCCCCAAGTGCGTCAATTTAAGCCACCATTGCGCCTCCACAAACCTTTAGATCACCATCTCCGCCGTCGCTGCCGCTGCTGCAGCCGACATTGATGACGTCGCTACCGGTCCGAGCGCCGTCGTGGGTTTCTTCCCGGAGAATCTTCGAGGAAAAGCTCCAGGATCTTCCCAAGTGCGCTAATTTAGCCCAGGTGAAGCAGCTTCACGCCCAGATAATTCGGCGGAACCTTCATGAGGATCTACACATCGCGCCAAAGCTAATCTCCGCTCTTTCTCTCTGCCGCCATATGACTTTAGCTGTCAGGGTTTTCAATCAGGTCCAGCAACCAAACGTCCATCTCTGCAATTCTCTGATTAGGGCTCATGCCCAGAACTCGCAGCCCTCTCAAGCTTTCTCCGTCTTCTCAGAAATGCAGAGATTTGGCCTTTTCGCTGATAATTTCACGTACCCTTTCCTCCTCAAGGCTTGCTCAGGCCAATCGTGGCTGCCTGTGGTGGAAATGATGCATAACCATATCGAAAAATTAGGGCTTTCGTCTGATATCTATGTCCCCAACGCACTCATCGATTGCTATTCCAGATGCGGCGCCTTGGGTGTTAAAGCGGCGATGAAGCTCTTCGTGAAGATGGGAGAGAGGGATACTGTGTCTTGGAACTCGATGCTTGGTGGACTTGTGAAAGCAGGTGAACTGAAGGATGCTCGCAAGCTGTTCGACGAAATGCCTCAAAGGGATTTGATTAGCTGGAACACAATGTTGGATGGTTACGCCAGGTGCAGAGACATGACTAGAGCCTTTGAGCTGTTCAAGATGATGCCTGAGAGAAACACTGTGTCTTGGTCGACATTGGTTATGGGCTATAGCAAAGCTGGAGACATGGAGATGGCTAGAATCATGTTTGATAAGATGCCGGCTAAAAACGTGGTCACATGGACCATAATTATCGCTGGATATGCGGAGAAGGGGCTTGTTAAGGAGGCTGATCAATTAGTCGACGAAATGGTGAACGCAGGACTGAGATTTGATGCCGCAGCAGCGATTAGTATCTTGGCTGCTTGCGCGGAGTCTGGTTTGCTCAGTTTAGGAATGAGAGTTGACTCCATGATTCAAAGGTCTAGCCTCAGTTCTAATGCTTATGTGTTAAATGCACTACTTGATATGTATGCAAAATGTGGTAGCTTGGAGAAAGCTTTTGATGTGTTTAACAACATGCCCAAGAAGGACCTCGTCTCCTGGAACACTATGCTTCAGGGTCTTGGTGTTCATGGCCACGGAAAGGAAGCGCTTGAGCTTTTTTCGAGGATGAGTAGGGAAGGGGTACGGCCAGATAAAGTCACCTTCATTGCTGTTCTATGTTCCTGCAATCACGCAGGTCTGATTGACGAAGGCATAGAGTACTTTTACTCGATGGAGAAAGTGTATGAGCTTGTCCCACAAATTGAACACTATGGTTGTCTTGTCGACCTATTGGGTCGAGGTGGGCGGCTAAAGGAAGCGATTGAGGTTGTCCAAACAATGCCAATGGAACCCAATGTTGTTATTTTGGGTGCTCTTCTTGGAGCGTGCAGGATGCATAACGAGGTGGATATTGCAAAGGAAGTCCTGGATCATCTGGTTAGATTAGACCCTTCTGATCCTGGAAACTACTCGCTGCTGTCAAATATTTACGCAGCAGCTGAAGATTGGGAAGGGGTTGCTAACGTAAGGTCGAAGATGAAGAGTATGGGAATAGAGAAACCATCCGGAGCTAGCTCGATTGCGTTGGAGGATGGGATACACGAATTTACAGTGTTTGACAAATCACACCCAGATTCTGATCAAATATATCAGATGCTTGGTAGTCTGATCGAACCTCCAGATACCGGTGAGCTGGTTGCTGCTGGATAATCTGCTTAGTGTATTGTTTGTGATACAAGAGTTTGGTCAAAGCTACTACATTGTCAAGATTCTTTAGGTAATATATCAGCAGTGTTGTTCTTCAGGCCATATATTTGTAAGTTCATTTTCCAAAGGAACACAAAGATGGTTTTATCCTTGTAATTCACAAAAAATGGACGAGTTCGGGTAACGTATGTACAGCATAATTTATAAATCTTGAGATGGATTTGATTTTGCTTCTTAGTCTCACAACAGGTTCTTGTTATCAAAGAGAAGATCATGCAGAACAAGAGACATTCAAACTTCCATGGAACCTCACTGTGAGTGATAACTGTAACTTTGTGAAAAAAAGATTAAACAAAAGTTATGGTTAGGTGGATCGTTAGAGCTTGAATTGTAAAAGGGTAATGACAATCTCACTCAGGATCGTCATTGCGATGATGTTACGTTAATGGACGTCAGTACGATGACGTATTGTCGGTGATGTAATTAGTAGTTGTTGGAATTGATGTTTTAATAGTCAAATTAGAACAAACTCGTGGGGTTTAGTTTATTACAACAATCAATGTTCAAAATGATTTCGAGTTGATCTTTAATATCCTTTTTGAAGTGATTTACATTGAAATAGTAATAAAATAAAGGAGAAAAAGAGGACCACCGATAGTGCCCCCTTTGATTTTTTCCAATCTTCTATAGTTTATGCGGCTGTAGATGACTTTTGAAGATTGAAAGATAAAAAAAAAGTCTGAGAACTCAATTTTTAGTTCTTCTGAAGAGTTTTTATGAGTGATCTATAATTTTACTGATTTACATATCATCGTTTCTAACTGGTAATGAATAATCAGAGAGAGATAGAGAAGCTGAGAGATTGTGTATGGAGTTGGTTGATAATAAATAGTAAATGTATGGTTTTTTCTTTTCCAACATAAGTGGGTAAAGTTACTAAAGAGGGAAGAGATGGGTGGCCACTAAGTCTACACATCATCCAAAAAAGTTGATAAAAGGATTTGTCTCTTATCCAATATCCAAAGGCATATGCAAATGTCTATCTTTAAATACATCAACACATTCAAGGTTTAACGTATATCCATTGCCCATTCCTCTCACTAGGAACCAAACACATTCAGCCTCTGGTTCTCATCTGTCCACTATCTTATATGTACTAGTTGTTACTTTTATGCTCTGTCTTCTCTTCTAAGTAACTAAAGTGATTTGAGTCAGAGGAAAAGAGAAAAGATACAAAGGAAGAGAGAGAGAGAGAGAGAAACATGGATGCTTGTTTCCTTACCTCAAGACCAATCTCTGGTGCCAAAGAGCTTGTCCCGTTCATCAAAGCCAGAATCTTTTCTTGCCCCAAGAGAAATTCCGGCCAATTTCTCACCAGGAAGGCGGCTGCGTCTCCGATCTCTGTAAATTGTAAGTAAGATCTCTGAGTTTCACAATTACATGTCTTTGGTTTGGAATTGGCCTGTCTGAAAAGTAAAAAAATTGCAGCTGTTTGAAGCCTGATGAGAGTATTTTTTGCTTGAGTAGGTTCCCTTTCGGATTCATGGAAGCCACTGGAAGATGATTCTGATCTCTTCAAGGATTGTGTCAACAACTCTAAAGCAGATGCTGCTGACTGGAGAGAATTCAGGGCAAGGCTCGTAGCTGGAGAACAAGCTGCAACCACCTCCGAGAATGACTCGTCCTCGTGGTCTAACCCGGACATGGTTGTGGACTATCCACCATCGTCCTCACTGATCACAGTTGGAAACAAATGGGCACACAAGATCCACGAGCCAGAGACAGGATGCCTCCTGATCGCCACAGAGAAGCTAGACGGAGTCCACATCTTCGAAAAGACGGTGATCCTCCTCCTCTCCGTTGGACCCTCAGGTCCTATAGGAGTCATCCTCAACCGTCCGTCGCTGATGTCGATCAAGGAGACGAAATCAACGGTCTTGGACATGGCGGGAACGTTTTCAGACAAAAGGCTCTTCTTTGGTGGACCTTTGGAAGAAGGGCTGTTCCTGGTGAGTCCGAGGAGCGGCGGAGACAACGAGGTTGGGAAGAGCGGAGTGTTCAGACAGGTGATGAAAGGATTGTACTACGGGACGAGAGAGAGCGTGGGATTGGCTGCGGAGATGGTGAAGAGGAATCTTGTGGGAAGAAGTGAGCTAAGATTCTTTGATGGGTACTGTGGTTGGGAGAAAGAGCAGTTGAAAGCAGAGATCTTGGGAGGGTATTGGACTGTGGCTGCTTGTAGCTCCACTGTTGTTGAGCTTGGTTCGGCTGTTCAAAGTCATGGTCTTTGGGACGAGGTTCTTGGTCTTATTGGGCCTCAAACTGGCTCTGTTATCTAAAACTCTCTGTTTTTTTTTTTCTTTTCACTAATGGTTTATGGTATGATGATGAGTGAGTAATGATGACTATTGTGTATGTGTTTATTAATGTATATGTATTCAGGATTCATCACTAATTTACTTGTCCGTTGACAGAGTAAAGATCTTTAGTCAACTCAAATTTAAGTACCAACAAAATGTTACAAAAAATGAAGAAGAGGAGAATCTACATAGAAAGAGTTACTTTTGAACTAAAAACATATTTGTTTTCCGTTGGTTTAATAGAAACTTAAGTGAAGATTTAATAACTTCTTGATTTTAATGTCTCAACTCAACACTATAAATTGTAACATTGTTACCATTATCAAATCCAAACCATCCAAGAATCTTAAAGAGAGAAAGAAGAGGAAGAAAAAAAGATACAGACTAAATTAATCAGAGAGATGGAAAACACATCAAGCGCATTAGTCTTAGCTGTATTCTTACTATGCGCTACGGTCTTGATCACTCCAGGAGCAGCTAATGACGAACCGCCACGACCAAAATCTCCGATCGACATTGAGAAGTGTTGGTCATCTCTGTTTAACGTCAACGGATGCGTGCTCGAACTCTTCCAGTCAGTTTTCTCCGGCAAGTTCGGAGAGGTTGGGGTCTCGTGTTGCAAGGCGTTTTCGAACGTAGATGCAAACTGTTGGCCTCACATGTTCCCGTTGAACCCTTTCTTCCCTCCTCTTGTTAAAGACAACTGCGCTCACATCGTTCCAAATTCACCCTCACACTAAATGAAACATTAAACACAAAAGAGTGATGTGAAGTGAAACCATTTTGTTTAGCTTAGCAATTTATGGAATCTCTCATCATTTCTAATAAAATAAACTTTTTCGACCTTCTCTAATTTTGCTTCATGAATATAAATTACACACAAAGTTTTTGGCAATTTTTTTCTTAGATCTTTCGAATATTGAGTATTATTATTGAAAATGATGATGAATCCAGTAAATACTATTCCATCTACCCAATTTAACGTTGGAAAATATCTCTTTGGTTGGAAAACTTGTGTACACGATTGACAAGACGGTGTCGTTTTCAAATCGACACATACCACAACTTTTGACAAGAAAATAAAAAAAAAGAAAAAGTTTCGAGACAGTCGGAAAATTGAGAGCATCTTCTACATCTTTTTCACGGCGAATCATAGACAGAGAGAGAAAGGTTTTATCGGCGAAGAATCTCGTCGGAGAGAATCGGTACGATCTTATTCTGTATCAGTGACCTTTGATTGCTGACCTTTTTTTTTTTTTTTTTTTCTCTCTCTCATTTCAATTATTTTATCTCCTGACCTAAAGGCGATTTCGGGTCCTTGTTCGATTTCTACGTTAGCTGCTTCTGCAATGATCAATAATCTGATTAGATTTAGGATCTACAGATATTAGATACTTGCTTATTGGATGTTTCGACGGTGTTATCACCATGGATTTGAACAGAGTTCAGCAGATTCAGCTCAATTTTTTAAGAAATGATCGAGCTTGAGGTCTAATACAAAGTCAAAGAGTTTGAAATGTGCTTCAAGTGATATCGATTTTGAGCTATAACAATTGAATTTTGCTATATAGGGTTGCTTTATCATTGATTTAGTTTTGGGTTAAATGTTTATGCACGTATACTCTTTTCAGCATGAATTTCTGGGGGACCTTCTTTCATCATCACCATGGGAGGAGCTCTATGAAGGTCAGAGCTTGGTATTAGCAGAAGGTGTTTTGGCTTCATCTTTCAGAAGGAAGGCGTTCACATGTTATCCATCCCTAATACCAGAATGTGGAATCTAGCGTCGAGTTATCTTACAGGACACATCGGACCGAAGAACGAAACAAGAGAGCCGGTCCATGCTCACGCGGAGTGTTCAGATGACGACGCTTCATCTGTAGGCAGCAAAGACGAAGGCCTCGAGTGTCCCATCTGCTGGGAATCATTCAACATAGTCGAAAACGTTCCTTACGTGCTGTGGTGCGGCCACACGATGTGCAAGAACTGCATCTTGGGACTCCAATGGGCTATCGTGAAGCTACCTACTCACCCGGTTCAGCTTCCTCTCTTCATCTCATGCCCCTGGTGCAACCTCTTGTCCTTCCGTCTCGTCTTCAGAGGAACACTCAGGTTCCCTCACAAGAACTACTTTTTGCTTTGGATGGTCGAGAGGATGAACGGCGAGAGACGCAATTCTCCCGGTAGAGAACAACAAACCGATGCAAACAATGATCACGCGAGGGAGACTCCGTGTCTCCACCATCGCCGTAATCGGGTTCAGCCTGAACCATCGGGTTCTGTTCACGATCGTCGCATTCCCATGGACAACAACATACAAGCTTCACTGAGGAAGTCTCTGGTTTTCTTTGTCCAGTTGACGGCAAAGTTTCCACTGGTTGTCATATTTCTGCTGATAATACTCTATGCAATACCGACCAGTGCAGCGATATTGGCCATGTACATTCTAGTCACTCTCTTGCTGGCTTTACCGTCGTTTCTCATCCTCTACTTCGCTTATCCTTGTCTCGACTGGCTCGTCAGGGAGATTGTCACATGAGCTTTCTATTTTATTCGAGGACTTTTCTTTCAACAACATCGTCCTAAGACGAGTCTGTCCTCCATGTAAGTATAACTAATTAGTACCGTCTGTATTATCTTTATATATATATAGTTTTGGTTTGCCTTTGTTGTTGCTTTATGGAAGTTATGTGTTGTAAGGGCTCTTCTTGTGTAGGAACTTGATAGTATCTGTACTATTTGAGGATCTACCTGTGATTGCTTAAGGTTTTGACTTAATAAGATTTGTGTGTATAAATTACTCTGCCTTCTAACTTTGTTTACTGAAATACTAATCATGATTAAGTAAACGTAATATATCATTGCATCCACATCAATGAGTGATTCCAAAATTTAACTTCAAGTCGGTTAGACAGAGACCTAATACGTAATTGTCTAATGTTGTTTTCAACTAAAAAAACCAGAGAGCTAATAAACTAATGTCAAAACCCAAAAATTACCAGAGACTCATCTTTACACAAACAAAATTCTTGTTCTTCTACTTCCTTCACTCATTCATCTTCCGTCTTAGTTTTCTTCTTTTTCTTCTTGCTTTGAGAATCATCAGCTGTGTTGCTCTTCTTCTTCTTCTTCTCTGATTTCTCATTGTCTACTTTCTCCTCAATCTTTCTCTTCTCTTTCTTCTTCTTTTTCTCTTTAGAGGCATCGACCATTACTTCATCTGAAAAAGCCAAAGCCAATGAACAAACAAACTAAACCTCCCAACTTTGTTCACACACAGACAAAGAACACAGAGAGAGAGAGTATGTATGTATAAATAAAATATAAAATACCTTTCTTCTCAAGATTTTCCAAAACCTCTTTCATAACATCGACATTCTTACGTGGAGCAATGCCTTTATCATAAAAGTCGAGCCTTTCCTCTACTTGTCCACGAAGTTTCTCACCAAATGCTGTAGTGCTACTATCTGCAATAACAGATGGATGGTATATATGTTAAACAACACTCTACAACCAAACCTCACTTACTAAATACAAAGCAAGTTCCAAGATCTTTTCACCAGCGAAACAATCAATCCGGGAAGCAATAGAACACTTGTTGGCCAGAAAACGAGCAATACGGCCCTTGTTCTTAGCAGATGCACGGCCAATGAATGAAGAATGGAATATCAGACCATACTTTGGTGTGTTTCCGCGTGTTTTCAACGCCCTGAAAATTTACAACACAGTTAACAGAAGAAAAAAAACTAAACCAGCACAGTCCAAAGGCATGATCTTTGAAAACGGACCTGAAAAGCGCCTTCTCGGCTCCAAGAATCTGTAGAGTTGAAGATGGGCACTTTGCAAGATTCGTAAGACTTCCCGCATGTGAAATCAACCTGGCTCCAACCATTTCTCCAACCAAGGCAGCCAAATTTGGAGCAATGTCGCTCATTTTGGCAACGAGGTAATCATGGAGCTTCTTTCTGTAATCCGCGAGGTCCATAACTTTCTGAGCAAAGGTCTGGACATTGATCAAATCAACCGGTGATAGATCCTGGCCTTCAAAATAAAAGGAAGCACAAACAAATTCTTGTCTCTTCAGAACAACAAACAAAAAACATATTCTTCACTGAAAGAGAAGCACCAATGTATTACTCTTACCCATAGATGCTTTTCCGGCCTCAACAACCTCACTTGCTTTATCTTCATCACCAAGGACTTCAGTAAGCATTGGAATATGCTCTTCAGACAACTTTGACTTGTCCTCTATAATCTTCGAAACTCGGGAATAAAGATAGTTGTCGTTAACAATCTTGACTAGCTCAGGGAAGTGCCATGAGTACCATTCTCTGAAAAAGGAGCATTAGTGTAACCAAATTCTCCTAAGATATTATTAATCTGAGAAGATAATAACAAACGAAAACAAATTCAAAACAAACCTGACTCTCATAGCAAAGGTATTGATATCTTTATCAAGCGTATCGAGCAGGAAAATAGCTTGAATAACCATATTATCCACTCGGTTAACGTTGAACTTGACCTTTGCTCTACTGTAGCTATGAGCTAATCCAAGTTGAGCCTTTTCGAGATCACCAGGCTATGTATAGATATACATTACACGAAGAAGATGATGCTTTAGTAAGAAACTAAGACCTTAAGAATCAAACCAACAAATGAAAAAAAAAACAGTTAAAAGTCAATTAATCACCCTGAGGTCGTTGATGAATCTATGAAAATGCTGACGAACACCTCTAAGAAGCTCGTGGACGAACTCATTGCTCTGACAAGGAATCTTCGTGGCTTCAAATATGCAAGATCCGATTTTTGGCTCGGATACTCCTAAGCTAAATTTGGGCTTTTTGCCTTCTTTAACTTTCGGGAGATTCAATTCCAGAAAACTTCTCAGCTCGTCAGTCATATACCCTACATAAAACGTAATAATTTATGTCATTTACTTGTTACCTTCTGATTTCTTAGCAGAAAAAGAAAAATAAAGAAAAAGACAATGTTACCTTCAGAAACGGCGTTGATTTGGTTGAGAGAATCGAGTGCAGACTCTGAAGGGTGAAAAGCAATGAGCTGGACGACCCGACCGAACCGACTAAGGTCCGAAACAGAGCTTCGAACCGCCTCAGTGTTCTGACCGATCTCGTCAAGGCCCTTCACTTGGAACAAACCGTAGCCGGGGGATGACTCGTAAAGAAGATACATGGTCGCCATTGGATTGAACAGAGCGCGAGAGAGAGAGAGAGACAGAGCGCGCGCTTAAACCCTAGTCCTTGAAAAGAATCGAATATTTATATTAACCCTAAACCCTAGCCCACTTTGGTCCAATTTTGATTTCATGAGGCTGGCCCATTAACTGTTGTGCTACATGGCCCATTAACTCTCGATTGTGAAATAAAATCAAACAATTACCTATGCTTCAAAAGTGACGCTTGCTTTCTACGATCTTTTCTATATTAAGACATACAAAACTGATTATAGATTTTTGAGGAAGAAAAAAAAGACTTCACCACTAATTAATTACTAGTGAAGCATAAGAACCATGAATCTGTTTACTATTATTTGGTCAAAATCCACCAAATTCTCAGTGGTCGGTGGATACTTGATTCTAAATATAGAACGCTAAAACATAACCTATAAAAGCAGACAAAGAACTCCATTGCAATTCATTCATTCTTCAAGCTTTTAGTTACTCACAAAATAAAATTAAAAACAAAAAAAAACAAAAAATTTATCAAAATTTTATCAAAAAAAACAAAAAATGGCGAGAGTTCAGTTATTGTTATGTTTCACCATCCTTATTGCATCAGTGACCCTTCTTGACGTGGTTTCAGCTCACCTCAAGATTAAACCATCTTTGCCTCAGATTGAAGATCCAAAGACAGTCAAGGATGTGGAGCCTTACACAGTTAAAGTAGTGATGGTCTTTGTATCGGATCTTGAGAAAGAATGTCCCAAGAACAACAAATTCAAGGCTTTCTTTGAGAAACTCAGAGCATACGCCAAGTATGTTTGTCCAATAGGAAACAGAGCTAACCAAGAGTACGAAAAAGACATGGAAGCCAAAGCTGGGGGACTCTTCAAGTCCATCGCTTCTTTTGCTTATGGAAAGGTTAGTGAATGTAATAAGGCCTTTTCTTTCTTCAAGGTACTGTACGAAACTATTGAAAAAGTTAATAACGACTATAATCATCTTTGGCATATATAATAACAGATAAAACAGGAGATAAAGGAGGAGATTCAAGAGGAAAAACAGGAAGCTATTGAAACCTTCAGGTGGATGAAATCCCTGGCCGGTAGGATCTTGGGTGGCCGTAAGAAAGAAGAGAGCCCAGAGACCATGAAGCTAACAGCAGAACAACAGAAACAAATCAAGGAAGGGATCTTGAAATGGGAGACAGTGATTGCTAAAATCGCAAACACAATGGTTCAAACCACAACAACAACAACAACAACAACCACCTCTTCTTCTTCTTCTTCCGGTGAAGCTTCTACAGGTGCAAAAGAAAGCCAAGGCAGCAAGAGCTCTGGTGCTGGAAACTCTTACACAGACACTACAGGCTCAGGCTCAGGCTCAGGCTCAGGCTCAGGCTCAGGCTCAGGTGAACTTTCTACAGGTGGAAAAGGAAGTCAAGGCAGCAAAGGCTCTGGTAGTGGAGCCTCTTACAAAGACACTACAGGTTCCGGTTCAGGTTCTACCATGGGAAGTCCCAGTGGAAGTCCCAGTGGAAGTCCTAAGACCAGTCCCTCTGGTTCAACCTACGATGCTGAAAGCGGAAGCGGAAGCGGAACATCATTCAAGGATACTACCGGAGGAAGCCCTATGAGTCCATCGGGAAGCTCCATGAGTCCATCGGGAAGTCCTAAGAATAGCATCTCTAGTGATGAAAGCTCCACTTACCGTACTACAGGTTCCACCACATCTGCTTCAGGCGAAAGTGTCAGTGCTAGTCAGAGCGTCACAGTGCAAGAAGTGGAGGCTGAAACTTCCCAAGAAGTCATGACATTCATAATGAACCTCGAGAAGAAGTGTCCGCAAAAGGAGGAATACAAGTCCTTCTTCGAGAAGCTCAAGGGTACCATGACAGCCTCCGCAAAGGTCACTATCGAGAAGAAGAAAGGTTTCTTTTCTGGGCTTAAATCTGCTGCTGGGAAAATATCCGATGCCATGTCGTTCATGCGTGCAAGAATCGGAGGCAAATCAGCAGAGGTACGTTACAAGGAACCTTCTTCGAAAATCTTATGGATCCAACAAGTCAAATACCAAAAACTACATCTTCATTTTTTTTTCTCCCTTGTATGTCGATAGGTGAAGAAATCCATGGAAGCTTACCACGCAGAAGTGGTGAAGGCTGTGCACGAGTTAGACGCCATCCACAGCAAGATTCTTGCTCAGAATCAAGGCAAGAAAGAGATTACAGTCACAGCAGCACAACGAACAGAGATTAAACAGTGTATCACCAAGTGGGAAACAGTCACAACCCAATTCGTGGAGACTGCTGTTAAGAGCGAGACTTCTACAAATTCTTCAGCTGGTTTGGACAAAACGAAGCTAACCTGAGCTCAAAGGCCGTACCTCGCTGCACATCATCAAAAATAAAACAAAAAAAGATCCATATATATTACTATCACTAGCTACAAATTAGACAATTTTGTTGGTTGTTAATAAAACCAAGATCGGGATAGGCCAATCATAGATCTTATCGACCGACCTCTTAAGTAATAACTTTGTAAAAGTAAAATATAGATTGTAAGCGCTCTGTATGTAAACATTCAGAAGCGAGTTGAATTCTACTTTAAATTATTTTGAAAACAAAAAGCTTCGTGTCACACAATATTCGAATGAAATGCAGTAGCTCTAACTGAGTAAGATGAGAAGAGCGTAATAAGTTCTTTTCATAACTGCATTACACTAGCAAAATCTAATTGTGTTCTACGATATGAAACAAAGGAAAGAGCTAAGCTGTCTTAGTTTGCGTGTTCCTCTTCCACCGCAGCAAAATCAAGCCCAGAGATCTTCATTGGTCCAATGTTAACTGCAAAACCACAGATCAGTGCAGTCACTCAGGTTGTGTTGGATCCAACAAAGCAAAGAAACCAAAATGTAATGAGATGGCACAAGAAGAAACTGTAGGTTCGACTCACTAACAGCATCAAGTCCAGCTAATTTGGGCATAAACTGTCTGATATGGTCCTCTGCTGCTTCATCTGCCTTCAATGTCTCGCACTCGAACGAAACAGATACTTTCTTCTTCCCGTGCTTTTGTTCGACTAGTCCTATCACATCTTCCTCCCAACTTTTCAAAGAACAGTGAAAACCTTAGAGCTCAGTCATATTCATCAGCTTTGTTCTTGCAAAACAGATGATAGACAAGGACAACTTACCCGTGAGCATGCTCAACATCATTAATCCGAGCAGCGTCATGGCCTTTGCACTCCACTACAACTGTTTGCTCTTTTTTACTCTGAAATGTCACATGAAGACAAATCAAGAACAAGTTCAATAAACTGATTTGAAATTAGGAGTTAGAAGTTAGATAGGAGAAGTTTGTTAGATATTGAAGTGAGAAAAATTCATACATTGTAGTCTATGATGGTGAGCTTGATCAACCTATAATCCTCACCGCGGCTACACTCAGTCTCACAAGCCAGTTCTTTGGAAAAGAGAATAAAGATATCAATCACAGGACGGTTCAAGGGTATGAAGAATCCGAGGCAATGACATCAGACTAATTAACCTCCTTCTATGCTCCTAAGCTAATTCGCATAAATATATATATCATGTACAAGCTTAAGTCTTAACTGACTCAATTTCATGCTTCAGGGACAAAAATTTCCACCAAAACGAAGTTAAATGGATATCTTTTCTGCAGATTTAACTAAGAAGCATACGAAAGTGCAGACATTTATCACAGCAAATCAAACCTAACACACATAAAGCTCTTTTTTTTTCGCCAGGAAAGTAAGAGAATAGTGTGAAAATTACCAGTGCCATGGAGGCCATAACAGATGGAGCGAGGCATCTGAATGAAATGGCCGGAGATAGACCCACATGGCAATAAAGCTATCGATGCTACTCCTTCCTTCACTTCTCCTTCTTCCTTCTTCTCTATCTCTTCTTCTCTTCCCTCATCTGCAATCACACGATCACGAGACTATAGAAACAACACCGAAACAATTGCGAAATAAAAAGTCAGAAACTTTACCCATTGTTGATTGAGAAATCGACGACTCTACAAGATGTTTCTACTACTACCCAATGTTCAGAACCTCGCTTGTCTCTGCTGTGTTCAACTTCCGGGTGTATTTCAGCTACTTTGAAAACGGCTGCGTTTCATGTTTCAAACTACGTCGTTTCGTTTAGCTATCGCTCTCGGCTGTTTGTATCTTCTCCCTTAGCCGAACAGGCTCATCAATCATTTCTGCTGGAAGAGTAGGGATTTGGTTCGGCTTCATGCCTGCTTGTTACGTTGCTGCTGTTCTTTGATTAAGAAAAGACAGGGTTTGTTTTCTTAGACTTGAAGTGGGTATTCATAATTTAGCGAATCCTTTCGTTGGTATTGAGAAATTTCACTAAAGTTCTCAACTTTTTTTGCTGAATAGGAAGCGATTTCTCAGCTTTGTTTGTATTCTATTCGTCTGAATTATGCTCAAAGAGTTTGCTCTCTCTCTGCTCATGTGTTGAAATTAGAGGTGTAGATTGCTCCGTTTTGCTGTTCACTGTATCTCCTTTATCCGGTAAAATCATGGGAGATGCCTGGCTGAGTCCTGTCTCCGTCACTGCTACATCGAATCAATTGGGTTGTGGATGTTATTCCGTGAAGAAGAACAGTTATGTCTGGTCTTTGAGTCACTCGTTGGACTTTGCATTGACCATGAAGCCGAAACGAAGGCGTCTACTCTATGCTAGTCTAAAAATGGAGTCTTTTTCATTAGGAGCAACAAGACTCTGTTTCGGGAAGGTGAGTAGTGCATCAGACAGATCTTTCAACGGCGAAACTACGGGTTTGGTTTCGGATTTTGGATTGAAAAAAAGAGGGAAACATCTTTGCGATTTAGTGGTTGAGAATAGATTAGAAGAGAAGCCAGAAGCGGATAGGAATAGGAATAGGATTCATTTTCTAGAGGAGAGGAACGAAGAGATGCTATCGAGGAGACTTCTGAAACTTAGCAGGTTGAATAAAGCCAGAAGCGCTTTGGAGCTGTTTGAATCTATGAGAATTTCGGGTTTACAACCAAACGCTCATGCCTGCAACTCTTTTCTTTCGTGCCTTTTGAGGAATGGAAACCTTCAGAAAGTCTTTATCGTCTTTGAGTTCATGAGGTCAAAGGAGAACGTCACAGGGCACACTTATAGCTTGTTGTTGAAAGCTGTTGCAGAGGTCAAGGGTTGTGATTCTGCGCTGAGAATGTTTAGAGAACTAGAGAAGGATCCAAAGCACAAGAGTAACTTCGATGTGATTCTATACAACACCGTGATCTCTCTATGTGGACGGATAAATAACTTCGGTGAGGCAGAGAGAATCTGGAGAGTTATGAAAGGTGATGGTCAGATTGGAACAGAGGTTACGTATTCTCTGCTTGTTAGCATATTTGTTCGGTGCGGGAGAAGCGAATTGGCGCTAGATGCATACGATGAGATGATTAACAACAGAGTATCTCCGAGAGAGGATGCAATGTACGCTATGATGAACGCATGTACGAAGGAAGAAAAATGGGCTCTGGCCTTAAAGATATTTCAGAGTATGTTGAAGAAAGGGATGAAGCCTAACCTTGTAGCGTGCAATACTTTGATAAATTCGTTAGGGAAAGCTGGGAAAGTTGGATTGGTGTTAAAGGTTTACAGTGTTGCAAAATCTCTGGGGCATAAACCAGACGAGTACACGTGGAATGCGCTGCTCACGGCTTTATACAAGGCAGAGAGACATGAAGATGTTCTTCAGCTATTTGATATGGTGAGAAGTGAAAAGCTTTGTAGTCTGAATGAATATTTGTACAACACAGCTATGATGTCATGCCAAAAGCTTGGTTCATGGGAGAAAGCTGTGAAGCTTTTGTATGAGATGGAAGTTTCTGGATTAACAGCTTCAACTTCATCGTATAACCTGGTGATAAGCTCTTGCGAGAAATCAAGGAACTCGAAAGTTGCATTGCAAGTGTATGAGCACATGGCTCAAAGGGGTTGTAAACCAGACACGTTTACGTATCTGTCGCTTGTAAGGAGCTGCATTTGGGGTTCACTTTGGGACGAGGTTAAAGATATCCTAAAGGTATGAGTTTTGTCCAGATTCTTTGAGGTTTTGCTACTTGAATGTGCATTTTAGAAGAGATTTTTATCTAATGTTATTTTATTTCTTGAACAGAAAGTGGAACCTGATGTGTCGCTTTACAACGCAGCTATACATGGGATGTGTTTAAGACGGGAGTTTAAGTTTGCAAAGGAGCTGTATGTCGAAATGAGAGAGATGGGTCTAGAGCCAGATGGTAAAACCCGAGCTATGATGCTACAACACTTGAAGAAACACTAAAAGTGAATAAGATAATGCTTTGATCTACTTATACTTCTTCTTAGTGTAATGGACAGTGTTCATTGTCCTCGGAAGCTATTTGAAGCACAAGCTGGTATCGGACATTGTTGTTTGTGGCGGCGTTACGACAGAGACCAAAGGTTGACGATGTCATTGGACTCAGAATGTTGGAAACCTCGAATACAAGGCTGCACCGGCGTTACACCAGAAAAGCTACATCTCCCATTCTAAGGCAGTGAGGTTGTGTGGCTCTGTTAGTATTCTAGTGTGTGTTTGATTCTTTTGTATTTCCGTTGTGGCACGCATTTTGGATCACTAGGACAAACAAAGCAAACTGTGAATCAGCTGGTTTTTTTTTATATATAATTTCAGAAAGAGAGATTCTTGTCTTTAAGGTAATAGAAAACGCCAATCTTTCATTCTTTTGGATGTTTGTCAAGAACAGATGATTACTTTTGTCACAAGCAAATCACACAAATCTTTTAATCCCTTAACTTCATCGAGGAAACATCTTGATGGAATTATTCACTTACAACATGCTACAAGTTTTTAAGATTCCTTCACTTGCTGCTTATCCTTCTCCTCTTCTCAATCTTCTTAACTGCAATTCACATTCTGCTCACATCTTAAAAATGACAGTAATACCCTCTTCATCTTCACTTGATGGGCAAATTTCATTTTCTTCTTTAATTATTTTTCAAAGCTCGGAAAACAGAGAGCCTCGTGCTCCTCGTACCCAATCCTCCCTCTCTCTATCTGCCACAGGCCCACACAGTCCCTGAAAAAGCAGAGGTCCCCAATTTTCCCGCCAAAAAACAAAGCCTGCTTCTTCTTACCACTAACCACTCTTCTCCACATCTATGTTCTGCAGACACAGCCCCACAGAGAGAGAAGAGAGAGACTAATAGGCCAGAGAGAGAGAGAGAGAGAGAGAGAGAGTGAAAGATGAACAGCTCGTCGAAGGTGATAATGGCGGCCACTATGGTTATGGTAGTGAGCTTGGTCATGGTTTTAAGCTTAGTATTAGTACTACTAGCCGAACTCTACTGCTCTCTCTTACTTCGCCGCCGTCGTCAACACTCCATCACTCTCCCAACCACCACCGTCGCCGCCGCTCCAACCACCGAAAGCCTCGCCCAAGCCATTTCAACAACCACCAACGAACCTTCGCCATCTAACATCGATTCTTCACCAAGTCCTCTAACCACAGGCGTTATCCAAACCCCAAAATCTTTTTTCAAAACAAAAACCCATTTTCACGTGAAACCATCTTTACCACCTTCTCCTGATCTGATTCGCGAAATCCATGTACCCATTGACAACGATTCTGTGGGTAACTTTGTCTACATATCGAACCCGATTTACTCGAACGAGGCTACAAGTAAACCAACAACGCCTTTCGAAACCCCTGAGTCGTCACCGTCGCGTCTCGAGACCGGCGAATCTTCTTCTTCTTCCGGCGAGGAAGATAACGACACGATCGAAGATTCCACGCCGACATTGACTCCGATGAAGGATCTTCCTGAAAAGGCATGCTCTGTTTCGCTGAAAGATGTGAAGTCGTTGGAAACTTCCGCTAGTGAGTCCAACAACAACGATGACAACAACGTTGGCTCGTCTTCGTCGTCTGGTTCGCCGTCGTATACTTCTCCGTCGTGGTAGAGTTTATTTAATTATGGATTTAGGTTTTTATTTTCGTTTTCATTTTTATTTTTGGACCGTCTTGGAATGTGTATGGTTGTTGTTGGTAACAGAGTTTTGGACATATGGGCTCGACGACCCAAGCCACGCTTGTTTTACCAGAGTTTCCTCCATATGTCGTTTTCTGTGTTCTGGAAAAAACAGTTCTTCAATAATTTTTTTATAATTACTCAAAAGTAAGATAAAGCTGCAAACTTTACCTAATTATTAGCTTTATTCTATGGTTCCAATTTAGGTAAAACAAAATGTTGAGCACTTGAGGTTTGTTTTATTTCAGATTTGGATTAATGGAATGTTGTTGTTGAGCAAAAAAAAAAGAGAAAATGGTTAGAATTGAATTGAGTAATTCAAGTTCAACTATTCCTTTTAGTGACTCATTTGGTTCTGTACATTGCACAGACCCTCATACAATTGATAAGTGTTAGGGGTTTTCTCTGGTTTAGTAAATTGATTTAAAAAGTTGAAAAGGATTTTCATGGAGCAAAAATACAAAATCTTTTAAAGATGTGCAGATTAAACTTTAAAGGGATACAGAAGTGCAAATTAGGATACAAAATCCGCAAAAAAGATGTGGAACATATGCAATGTTTAGCAACTAATAATGTAGTGCAAAACCCATCCGGTTTGGTCCGACCGACCAACAATGTGAAATGCGTGCCGGATTGATACACGTGATAAGGACTGCGTGACGTTCCCAAGCTATTTTCTCTGTCATCTTCTTTGTCATTTCACGGGATCGTTATTGGCCAAAGCCACTCCATCTAGTAGACTCCGCCGTCGTATCCAATGGCATCCCGCCACCACCACGGCTGCTTACGGCGTCAGAACCACCACGATAACGTCCCTCTAGTCGCCACGTCATCACGCTGCTGCACCTACGCTGATTCTACTCCCTGCTGCACCCAATCCAACCACCCTTCGCCACCGCCGCCGGATAATCTTCTTCATCTCGTCGCTTCTTACCTCCAAAATCAGCAGCAAGAAGGGCAATGTCCTGACCAAGCCTGCTCCTGCGAAACCCAAGGTGTGAGATTCAACGGTATTAGACGCCAGCAAGGTGTTTTGCACCCGCAGAAGAATGTCCCACGAGAATACGACCATGTCATCCTCTCTTGTCTTCTTCGGAAAATCGATGACCTCGAGTCGTCTCTCAACCAGTTTTCAGCTCGCCATGAGCAACGTCGCGATCGGCACTCTACACTGAGAGATTCGGCGGCGCGTGTCATTCAAACCCATTTCCGCTCTTACCTGGTTCGGAGATCCGTATCCTTTAGGCATCTTAAGGAACTCGCAACTATCAAATCCAGCTTCTTGTCTCTCAAGTCTTCGGTTTCAGGGAAACCCCATTTCCCTTTCAAAGCTGTTTCTCGGAAAGCTACAGACTTGCTTCTGCAACTGGATTTGATTCAGGTAAAAGAAACACTTTTGTGATTTTCTCAAAACTTTATCTCTTTTAGTTTTCCGGATCTTTGATTTAGTATCATTTTCCTGTCACTTGCTTCTATCAGGGTAGGATTGATCCAATGATAAGAAACAGCAAGAGATCAATGAGCAGAGATTTGGTGAGGTTTTTGCAGTACATTGATGATTGTGTTGTTAAAAGGTATGATTTCGTTGGTAAGTCTGCAGTAAGTGTGAGCTTTATGGGTAGCCACAGCAAACTTAAGGGCTCTGATGGCAAAAAGCCTTCTGGTGTAGGAGAAGACAGAACAATCGAGAAATTGAGAAACCGAATGGAGAAAGTCTTTGTTACTTCCTCTGAAGAGGATGAAGATAGCAATGCAGAGGTAGAAGAGTTGGACTCCATGACTGATGATGGTGAAAAAGTCCCAATGGATTCTACTGATAAGAGAAAGATTGGTAGCTCTAAGTTTAGAGCTGGGGCCTTTGTGAAAGGCAATGGAGTGAAGCCTCCGTTGAGAAAATTCATGGTATATGGAAATACACATGATCTATCTTCGAGTGCAGAGGATGATTCAGTTGATAGTGGCGAGGAAACCTTCGTGATGTCTAGGGATAATGAAAGGAAGCATGGTTCGAAAACTAGGAACGTGGTTTTGGTTAAAGGAGGTGGAGGAAAAAAACGGGTGGTGAAAACTGTCAGCTTTGATGAGAATGGAAACGTATATAAGGTTTATGGAGATACGCCAGAGTCAAGCATAAGCGAGGAAGATGACTTGACAAGTGGATCAAATGATGGAAGTGAAGACAAGAAAGGGAATGGGAATGAGGTTGAGGAAATCAAATATGTGCCCAAGGAAAACGAGAGATTTGAAGAAGAAGAAGAAACTCTTTCTGAAAATGAAGTCTCTTCTTCAGAAGGCAGTGAAGGGGATGCAAGAAATGGCAATCACCCGGGAAGTAATGAAGAACAACACAAGAGGAAGATCCAGGTTCAAAAAGGAAGCTTAATGTTCTCTCCTCCATTGCCACTAAAAATGGAACCTTGATCACTGGGTCATGAAAGAATCAAAGTCCTCCAAAGCGATGAGTTCTTTGGTTATGATGTTTAATTCCGAAAACTGCCTTTCAGTCTGTTCTTTGAACCCAATAAGGTAACTTTTTTTGTTGTAGAAATTGTAACATGACCTGATGGTTTAGATTAGCTTTGAGTTTCCTCAGGGAAGAAGTGTTTTCTTGGTTTGCTATTTCTGTTGCAGTCTGATTGTATTCTCTACTCCATTTCCCAGTTGAGCTATTTCTTCATTCTGTAGTGTGGTCTTGTTTTTTGTTAATCAATTAAGAAGTCTTGTTTTTTGCATATCTTGACTGTGTATATAATATATATGCTGCTTGTTCATATAAACAGATGGATCAAATCCATATTCCATAAAGCTGTATATAATAAAAAAAAGAACTTATATTTGCACCATCAATGTCAATTGGGTACCAAACAGACATGGCTAAGTAACATAAAGGACAGTTATTGGATTTTTGACGACAATGTGATTATGCCGTTTCTGTGAGATTTGTTTGCTTAATAAAACTCTATACTCTATAGTCAATCGTTCAATTCAAGAAATATTTCTCGGGTGCACTTAATTATCGAGTATTGACAAAAGTAGTCACTAAATTGACGGCCAAGACATCTCACACGTGTGGACGGTGCAAATTGTTTTGTCGCTTCTCACGGAAATATCTCCTCTAGGATTCAGCTCCACACCCACTGAGAACAGGTGATCTGTCACGGGTAAGTACAGTCCCATTATCCAATAAACAAATGACACGTGGAGATCAAAGCCACGTGTCAGAGTCAATCTCAGATCACTTATAAGTGGATCACTGATAAGATTTGCCTCGTGAAACTGAAAAGAGTCAAAGACTGAGCAAACTCCAGTGTTCTCTACTCTTACTATTTCAGAGAGAGAGAGAGATGGATACGATGCGAATCTCCGGTGTATCGAGCGGAGCTGAGATTCCGGTGCAATGCAGCTCCTTGTCGAGCCTCGTTGGTCGTCGTTGCGACAATGGAAGATGGAAGACGAGGATGTTTCCGGCGAGGAGCAGAACCTGGCGGTCGGCGGCGACGGGAAAGCGCTTTTCATCGGTGAAATCCGTATCTAGCGAGCCGAAAGAGAAGGTGGCCGATGCAGTTATCGATTCCGAACAAGGTCCAGTTTTTTCTGCCGTTTCTCGTTCAAAATTTTCGCCTTTTTAGCGTAAATGGTTCTAATACGAGAAATAGGGCTTGAAATTGGGGCTTTATAGTGAATGTGTTTGGGTATGTGAAGTTACACTGATATGTCAATCATTCGTGTTACTGAACAAATTGCCTTTTCTGTATCTTTGGTTGAATCAGAAGCCTTTAGCTCGCTGAGCCCGTTCGCTCCAGATGCAACTTCCGTAGCGTCGAGCATCAAGTACCACTCGGAGTTCACACCTCTCTTTTCTCCTGAGAAGTTCGAGTTGCCGAAGGCTTTCTTTGCCACCGCACAAAGTGTCAGGGACTCTCTAATCATAAACTGGAACGCAACATACGAGTATTACAACAGGGTGAATGTGAAACAGGCCTACTATTTGTCAATGGAGTTTTTGCAGGTTTTGCTTTGACTCTTTCTTTCTTGTTTGTTTAACTCTAATCAATCTTGTGCTTGGTTATTATTAATCATCTGATCATCTCTCCCATTGTAGGGTAGAGCCCTATCAAATGCAGTGGGTAACCTTGGCCTTACCGGCGCTTATGCTGACGCTTTGAAGAGTCTAGGCTTTGATCTGGAAAGTGTAGCTACTCAGGTGAGTTGTTGTTAATCATGTTGATGAATGTGTTGCCTTTTGCGTTTCTGTTGCTTGATTTCACAGAACCTTCATCTTCTTTGTTTGTGCTGAGATGTTGAATTCTTCACTTGCAATTTGTAGGAGCCAGATCCTGCACTTGGGAATGGTGGACTCGGGAGACTTGCCTCGTGCTTCTTGGATTCAATGGCAACTTTGAATTATCCGGCATGGGGTTATGGACTTAGATACAAGTATGGCTTGTTCAAACAGAGAATCACAAAAGATGGACAGGAGGAAGCTGCAGAAGATTGGCTTGAGGTCTTCTTCTCTTATTATTTTCCCCCATACAGCGTTTGCTATTGAACATTATTATCCGAATTTGTACTCCCTCGAAGTGGACATGTTGATTGACTCACATGTTTCTTTCAGCTAAGCAATCCTTGGGAAATAGTCAGAAATGATGTCGCATATCCTGTAAAGTTCTATGGGAAAGTGGTTTTCGGATCAGATGGTAAGAAACGGTGGATTGGTGGAGAAGACATAGTGGCTGTTGCTTATGACGTTCCTATACCTGGCTATAAAACTAAGACAACTATCAATCTACGACTCTGGTCAACAAAAGCCTCTTCAGAAGATTTTGATTTATCTTCATATAACTCTGGCAAGCATACTGAGGCAGCAGAAGCTCTGTTCAACGCTGAAAAGGTCATAGATTTTTCTACTCTTCTCTTATTCTGCACGAACATCTAGCTTTCGATGTGTACATACTGAAAAATACGTGGTTTCTTCTCTTCTCCCCTAATGGAATTAGATTTGTTACGTGCTTTATCCCGGAGATGAGTCAATTGAAGGAAAGGCTCTTCGTCTGAAGCAACAGTACACTCTGTGCTCGGCCTCGCTCCAAGATATCATAGCACGTTTTGAGACAAGGTCTGGAGGAAGCGTGAACTGGGAAGAGTTTCCAGAGAAGGTTGCAGTGCAGATGAATGACACTCACCCTACCCTATGCATTCCTGAGCTAATGAGGATTCTAATGGATTTGAAAGGACTAAGCTGGGAGGACGCTTGGAAAATCACACAAAAGTACTTCTTGAAACGACTAAACTAATTGTAGAAGTGGGTCACGCCACACTTGTGTCTATTTGGTTACTATAATCTGGTTTCTTGTTCTTATTTGTTTCTAGAACTGTGGCATACACAAACCATACAGTTTTGCCCGAGGCACTGGAGAAGTGGAGTTTAGAACTTATGGAGAAACTGCTCCCTCGTCATGTGGAGATTATAGAAATGATTGATGAGGAGGTCATCTTTGAACAGCATTAAATGTCTCTTGTATTTTTGTTCTTCTCCATATCTGGTCTAATATGCACCTCTTATGTATTGCAGCTAGTTCGCACAATTGTTTCTGAGTATGGCACCGCGGATCCTGTCTTGCTCGAGGAGAAACTGAAAGCAATGAGGATCTTAGAAAACGTTGAGTTGCCTTCTGCCTTTGCCGATGTGATTGTAAAACCGAAGGAAAAACCAGTTATCGCAGAAAACACCATAGACAAGTCCGAAGATGCTCAAACTGTGGTGAAAAAGGAACAAGAAGACGAAGTAACTGCTGGCGAGGAAGAGGAAGCTATCCCAGCACCGACAGTACAACCACCAAAGATGGTCCGTATGGCCAACCTCGCTGTTGTGGGTGGTCATGCTGTAAATGGGGTCGCAGAGATACACAGTGAAATAGTGAAGAAGGATGTTTTCAATGAGTTCGTTAAGGTAAACAGTCTAATTAGTGAAGCGTAATGCTATATATATAATGTGCTACCTGGAAGAACATGAGCCTCATTGTAGAATATTCTATATTTTGTTGCAGCTGTGGCCTGATAAATTTCAGAATAAAACCAATGGAGTAACACCAAGGCGATGGATTCGTTTTTGCAACCCGTATCTAAGTGATATCATAACTAACTGGATAGGCACAGAGGACTGGGTCTTAAATACTGAAAAGCTTGCGGAACTAAGAAAGGTATGTGCTTTATAAGATACAATGCTGTTATCTTCATCGTAAGACTCAGACACCGTTGACCGTTGTTCGGGTCTTTCTCCAGTTTGCAGATAATGAAGATCTTCAATCCGAGTGGAGGGCAGCAAAGAGGAAGAACAAGTTGAAGGTTGTATCACTAATCAAGGAAAGAACCGGATATACTGTCAATCCGGATGCAATGTTCGACATTCAGGTCAGTTTCAGAGGATCTTGTTTACTTTGCGATTGGTGAGTTGTTTGCTTGGATGCTGCTTTTTGGTTTGAGAAAACCATTCAACATCCATGCTGTAACCAAGATCTGTTATCATCTCATCAAACAGTAAATTTATTGCTTTTTTTGCACTGTAAACTATTACAGATCAAGCGTATCCACGAGTACAAGCGACAGCTTCTTAACATCTTAGGAATTGTTTACCGCTACAAAAAGATGAAGGAAATGAGTGCCAGTGAGAGGGAGAAGGCATTTGTTCCAAGAGTTTGCATATTTGGGGGAAAAGCATTTGCCACATATGTGCAAGCTAAGAGGATTGTGAAATTCATCACAGATGTTGGGTCTACAATTAACCATGATCCAGAAATAGGTGACCTGCTTAAGGTACGTGACATATTTTTTATATGTACTTTTACCATCAAGTTTGGTCCAAGCGTCTTGTAAAGATTGGTACCTATATTATAACTGCTAATGAGAAGTGTTAACTACCTTGTAGGTTATCTTTGTTCCTGATTACAATGTCAGTGTTGCTGAATTGCTCATTCCAGCAAGTGAGCTTTCTCAGCACATCAGGTAACAACTTCTTTGGCTAAGTCACCTTCTAGTTTTTGGTCACAACTCCATGAGACTGAAACACTGGAATTGAGATAACTGGTAAACCAGGAACTAGACTAGTTTATATGTTTATCATGAGAACCTTAGCAACAAATCTTGGCATGAAAAACAACTAAAAATAAGTTATAATCAATGGTACTCTGCCAATTTCTGAAGACTAAGAGTTCTGTCTGCAGTACCGCTGGAATGGAAGCGAGTGGGACAAGCAACATGAAGTTTTCTATGAACGGTTGCATTTTGATTGGGACTTTGGATGGGGCGAATGTCGAGATTAGAGAAGAAGTTGGCGAAGAGAATTTCTTCCTCTTTGGTGCCAAAGCTGATGAGATTGTGAACCTCAGGAAAGAGAGAGCAGAAGGAAAGGTATATGATTTTGAAGAGTAAACCTGTCTTCTTCTCAGTGTCAAACAGAACTTCAGTTTCACCTGTTTTGTCTTGGCATTACAGTTTGTTCCGGATCCTATCTTTGAAGAAGTCAAGACATTCGTAAGAAGCGGCGTCTTTGGCTCAAACAACTATGATGAACTGATTGGCTCTTTGGAAGGAAACGAAGGCTTTGGACGAGCGGATTACTTCCTCGTTGGCAAAGACTTCCCTAGTTACGTCGAATGCCAAGAAAAAGTCGACGAGGCATACCGAGACCAGAAAGTAAGTAGTGATGCTTTTTTTCTTTGATCATCAAGCGTATATGTTAACTCGATATGAAACTTACCTTGAAATTGCTATGAATGATTACAGAGATGGACGAGAATGTCAATCTTGAACACGGCAGGTTCATTCAAGTTTAGCAGCGATCGGACAATCCACGAATATGCCAAAGACATATGGAATATCAAGCAAGTCCAACTTCCATAGCCTAACCTTAAGAACTCTTTCGAATGTCTCTTCTAGTTCCCAAGTTTCAAGTGTATAAATAAGGAAATCATGTAATAATGCAAATACAAAGAATTTAAGAAATAAAAATGCAAGAGTCTACGCAGTTACAGTGGCTTTCACTGCCTTAGCAGCCTGCTTCTGATCGGCTAAATGACTGTTGGTAAACCTTGTCGCTGTTTACAAACAACGTTGCATATTCTACACAATCTAACTGACTCATTTGTCTCTTTGATTTTAGATCTTCTGTTGATTCCGCACCTTTCTTCCTGTTCTTCCTTACCTTGCTTTTACACAGATTTGCTTGTGGTCGTATTAACGTGACTGCAACGGTTGGTCCAGCCATGGAAGAAGAAGAATTCGTTCACTACAGATTTGAGCGGGACTAAATGGTAATATGGTTAAGTGTGTGTGGGTCAGTTAATGGATGCACTATGTTTTGCTACATGTTTTACTTTCGGAGAAAACTACATGTTTTGCTGGTCACACTATGTTTTAGTTCTACTACGTTTTGGAATAAGAATTTGCTGGTTACACTATATTTTAGCTCTACAACGTTTTGGAATAAGAAATTACTTACTTTGAGAGCTAAGGACCTCTATTCTTGAAGACAAGTTCCCAAGAAGTTCATGGCCGACAAGGTTCTGCCATTACAAATGCCATGTATGTACTCAAACAAACCAAAAACTCAAACTCGTTTGGAATGAACAACAATTACTAGTTCATGATTATTGTTAACTTATAAAGAAGTGACAAAATTTTTGTTATCACAAATAATTTGGGACCATGTGCAAGGATTCACTTGGTTTTGGTTCTAGTCACTTAGCTGATTCTAGAATGGAAAATCCAAAAAAGTAAGAAAGTAACCGTACTCCAATTACTCCAAGATCTGATTTAGATATATACCCGATTTAGATATATACCCAAAATAAAACAAAGAATCTCAATGTTACTGCATGTTTTGGGATTCATGCATGTTTTGGGATTCATACATGTTTCATGCGGAAATTACTCTATGTTTTAGGCTCTATAGCTTATTTGATGTTTGTCTTTTCCTTTCCTATATTGATAATGATTGGTTCGTCTTTTTACATATATGTGGAAATATTTTCAATACTCAGAGAATTCTCTCAGATCTGGTTTATTCTGAGACTACCGGAACAACCAGATTGCAGTTACATTTGTCCACTATAGGTTAGTGGGACTAAGTGGTTTGGTTAACTATGTGTGGTCGTAGAGTAGGACTTAGATATTTACCCAAAATAAAACAAAAAAATCTCAAAATTCCTGCATGTTTAAGGATTTATACATGTTTCGTACAAAAGTTACTCTATGTTTTAGGTTCTACAGCTTGTTCCATGTTTTTTTCTCCTATTATGATTAAGATAATTGGCTCTGTCTTTTACATTTCTGTGGAAATTTTCCTAATAATCTGAGAAAAATTCTCTCATATTTAGTTTATTGTAGTTTTGATCCTGAAAAACTTAAAAACTGATTCATATATGCTTCAATTTATTTGTATATATTATATTACTAAGTTTGATCAGGGTTTTACTAAGGTTAGATTATCATGGATGTAAATTTTTATTCTCTAACTTAGAGAATGTTCGATGTTTTTCTTCTCCTCTTTGATTAAGAGGAGATCATTGGGAAACGGGTTCTAATGATTCTGTATCTGAAACAAGTTTCTGTATTGAAACATGAGTAAAAACCAAAGACGAAATATACCAGTTTCCCAATTATCTGTATCTGAAACTTGAGTAAAAACCAAAGTGAAACTGTATACAGACTCATGTTTTCTTCTCCTATTTTTTTGTTTTGTTATAATAAAATATGTATATTTGGTTTAAAGCAAATCAGTTTCACTTTGGATTATTAGGTCGAATGATTCTGTATCTGAAACATGAGTAAAAACTAAAGAAATCAAAGATTCGAGACAGAGCTGGAGGAAAGTTTCAGATTAGCAAAAGCTGGTCTATTTCTTCTATTTGCAATGTCTGTAAGACTGTAACAGTAGCAAACAGTAGAAAATGTCAACTATACATCTGTACTGCCGAGAAGAAAGTTTAGCAATTCAAATCATTTCTAAAGTTTCAATCCCCATTTACTTGTAAAACATCCCTTATTGTTCAACTAATCAGAAGATCCTGTGTGGATAAACCCCAAAAGCTTTGGCCAGACTTGGAGACATTAAGGACAAATCCAGCACTTAATGTTCCTTCCTTCACATTAGTGTAGTATCTCCAAGTTCAATCAACTCCTCCTGAGAGACCTCAAAGCTTGATAGTTGCGAAACGATCTCCTTAGCTTCTGATGAATCATAGCCACACAGTGAATCTTCAAATCTCCTCCTTTTACGCGCTAACTTCCCACTAGTTGGTCTGTGAAGTCTTTGGTGACCACCAACAGCTTGAAAACACCCAAAACTCTTACCGCATGTTTTGCATTGATAGCTGGAGTTACTCTCTAAGATCTTCTGCAACTTGCTTCTCAGATGAAAAGGCAATGCTTCAGCAACAATATCACTGACCCCTCGCTTCGCCTCAGCGTAATGTTCCTTCCCATTCGTATCTCTAAGTTCAATCAACTCCCCCTGAGGGACTTCAAAGAATGATGGTTGTGGAACAGCCTTCTTGGCTCCTGAGTCAGGCAACACAGACAGTGTAAAACGAGCTCCTGGTTTTGTCTGCAACTTGATTCTTAGAGGAAAAGGCAACGCTTGAGCAACAACATCATTGCAAGTACTAGACTTTCCAAAGCCTGAGTGACAAAACACTTCACTGAACTCTTGTTTCGACTCAGCAAACTCTTCCTTCACATTAGTATCTCTATCTTCAAACTCCTTCTTAACCCCTGAGTCAGCCAACACAGACAGTGATCTACCACCTTTAGATCCCTCCTTTTTATGCGCTAATTGGCCTTTAATCGATCTGTGAAGCCTTTGGTTACTCGCTGGTTTTGTCTGCAACTTGATCCTCAGACGAAAAGGCAACGCTTGAGCAACACTATCATTGCAAGTACTAGACTTTCCAACAGCATCAGAGTGACAAAACACTTCGCTGGACTCTTGTTTCGACTCTACACACTGTTTCTTCACATTAGTATCTCTATCTTCAAACTCCTTCTTAGTCCCAGAGTCAGCCAAAACAGACAGTGATCTACCACCTTTGGAGTCCTTCTTTTTATGCGCTAATTGGCTGTGAAGCCTTTGGTTACTCTCTGGTTTTGTCTGCAACTTGATTCTCAGAGGAAAAGGCAAAGCTTGAGCAACAACATCACTGCAAGTACTAGACTTTCCAACAGCATCAGAGTGACAAAACACTTCACTGGGCTCTTGTTTCCACTCACCACAATGTATGATCTTCCCTTGCATCGTAGATTTAACCTCTAAATCCATGGCATTTTCACCCGGAGTCAGACTTCTAATAACAGCAACTCGTTCAGAAAACATAACCAAGCTCACCGCAGCTTCACTCATCTCATGTTTCTCGATCCCAGTCATAAAAGAAGAACATTCTTTGAGTGACAACGAAGAAGAAGAGGCTTTGAATCCTCTCCGGTACGGATGAAGAGTTTCTGATTTCATGGAGGTCTGTTTAGCAGAAGTTGAAATCGAGCAAAACCTAGACTCCTTACGACCCCAATTCCATTTCAGCCCAGAATGAATCCTCTGGTGACCATACACAGCTTTCACGGTCGCGAACTTTTTCCCGCAGATTTCGCAAACATGAAGGCTCTGAGACATTTCGGCCTCCTTTGACCTAAAAGCTCAAGCCTTTTAGGGATTTCGCAACCAATCAGATGAATTTTCTCTGCTTGTAAAGTTGTAAAACCTGTTCATCATCACAAGTAACCCCCACAAAAATCAAACCCCTACCATTATCGGCTTTTTCTCCTTGATTTCGCTAGAAAATGCGAGAAACGAAACAGGACTAGCTTTTCCATGGACTCTTCTCGAGAAAATGGGGAAGAAGACGGAAGAAGCTGAATAAAAAAAATGCAAAGAAAAATCCATCTGATCAAAGCTTACCAGAGCAAAATCTTCTCTTTGAGCTATAAAACCGTAAAGAACACACTACGCTTTTCGCAGAGACTGGATCAGTGTCGCTCTCTGTCAAGCTTACTCACAGACACCGATGAGAAAAAATTACTTGTTGGGGAAGGTAATAAGACTTTTCGCAGAGGATAGTTATTTCCTACACTCGCGCACACCGTCTAACTTCGTGCTCTCTCTATTCGCTATCAAAACCGAACCGGATTAAAAAAAAGGAACCAGGAGTAAACCAAATATATCATACATGAATGATTTTCTCTGATGAGTGAGATCAAACAAAATACATTCGACTGATTTATCAACAAGAATCACTTCCTCTCTTTTCCGACACATTCTATTGAGTTTCTTCTGAGCAAACCAAGTTCCAAAATAAATTTAAAATAGAAACTGAAGATTGCAATTTGGAGTCATCATCATCTTCTTGTTCTTCTTCTCATCCACAAGAGCATTTGAAGTCTGGAACTAGTCTTTTAGTTAATATCCACTTGAGGAACTCTACCACCAGCTTCAATGATTTGTTTCTCAAGCTGTGCAACAAACCATGGCATCAAATTTTCTTCATTGCTCATCAAAAATGGTTCATATTAAAAGCAGCCGAAACAGTAACTGAATCACAACACTCACGTTGAACATATCTTGAAGCTTTGTCTGTAACGTCTTGTATTCGATATCCACCTGCTGCAGACATCTCACACACCTGTAATAGAGAGATTATCCCGAAAATCTCAACCAATGAGCTTTAAAAGAGAAAACCATAAAACTTCTCAAGCTGAGTTTAAGCTCACCCTTCGTAGTTCTTAGCCTCACAAAATTCCTTGAAGGAAACACACAAGCCTTTGACTCTCTTGGCACCAACACTGCATTAGAAACAAGACAGAGCTTCATCTATCAATCACCACACGCAAGATTTGCTTCCGCTACTATAATATTTTAGACAAAACCGAGAAACACGACATACCTTGAGCTACTACCCTTCAACTGATGAACACTCGCACCTACCTGATTAAAATCTACAGTTCCCTTCTGGTCCCTGAAACAGATAGTTTAAGAGAAGACAGGCAATGATGATACAGCAAAGTTATGATGAACAGAGAGGAATGGATACTTGTGAGAGAGCGAGGAAAAAAAAAAAAAAAAAAAAAAAAAACTTACAGAGCTCTAGCCATGTTACCGATAAGCTTCACACAATCTTCGAAGAAAAGAGACAGAACCTCAGCCACAAAATCAGGACTTGCATCATCTTGCAGCTTTTTCAGCTCAGTAAACTGATCATCCAGAAAACCCTTCACAAACAAACAAACAAGCAATGATCTAACAACAAACCCTCGAATCCAAGTTCGCACATTTAAACGAAAAAACCCAATCCCAATACCAAATTCTTCAATAAGAACGATGAAAAAACTGTGTAGAGAACTCGAATCCCTAAATCATATTATCTTGTAAAAAAAAAACACAAAATCTACAGGGAAACGTTCCAAAAAATCATAACTTTAATCGCGAATCTTCTTCTCTCACCATATATGCGTAAATCTACTGTCGCTAGATTTCAGTTATCAAAATGAATGATCAATATCCAACCAAAGAGACATCTGCTCGAATGGAATTGGGTTTCGAAAATTCAGAAACAAACCTGTTGGTAGAGAGAAATGGTGTAATCACGAAATTGCATCTGCAGCTGAGCAACAAGAGCGTCCATGGGGAGTGAAAGCAAAGAAGCGGAGATCGACAGAGGAGGATTTCGTCGTTTCTTTGGACTTAGATTTTGACTAGAATTTCTGCAATCTAGCCAATCCCAAGAGAACGTTTTGTCTTTCTCACGAATTAAAACGCTTGCATCTGTAGACTTTTGACTTCAAAAGAAAATTAAATAAGAAACACTCATCAAATGTTTTCAGTCTTTTGGATTTTATTTCCATATATATAACCTAAATAGTATTTGACCAAAAAAAAACTAAATACTATACATTATCAAAAAATATTTTTACAAATAAATAACTAGTTTGCAAAAGTTATAAATAAATACTGATGGTTTTTATAAAGACAAGTTTGAAGGTGAGGACCATTGATGGGGGCATGAAAACGAAAACGAAATCTAAAACATTAAGCATTCAATTTTTACGTGGAGACGTGGAATCGTTAGGTGTCAAACCTGACACAGAATCTCCAAGCTGGAAACTTGTAACTTGTAGATGGTTTTGGTTTGGTTTCTAAAACCACAGAGAGAGAGATCATGTGATTCTCAGAAACAATGTGCAAATATTCTTATGTAAGAAAGAAAACGAAAGTCAACTCTTACAGACAAAACATCACAAAGCCACCGGACTAACAGATCAGTCCTGTAACAGATGACGAAGTAAGTTTTTTATTTAGTTTTTCTAAAGAAACAACAAAACTGAAGCTGACTTATAAATGGAATCAATTCGAATACATCAGACGAATCATATAATGAGACTATGAGAGGTTTCATACAAAAACATTGTAAGGAAAAAAAGCAGTAACAAGTCTCAAAGACTCGACAATGATCACAAGTGTGAACCAAAATATGACAAATGGATATTACTATTAGGCAACGGCAGGCACGTCCTTGAGCCACGCGTCTAGTGGCTTACCAATGGAGTATACAATGAAACCAATCTCCCTTAGCTTTTCAAGATTCATAATGTTTCTTCCATCAAACACAAAAGCCGGTTTCTGCATGTTGTCAAAGATCTTCTGGTAATCCAAGTTCTTGAACTCATCCCACTCGGTCAAGATGCAGATACCGTGCGCGTCTTTAGTTGCCTCGTATGCGTCCCAAGTCACGCTCACTTGTTTCACCGTCGCTGGGCTCATCGGCTGCAGATGAAGCGGATGGTCCCAATCGAACTTGTTCATCGACAAATCCCTCTGGATCTGATCCTCTGTCACCTGCGGATCGTAAATGCTCAGCCTCGCCTTGTCTCCTAAAAGACCCTTGCACACGTCGATGGCTGGTGTCTCCCTAGTGTCTCCGGTGTCTTTCTTGAACGCGAATCCAAGAACCGCGATCTTCTTGTTGGACACGGTGTTGAACATGGAGGAAACAACTCTGTTCACGAACCGGCTCTTCTGGTAATCGTTGATCTTGATGACTTGCTTCCAGTACTCAGCCACTTCGGGTAGTCCATTGCATTCACAGATGTAGACGAGATTCAAAATGTCCTTCTGGAAACACGAACCCCCGAATCCAACGCTCGAGTTCAAGAACTTGGAACCGATTCTCGAGTCGGTACCAACAGCGTACGACACCTGCGTGACATCTGCACCGGTGGCTTCGCATAGAGCCGACATAGCGTTGACAGACGAAATCCGTTGAGCCAAGAAAGCGTTTGCCGCAAGCTTTGAAAGCTCTGCTGACCAGAGATTGGTAGTTATGATTTGGTTCTCAGGAACCCAATGTGCATACACGTCCTTGAGCGTCTGAACCGCTTTAAACCCTTCCGGTGTTTCCCGCCCTCCGATGAGAACACGGTCAGGGTTAAAAAGGTCTTTGATCGCGGTTCCTTCCGCAAGAAACTCCGGATTCGAAAGAATCTGGAACTTGATTCCTTTGCTGTTATGCGTCAGAATTTTTTCAATGGCTTCAGCTGTTTTGACAGGGACAGTCGATTTCTCGACCACGATCTTGTCGGAAACAGAGACATCAGCGATCATACGCGCGGCGCTCTCCCAGTAAGTGAGATCAGCGGCTTTGCCAGCACCGAGACCCCTGGTTTTGGTCGGTGTGTTGACGGAGACGAAGACGATATCCGCCTCCCTCACGTGTTTCTCAACGTCGGTGCTGAAGAAGAGGTTCTTGCCACGGCACTGCTTAACGACGTCGTCGAGACCAGGCTCGTAGATTGGAAGCTGGTCGCTGTTCCAAGCGTTGATACGTGGTACAGAGATATCCACGACGGCTACTTCAATGTTTGGACACTTGAGAGCAATGACTGCCATGGTTGGTCCACCGACATAACCGGCTCCAATGCAACATATCTTCACCATTCTCACTTTCTGCGTATATAATCAAGTTTTTACAAAGTCATAATTAGACTCACAAGAAAAACACAGAGAGCTCGATTACTGCAGCAGAAAAGTGGTCCTTTCAGCGAATTTATTTGCAATTATTGGAGAAAGTTTTTGTTCCAATTCAGGATCATTTAAAGAACAAATCGAAAAAGAAAAAGACACACTTACCGACACTCTAAAAAAGTTAGATCTTTTGCAAGAAAAACCGAAAAGGGATCAGATCTGAAATCACACTGAACTACTAAACACCAACATCGAACACTTAGTATGCAAGCAAGACAACATCAACGAGTAACAGATCTTTATGAAATCACACTGATCCAGTCACAATCTAGCTCGATTACGGAGAATCTGTCATAAACCCTAGCAAAATTCTAAAAAAGCAGGACAAGTCATTCCTCGACAGAATTATGATATCAGAACATTTTCACCGATCGAACAGGAAAAATGAAGGGAAATTTTGCGGGAAATTTCAAGAAACGCTGAGGAAAGAGAGTACAGAGATAAGAAATTTGCAATATAATTACCTCTGGAGAGGAGAGACTTTCAGACACAGATGAGCGAGTGAAATGGCGAGGACAATGGTCAGAGCAAAGACAGAGCAAGGCTGAGTTTTATATGACTTGGATTTCCGATTTTGCCCCTGACACCGACCAGAGAGAGACCCAAACGAACCTACAGGTTCGGTAGTGGTGGAGCAACTGTTCATTTTACATTCTGTCAAATCTCTTTGCCCAGAAATGAGGAGGAAACCGAGTAAATACGGTGTGCAATGACGATAACACCCTTGTATTTTTGTGCCGTACGCGCTTGTACATTTTGAAGATCTTCTGTCAAACACGAGTGGACGAATGAAAATTAATTTTTATTCTAGGTGTTTTTTTTTTTTTTTTGGTTAAAAGGTTTTCTTGATCATTATTATTGTGGCTATTGTTATAACTTTTTATTTGCTAATTCACAAACTAAAACAAATTGAAATTAATCTATCAAACTACTTGAAATCTAGAAATGTTTGGTTTAATGAATGGAAAAATTGTTTCCTTTAGACTTGATCAAAGGATCCTTTAGGATTTATAAAAAAAAACCTAAAACTAAAAAGTTTGTTGTAAACATGAGCTTATGAATTAGATTGCTTATGAGTTAGAGAATGTTAGATTGCCACCAAAACTCTCTTGAATGTTAGATTGTTAAACTTTCTCGAATGTTAGATATTGCTACCAAAACTTTCTCTACTAACAAAACTTCAAAAGCAAGAATGTTAGATTGCTTATGAGTTAGAGAATCTTTCTTGAATTATTAATTTTTATTGAGTGTTTTTCACGGTAACTGAAAATAATTGAGTAAGAACCAAAGGTCCAAATCTAAAAGCTACAAGATTAAGTTTGATAACACCAACCCATTGCTTTATTTTGTTCAAATATCCACTATAAATAATCTTTGACCTCCCATAAACCGAGATGAGAGGTATTCGAATTGTATCATCCATAGTCGACATTTCCAACCTAATATTCATAGAGTCAAACTCTTGATCTGCCGCATATCATTTTTAGGCCCATTGCAGCACAGCCCGGCCCGCTTTAACAAAAATAGTAAACAAATAATTTTAATAAATTAATACTAGATGACTTAATAACACGGTAATAATTTTTTCACTCCTCTCTATTACACACACCTTAAAATCTTTACTCGGTTCACATAAATATTTCACAATGGCATGTATATATATGGACCAAAGAGTGAATATTTAATGGACCACATTCTACTTTCTTTCTTTCTTGTTTTTGATGAACATCATTATATGTACTTTCTATATTTTCCTGACTTGATTCATGGAATTCCCAAATTCACATCTATCCAATATCTACATTTGAAAGTTCTGATTAAAAACGTACCAATCTCTCGTACTAGACGTCTAAATTTGATTATAGTAGTAATTAATACTCGGGCACTAAAATTCTGCAATAAATCACAAGGCAAATAAGGCAAGATATAATTTCCTTTCTGCATTCCCAAAATTCCCTTAAATTATCACACCGCGTGTCATTTTCATCTATAAATAATCATTCTTCCTTTTCAGCATAATTGTTAAGTCGGAGAAGAAGAAAAGTTTAAAAACATGAATCGATCAATGTCTTTTGTGGTGTTACTGGCGATTCTTGCGTCGGTGTCAGACGTCGTGTTGGCTAATTACGGTCTTACTGGCATCGACTCTGGGTGGTACGACGGACATGCGACGTTTTACGGCGACATTAACGGCGGGGAGACCATGCGTTAGTATTAAATTATTTGATTGTAGTGTCTAATAAGTTTTTTTTTTGTTGGTTATATGTGTGATTTTGTGCATGTTAATTATCATTACATGTTATTTATAAAAAAAAAACGTAATTATATTATCGTATACGTAATTTTTATAATTCGTTATATTAATCTTGTAAAATCATTTGGCTTTTTGTAATGATAATATTATCGTATGTAATGTTTCTAATTCTTTAAATGTTTGGTGTTATAGAAGGAGCATGTGGTTACGGAAATCTATTCAGCCAAGGTTATGGCTTAGAGACGGCGGCGCTAAGCACGGCGCTCTTCAACAACGGCAAGGCTTGCGGTGCTTGTTTCGAGATTGCGTGTACGAACTCGCAGTGGTGCTTACCGAACGTTGGTTCAATCAAAATCACAGCCACTAATTTCTGTCCACCCAACTACGCCCCACCGGGTGGATGGTGCAACCCTCCTAACAAACACTTCGATCTATCGCAAAAGATGTTCGTTTCGATCGCCGTGTACAGAGGAGGAATCGTTCCGGTGAGATACCGGCGAGTGGCGTGTCAGAAGAGAGGTGGTGTGAGGTTTGAGCTCAGGGGGAATCCTTATTACATCATGGTTTTGGTGTATAACGTTGGAGGTGCAGGAGATGTAACTAGCATGGCAGTTAAAGGGGATCGAAGTAAGTGGACCTCTATGCAGAGGAACTGGGGGCAAGTTTGGAATGCCGGTGGGGGTTTGGTGGGACAGCAGCTCTCGTTTCAAGTTCAAACCAGCGATGGTAGGAGCATGACCTTCTACAACGTGGCGCCCACGTCTTGGGGCTTCGGTCAAACTTTTGAAGCACACTCAAATTTTTAGATTCGGTGTTTTTATTTCGTTTCTCATATTATGGTAGCTTCTACAGTTTGTAGTTGGAATAAAAAGGCTTTAGATTTTGTTGGAACGTTTCGTTCCATAGAGTGTTCGATGAATAAATTGTCATGTTCGTAGAGATTGGCATGTAATAATTACTAATAAATCTTGGCATGATTAATGAGTAATATTTAAAAATATTTTGAAGACCTTTTTCCTTCATGTATTACAAAAATATGCGATGTGAACTACTTTCCTCTATATTATCCTTCTCAAGAATATGTACATTTTGTTGTTAAGAAGATTTGCGAATATCGTGCAGATCGTAAGCATATAGCAGGAGACTGCATTAAACTTGAATATTAGAACATTGTTTAACTATACATCTTCCCCATCTTGAAACATCCCAAAGATCCTTTCTCAAAGAAAGGCTTGCCTGGATTTTGCAGAATCCCAAGAACCTAGGATACCTCCTAGGGTCTTGATAATGTCTTCCTCAGAAGCATACCATTGGGGTATAATCTTCAAGGCGTAAGGGTACATATCCTTGACGGTGTTCTTGATGGTATTCTCCACTACTTCCGCAACCAAAGCAATATCTGCAAAAACAAAGCCAAACGAGTTTGTTAGATTTTAACAACTAATAAAGAGAGAAGAAACCGATTGTTTTTCCGGTCAGTTAGCGAGCCCTAGCTTACTGTGGAGGTTACCTGAATCTAGGGGTTTTTTTTTTTTGATTAAAAAGAACCAAAAACAAAATTATTTCAAATCACCTCGAATAGGACTCTTTTTCGCTGGAGATAGCTGATTGATCATGAAGATAACAGCAGCAAGAATCGACTTAGGGGTTCTCCGGATATCGAAACTCTCAGCTTTTTCAACCGCTTCTCGGATCGCCTTCGTCTCTTTTATTCCTATACGGAGTTTGGAACAGAACCGGCGAACAAGTTCACCTGTGTTTATAATCACCTGAGGAGCCTCAGAAGCAGCCTCGGCTTGATCCGACCCGAGAAGACGCTTTATGGCCATACTCGCTTTGTTTATATCCTTCAGTTCCACACCTTCTGCCACCGTGGCAATCTCTTTCAACGTCCTCGAGAGCTTCAGTTCACGGCAAGCCGTTGAAACAGAGGCTGCGCAGAGAGCGATCAACTGCTTCCCTCTGCGTAGTCTCTTGGTGTTGCTTTCATCGAATTTCGAGATGATCTCGCAAGCCCTGAACTCGACGCCGCTTATTAGGCCAAGATCATCCGTCATTCTCTTGATTTCCTTGCAGGCTTTCACGATCAGATCTTCCTCCGAGTTCTTGACGAGGTTCTGCGTTCGAAACAGATCGGATAAGTCGGCCTTGGAGACGGAAGAAGTTTTTTCCGTGCGTTTATCGATGATGGTGCTGAGACCGCCGGATTTGAGAAGAGGATTGGTCGGAGCACCGACGCGATGCGGGTCTCGGTCACCGCCGTCGTCGTTGGCGAAAGTTCTGTATTCCTCTCGGACTTCGATGAGGAAAGCTTCCATGACGAGTCCACACTCTGTGCAGATTGTGTCGCCGCTACTTTGGTCAGTCACCGTCACGGTTGGTCTCTTGCAGTCCAAGCAAATCTCTCCCTCCATTCTAAGTTTTTTTTCTTTAGGGTTTCTTTGTTCTTGGTGTTGTTGGGGATTTGGAAAGGATTGTAAACTTGAGGATCAGATTGTTTACGCAAAGATTTGTGTATCCCACATATTTATAGAGGATGGAGACGAGACAGGAGTAATTAGGTCAATTCCCTTTTTTTATGCTTTTACTGTTTTCTAATAGTAAAAAGGAATATTTCCTTTTTTTTTATACAGCCTCACATTCACACCGTTATTTTTTTTTTTTTTCCAATTGTTGAGTTTCCTATTGTCTTCCGGTCCCAAACAATATGGTTACATAAGCATCAAGGTAACTTACAAATGATAGGGTTACATATGTGAGTCTGTGACAGAGATTTATACAATGAAAACTATATACTAAGCTAATATTTTCTTGATTCCCTTAAGTATCTCCGATGGAATACACTTCAAACCTATATTTACTTGCCCACAAAAAAAGGCTGATGATTACAGAGGAAGACAGTGTAGGGGCTCGGGTAGGTTCATTGGCATTTGTATTTCAACAACGTATCTCTGGGGAGCTGATCTTTTCATTGTCTTTGTGCGGCAATGAAACTTGGCCAGACGGTTTATCACAGAGAATCTTTCGAGGTCTTGGATTTCTAATGTGATGCCTAATATCGATGTGGTTGAACAATCCAAGCTGCATATATAGACTATTTTGAAAAATGTATATACCTAAGAAAACATCATATATAAGACAATATAACAATTCAGCCAATTACTGCTTGATCTGTATACCTTTGGAAGTCACTTTCAAGTTTCTGCATTTTCTCCATGAAATATTTGACGAGTGAAGAACATCGTTGATCTTGATCACTAGCTGTGATCTTCCAAGTTTGACAACTGTTCCAAAACGAACATTTTTTAGGGAAGTGAGCATGTAACATAAGAAAATGAGATAGATTTTTCAAGTCTGAAACCATTAATGGAACTCACTTTGTGCGGCTCTTATTCAAATCAGAATGGGATTGATCAAGAGAACATGCATTAGCGAGGGAGAATCTTGAAACAAAGTGAAGCACCGTCTCGTAGTTGAAAGCTGCTTTGTTGCCGGAGAAAACAAACGCTGGTGCTGGTTGGAGAAGTTGTTGCATAAGATGTGTGGATAAAACAAGCCTCCTCTTTGAAGGAGATATCGCCTCATCACTTGGATCGACCTTATCATACAAAATATATATATATATATATCTTTTCTCTAAAGATGGAGATGGAAAATTGATAAGTATTAAGAGTAATTGGTACCTTCTCACATAGCTTATTTCTCGTAAGGGCCCATTCTTGTTCATAAATACTATAGAGAGCAAAAATTATAAAAAGTCAAATATAGTCAACGAATCCTTATCAAGTGTGGTATTAGGAAAGACAGGCCTGAGAAAATTACCTGTTGCTTTGACATAACTCTGAACCTTTGCGCTTCTTCTTCGGTCTTGAAGCAACCATGTTTATAAGGTTCATAGTGTTTGAATTCGAAGCATTACTATATATCCCCTGCATTATCGGATCATTATACAGATTTTGCATCTCAATGTCACCAAAATTGAAACCTTACTAACTAAAAAAAAGATCCAAGAAGCCAAAACTAATGGCATTACCATGCTTTGATATTTCTAGACATATCAAGAATTAATCTATAGATCCAGCTTCTAATTGTTCCTTATGATTTACGATTTCAAACCCAAAAACAAAAAAAATTAAAAGATACTTTGTTGGTCCAAAAAAGTAAAATTACTAGCCAGAGGAAGCAGATAGGTCGATTTTTATTTTCAAAGCTATATAACAAGAAAGTTGAGAGAATGCATGCAAAGACGAGATGTCCTTTTGTATGAACATGCAAATGATTTTAACATCAAAAAATGGACAACAGGGCCGGGAAAATGATAAATTTCGAGGAAAAAAACAATTTTCTTTTCCCAATCAGAGAATATAAACAATCAAATATCCGGTCTTAGCTAGAGCAGAGCAAAAAAAACTGAATCAATACCCAGAAAGACGGTGACATTTTTACCTATGAAGAGCATCGACGTTGAGCAGTCTCTTTCGCTCTCATTTTTTTTTTGTATTTTTCCGGGAAAATGAAGGAGGCAAATGAGTCAAGGTAAGAAGAAGAGACGAACTTGAGATCTCAAGTCTAGGCTGGGATTTTCTTTTGTTTCCAATAAAACCCCAACACTTTCATATCTATCCAATTAACTCCAAATTTTTAATCGAAGCCCAAAAATTTCTAATGGGGCCCACCAGTTTCAACTTTTTGTAAACTGAAGATTTAGGCCGTCCGATTTGCATTCCCTCTGAATCCAATTGATCTTCGAGTGATTTTGGATTATTATTTTTTCTTCTCCATCTGATTGTTTTTCTTCTTCGTATCCGTGAAATCCTTAAGAAACCAACTTTTGTATCGGAGAACGGCTAAAAGATGACGGGGGATCGCGACGAGGCTAGGGTTTCTCCGACCGACGAGGCTGCAGCGAACGATGCTTCTCGGACGAGGCAAAGGTACTGCCGATATTTCCTTGTTTAACCATTCAAATTAATCAGCTAATCACATCTTTCTCACCTTCCATCTGATGCATCTTTTCGTGAAATTGGCACCGGTTTGATTTTGACTCTGGTGCATCTTCATCCCTGGATTGCTGCTTCAACCCTATTTGCATCCTAATTGTACATTTTTGAGGTGGCAGGAGGAAGAGAAAGTGGGATCAGCCTGCGGAGCAACTAGTTGCAGCTGGAGTCTCGCTTCCTCGATTACTCCCTCTAGCCAATACTATGAATCTTCCTGCTGCAACTGTGGCGCCATTGTTCCAAACGCTTTCTTCCTTGCCCCAGCAAACCACATCAGTTCCACTAGTTGTTAATCAAGTAATTAGCTCTTAAAACACTATTTGAATCAGCTATTATTGCATTATATGTAGCGTTGGAATATATGATATATATTTTGTGACTTTAACAAATATTCATTATAGCCTAAGATCCAGGATGAGTTGACTATAGCGCGAGAAATTGTTATCAACGATGCTGAGGCTTCTCTTAGGCACAAGCTTACTAAACGCTCGACTCAAGAAGAAGTAAGTATGTGTGACTTGCTGTACATATATGAATACAGTTTTTCCTTCTCTCTATTACTTAGCGTCTCTATATTCGTCTTGCAGATTCAGAGATCTACTGGTGCTGTGGTGATTACTAGGTCTGTGATAAGAACTTGTATACGAATCTCTCCGACATCTACGTCATGGAGAAGAAGGTTTTACAATTATCTTTTCTATGTTGGATTGATGAACTTTTGTTTTTTTTGTTTTAGGGGCAAGTACCGTCTTCCAAATGCACCTCTTGATGGTGAAAAGCCATTGTATCTTCACATATCTGCTGCCGCCAATGTATGTTAACCTTTTTAGATCATGATGGTCGAAATGTTTTTGAAATATGATAGATGTCTAGCATGTGATGGGCAGTAATTAAAACGTTTATGGCTGAAAATTTGGGCTGTTTTTTTTTTTTTTTTTTTTTTTTTATGTTTGTTATCACAACTGCAGTTAAAAGAAACTGCAGAGCGTATCTTAGCCGTTGATCGTGCAGCAGCTATGATTGAGGAGATGATGAAACAGAAAACAAACTCACATGTCGGGTTGGTTGGTTTTCAGACCAAGGTACATAGTGAAACATTTCTTTTTTTGTACTTATGAAATCGGGGCAGCGATAATCAGAACCATGTTTCCAGATGCTGAGCACTTGCGTATATTTGGGTTTTGAAGCTGACCCATCATCTAATGTTGCTGCTCGTATTCGTGGGCCTAATGTGAGTCCTGCTTCAATCTCTTACCCTTTGTTCTTTCTAATTTACGCCAAAGGGAATGAATCGACAGTCTAATATAATATACAGTATTTTTAACTTGTATAAAAGGATCAATAGACGTAATTGCGAAATGCCAATTGGTCTAGGTTTACATTTGCATTATTTTGTCTCACTCCATGAATTCAAAAGATTCTAATGTTGAAGCTCTCTCCGACATCTCCGTGCAACCGGGAGAGATCTTTTTTTGTGCTGTTGGTGGTTGGCTTTCCTACATGCAGGATCAGTATATAAATCACATTATGAATGAAACAGGAGCAACCGTTGTACTAAGAGGGCGTGGTTCAGGGAGCCTTGAGAACCAACACGGTGAAGGTAATATTTGCCTCTTTTGTGTTTGTCTATCTCTATTTATGAAAAGGTGTTATTTATGCATGGATATCTGGATCACATTGTTAATGTAATATAACTTCCTGTTTTTACGTATTATTGCAGAAGCACTGCAACCATTGCATCTATTATTGTCTAGCAGCAATCCGAAGAGCATTGACGATGCTAAACGTTTAGCTGAGAATCTTATGGATACAATCAGTGTAGAATTCGGAGCTTCAAGGTTCATTTTATCTTCCTGAACTTCAAACTTTGGCAGATATAATAATAGGCTATCTCCCTGTTTCCATAATCGTTTCGTTATTATTTTTAATTAGTAGTCCGATAATTTTGGAACCACTTTGTTTTCGAAGGTTAATTTTTGCTTCTAGGTCTTGTATTTTCTGATCAGAAGCATGTTCCTATGTTGATTTTGTCAATTCATTTGCTGATCTATAGTTGTATTTGGTTGTCCTACAATATGTTTCAGGGTTTCCTCAAGCAAGGTGTATGGTGCAGTGCCACCACCACAGCAACTGCTTTCTGGAGCTCCAAGTTCTGAAAACGAGCAAAAGCCAAATTTGAGTTCAACATATGGTTTGATGCCATCGCTACCCATCATACCGCCGCCCAACGCTGTTAATACGTTTTCTGTTCCTCCAGCAACAACTCCTTATCCTCAGTTTCCAGTGTTTCAGCCTCCAGGGATCCCTAATGGTGGGCACTTGCGACCAAGTCCAGTCAGTTACGTACAGCCCGTGGCTGGGGGAACTAGCTATAGTGGGTATGCTGGAATATACCCTCAAGCCACTCCACTGCAACAAGTTGCTCAAGTCCTTAAGCAATCAGTTTCCCCTGTTATCTCCACTGTGCCCCCTACCTTGTTGACAGCTACGTCCTCATCGAAGCCAAGTGATATTTCAAGTAAGGAAAAGGAAAGGCGTCCATCCCAAAAGCGAAAGTTTCAGGAGCTACCAGCTGATTCTAAAGTCCCAGCAAAATCCAAAGAGGTAACAGATCTTTTCTCTATTAACAGTGGTTGTTTGACGGAGAAATGGATGGGTGGAAACCCTTGGTGTCTTCTATATAACTAAGTTACCATGAGAGAACTTGTGGTTTTGGTTGTGGTTGTTTGAAACAATGTTTGCGAGTGGTGGTACTTGTAAGCGATAAGCATTAGTTAACGAGTGAACAGATCAGGTAAGTGTTTTATATGGACAAATGGTTGGATATTCTGGGTGGGGGTCAAAAATTGTTTTCGGTGGTTAAAAGGTGAAGTAGCATGAAGAATAGCATGTATCTTGTTAAGCATGTCATATCCGCACGAGTTTGCATTTTTAACTGTTTCTAAAGGTTTCAAACCTGATTATGAAAACCTCTTTATTGGGACATTACAATCTACCATGAGATTTATACTTTAGGATCATGAAAATTCATGGTTTCTAATGAATTCTTTAAGTTTCACTGTGACAATTCTATCCTGTGCTGACTTTTTCCCCTTAATATTCCAGGTATTTTTCTGAACTTCTAAGAAGCTAACTAGCTGATTCTGGACCCGTGGGCCATTGGTTTGCATGTTTCACAGGGTATTCTTAATATTGGAGGCACCATGTGGTTGCAGTCATTCTTGCTTCAACTTTGGCGATCAGAATGCAGACCTTTAAACGTCTTTTAACAGTCGTGACATGTCTCCCTTGTGTGCATGGTGACGGGCATACCATTTTTGCATAATTCAATGTATCTACATTTGAGTACCTTGCATATAGGTTGGCATTAGGCTCGTATGTATGGTAGAGTAGGCCCATCCTCCATAGATTATCTATGTAATTATGCGCTTGATTTAAAGTTTGCATCTCCAATCAAGGTTTCTTGATGCATGAAATTAGAGAAAATTAACATGCAATTGACCAGTATATACACAACGTAGGCTGTGGTTGGAACCAAAGAGCTACAACATCTTCTGATACTTGTATCTTTTAGGATGTTAGTGAGCTTGTGACTGTTTAGTCCACTTGGGTCCTGAATAAGCTTGTAAAGGGTTTAGCTGTGGGGTGCATATTTTTCCTGGATTTGAAAGCGTTCGCTTTACTCTCTTAAGCTTTTAAGGGATAGCATATTTTTATAAATATTTGCATGGTCATTTTTTTATGTGCCAAAACATTTATCTTTACTGTTGTAGTGTGAATGGCAATGTTCTATTCCTATTATTTGTTGCAGCACTTGGAGTTAGCAGCAGCAGGTGAAGTTGCCCCAAAGAATATTATAGTTGAGCCATCAGCAACTGGAGTGCGGTCTTCACCAAGATCTGTGATGCCTCCTCCTCCACCAAAGACCATCCCAACACCGCCTTCTAAGACCGTCTCTCCTCTATCATCGAGAATCATGCCTCCTCCACCACCGCGATTTACACCATCAACACAACCTCCAAGATTACAGGACGACTGCATCACCGTAAAGAAACCAAACCCAGTTCCAGGTATCGATTAGAACCAATCCTTGGAAAAAGTCACACAGCCCACCCGGTTCTTATGTGTTTATAAATCTTGGATTGGTTACAGTTATTTGCTGATTTGATATGAATATTAGGGATTATCGGTAACTAAAGCATAACCTAGCATCAGATTTGTGATTAATCAGTCATGCCCTGATGTTGCAGATACTTTAATAAAGCTGATGGAATATGGGGATGATGAAGACGATGATGACGAACCTGACGAGACATTGATTGTCAAATCGTGACAGTGTAGTAGTAGATGATGGAACCATCTGATCTGGCAACAAATTTGCCAGTCTTTTGTCTGTAACAATAGAATTGTTTTGGGGTCTTTGTTTATCTGGCCTCCTATTGACTCGTGGCTTAGGGTCCTGTGGTATCAAACTATTAAGACAAGTATACAAGGAATTACTGTGGCTGACTTTGTGATGCCCTTGTTGTTGTACCAAAATAATACTACATGATAGATATATATTTATTTACCAATGGATCAAGAATTCAAGATCATATTCTTATTTAAAATTTCGAAATGATATTATACTGTGGCCAATAAAATATTTGATGTCAAGTTGGTTGCAGACTTATAAATATTGTGGACCGACCATTTAACAAAGAAAGATAATTCCAAATTGGTGTTTCGTTTCTTGTCAAGGAAAAATTCCAAATTGGTTAAAATAATACTATCAATTTGTATGGCGTGATTCCATGAACCGTCGTGGAGTTGACCATAGACCCTCTCTGCAAATTGAGAGATAGTCAAGTCTATTTCTTTTGACTTGTCTCTTCTGCTACAAGAATTCACCAATTCATTAATTTCTTTTTATTACAAAAATTCCAGATCTAGTTCTATACTTCTCTTTGACCAAAAAAAAAAAAAGTTATATACGTCTCAAATACACTTACTAGAGAGACTAAAGTCTTTGACTAACATTACAAAACTAAACCAAAAGAACACTTTTATTTTACTAAAACATATTCATGAAATGATGAATATAGATTACAAGGTCAAATAAATTCAATTCAAACAAAACAAGTATATATATGTCTATGCTAATAACATATCATCCGATTCATACTTGATATGAACCACAAAACTAATACACAATTGCAACGAATTTTGATCACCTTCTGTAAGAATTGTTCAAGGATTTTTGAGAACCAGCAAAGAGATCCAACAAGTGCCTCTCAAGATCATCAGTACTGTACTTAATGTGCCTCTCACTCACAGTGTTCTTGTGTCTACTGTAAAATGTCCAGTACGCTTGAATCACCCACATCGACGCCTTCGTCCTCACATCCTCTCTCAGCCTCTCGTCCGAAATTAGCCACCCGGTTTGCGCCTTGTACACTTCCTCAAACGCTGTGTTGAATCCTTGAAACCGCTCCCTCGGCCGTAAGTTTCTTGAACCAGAACCAGAGCCTGAACCGGAACCGGAACCGGAACCACCGTCGTCCTTGAGGAAGGACAGGACAGGGAGCCATGTGGCTCTTTCGTACGCTGTTGCTTGCTGCTGAAACTTCCACGTATGCTTTCGGTTCCATTTGTCGCCGAATATATGTTTCAGCTCCGAGTTTGTCACCTTCCGGGTCATGTAGTGTATGTTGTTGAGGAGGAAAATGTGTCGTAGAGAGACGTCTTTGTATAGTTTCGATTTCTCTTGAAGGTTGGCTTCCAGAATCGAGGTTATGGAGTAGAAATGCCGAGTCATCGCAAGAAACTTCTCCGGCGAAGAAGAGCTCTCGTAGGTAGACTCTTCTTCGACCATCACTGGATTGATGATATCCGGCGACGGCGGTATTGTGAGATCCTCTGCATCGTCGTGTTCCATGAGAAGCGAGTCAAGCGTTTGGCTGAAGTCCGTTAGCGCCATGAGGTAGTTCATCACGTAGTTCGTTAGCGGATGAACCGCTCCTCCAGGGAAAGGATGCGACGAGACATCCGAGGCAATCGCACTCTTGAATTCAAGAAACGTCGCTCTTGCGCATTCCCCGAGCCTCCTCATCACTTCCCTGTACTCTGCTCTCACGGATGAGCCAGGATGATCCGAGAACAGAGCATCGATCTCCGGTAAAAGCTCGGAAGCTAGCTCGTACATTTCAAGAATCCTAAGCAGCTTCTCGGGCTGCCGTGGACCAAGAGACACCGCTTCGCCGAAGTTGAGCAGTTGCATCACCGGAGCCTTCACTGTATCGACGAAACACGTTAGACCGATCTCGTTCAAGTCCCCGAAGATCTGATTATCCAAAGACTTCTCGCTAACGAGATACATCTGCACGATGTTTCTCAAAACACGAACCCATTTCTTGATGTTCGTGTTCAACGTAGCCCAGTCCATCCTCAGAACATCTTCGATGCTCAGCTTCTCGACCTCGTGGTCATAGAGAAACTCGTCCAGCGAGTCTTTTCTGACCGATGTGCACACCTGGATACACTCGCGGTCATACCCTGAAGCAACCATAGTGTTTGCAATGTTCTTGAGATCTGATATAACATCAGGGTTAACCAAATCAACCACGATCTCAGCTGAGTTTCTCCTACTGTTGTTGTTGCTTCCAAGAATCAAATCCTCAGTGGAAGCAGCGCCGAAAGAAGCCATAGATCCTTCTTCCACACCATGGTCCGCTTCACTTGACCGGAAAGAAGCGTGTTCAAGCTCGAAAGGCAATCTATTCTCCACGAGCAGATGCTTAAACTCATCCTCGAGCCTCGCCATTGCCGTTTGAAGAACATCGTGAGCTTTTCTCAGAGATGTCTCCTCCGTTCCAGTCTTCGAAGAATCATCCAACCGATCGATCAAAACTCTGAGCTCATTCACAGCATCCAGAAACTCATTGCCTTCATCTGAACCCAAGTCCCAGATCATCGTTTCATCGACCTCCCGAGTCATGATCTTCTCACAAACAAGGTTGAGCCTTTGCTCAATCTCACCTAGTTCATCTCCTTCGTCTCTATCCTCAGAGATCACCACACGAGACAGCTCTGATAAGAGGTTTCCCAGAACCTGCTTAGCGTTTCTAGTGAGGCTCTTGCCAGATCTAAGTTCCTTCACAAGATACTTTGCAGCAACAATCAATTTCTCTTCCCCATCTACCTCAAACTCACCCATCTCCGGGAAAAAACCCACGAAATTGCACAAATAAGCTTATCCAAAAACTTAAAGCCTAAAACAAACAAGCTCTTGAACCCTAATTCTCAGAAACCATTCAAAACCCCAGAAAATGGAATAATCATAAGAAACTTAAGCTCGACATGAAAAAAGGTTTAAGACTTTGGAGAGAGAACTTGGCAAAGGAGAGATCTTTTAGAAAATCTGGGGAAGAGAGTAAGATTTGTGAAGATACAAATTAAGTAAGAGAAGGAACGTAGGGAGGGTCAGGTATAACGGAAACCCTCTTTAAAGTTCTCTCGCTGCCTAACTCTGATTGAAAAATGCAGATTTTCTTGAGGAACAAATTTTCCCGGAAAAAAAACTTTCTCTCCCAATATTTTTTTCTCTGCTCTTCAAAATTGCCTTGTTTTCTTCATTTTGGACGGATATGTTTTTGATAAGACGACCTCCACAAGGACCACCACAACACAGGAAGAAGATTCAACGGAAGAAATGCAGACGCTGTATTCTAATTATTCTTTTATGCACAATCAATTAATTAATAGAGAATTGGATTATTAATAATTTTGATTACTTAGTAAAAAAACACACTCGGCTCTAAATTTTTACAAATAGAAAATTCTATCCACAAATTATAATACATAATTTTATATACACCTACGTTCATGATAAACAGATTTATTCATATGAATTCATAAACAAATTTCTGATAAATTTGACTCCATTCATTTAAAATAATTTGGTTTAAGGTTCGAAACCCATACATAATACTATGTCTATGAAAACATTAAATTAAAAATTAAGCATTTAAGTAGATTTGACTTTTGGATTGATAATGCAACATTAGTGGTGTAATTATGTAATCGTGCAAATTTAATGAAAATGCGCAAGTTGAAGACCGAAATATATATTTTGACCCCCCCCAAAAAAAAAAAAGACCGAAATATGTATATAGGAGTAACAAAGTTTATTATGTGGTGGAAGGGTCAAGGATAATCTTACAACTTGAGTGTTGTAGATTTCATAGGATAATATACTAAATGATTATCTATGTCAAGGTGGTAGAAACACACAACAAAATATATAAGATTAGAAGGCCAGTAGATGATTATCTATGATAAGTTTAGTAAAATGTTAAATCTTATAAAATGTCTATGTAGGTAAATATGTAAAACGGTTTGCGGAAGAAAAACAAAAGATTCAAAGAAAATCAGAGTTTTGAATATATATTTAGACGATTAGTTTATAATTTGTAGTGTAATTTGTAATTTGTTTTTTAAATGGAAAAGCTCAGTAAAAATATGGTGCGCAATACTGGGGAAAAATATGGTGGAAACTGGAATTTGTGAAAATGTTTAGGGATTTTGTGGAGAAAATATGTCTATTAAAACTTTTCTTTATTACCCACCTAGGCAGGCATGTATATAAAATTAATGTATTTTAGTCAAAAACTTAGAATCTTTTGTTATGGAAAAGGTAATTTGATTGACTTTCATAAGTCAAGTTTGTAAAATAATGGAATAAAACTTAAAAGACAGTGGGGTAATAATAATAATAATTTAATAATCATAAAAAAAAACAATATCCTAAAGATCAATAATAATAATTATAATTATAACAAATGAAAGATATTAAAAGCTGATGGAACTAAAAGCCAAGGACCAAAATTTGTTGTAATTATAGATGATGTGTTTTAGTAGAATGACTTAAATATATCACCTGATAGGAAGTTGTTAGACTTTTTCTATAAGTTGCACGAATAAGTTCGATGCATATCTCTTACAAAATTAGGTTTTCTAGAAGCTTGGATGATTAAGTTTGATTTTTGTGTTTAAAAATTAATTGTGTAGCCATCTTTTTGACTTCCATGAAATTTCTGTTGAAAGGAGAAAGAAAGTCTGTTTGAAATACAAACCCAAAGGGAAACAATAATCTGATTTTGAGAAGATCATCAAGCTTAATCTAAATAAATTCGCATGAATACTTTGTATAAATTTCCACACAACAGCCAAATGAATTTGGCTGTTTGTAATGATTTACGTGTTCAGTGTAGTTATGTTGACAATGATTATTTGTCGACTTGTTAATCAAATAATGATTCCATTACTGTATTTGAACTCAATTTTCTCAACAAAAAAACAAAAAAAAAAAATCAGAAGATCATACGAGTTAAACCAATATCACAGAAAATTCCACCAATGTTAGTAAAATTTTAAGAATACTAGGCTTTTAATTCGCACTACGCGCGAGTCTGTATTAATAATTTGGTTTAATTTTTTGGTTAATATCTTTTAAATTATCAAAACTATAATATATTTGTAAAATTTTTTTATATAAAAAAATAAATATTATTAAGTAAAATCATAGTAATGACACCTAACGAATTATTCAACTTCGATGTGCATATGTTTGATTTAAAAAATGATTTTCTTACTAAACTTTTGGTGTTTTGTTTTGTATCCTTAGGATTTCTATGGTTTTTTTTAAAAGGTTTATATGTTTAAATATTTAGTTTCATTACTAAATGTCTCACTAATATTATGTACATATACATATATAATATATGATATATGTTGATTCAGATTTACTTTTGTTAGTAAGCTACACTAATCGTGTAAAGCTGTTTTTTCTTCTCCACCGTTTCTTAATCAGTTTATAAGATCTGTTTTATTTGCAGTCAACTATTTGCTAATATTTGTTTTTAAACATGTAAGATGATGTTGAGACTTCACATTATCACTGTTTTTTTTTTAATCTTTTGTGTGTTTATCATGTTTTAATTTGAATATTTTATCTTCATATATTCCCATTTGAATTTGATTAATAAATTTGTCATATTATATTATTTAAATAAAATTTTAGAGAATGTTGCTCATGTATTGTTCATTTTGACTAAGTTACAAGCAATAAATATGTATACAAATCAGGCTTTATTATTTGAATGTAAAGTTATTTGTGTAGTATTTTACTTTGTTATTTTTTCAACCAGACGCAACCAAAGTATTAATCTTTGTTAATTTAAATAATATGTTTAATTTAGAAACTTGTATAAACTATTAAAACTTTATATGGTTATTCATAGTCAACATCAATATTTTAGAAATCATGAATGTTTTTGGAACTATATTTCAAACTAATTTTCTTCTTAGATCTTGTTTTTTGTTATTTTAAATATCTTCAATGGTAATTTTATATTTTATTTTAATTATATAATTTTCTGCAGTTTTGATATACTTAAAACATATATATTTTTAATTAATCTCTTTTGTTATTAATTTTTCAAATAGGTAGCATATATATTAATCTAATATATTTTACATAAATGTTTTTTCTTTGTTAAATTTACTTTTAAAATTAATTAAAATGCTAATTTGACATGTTATAACTTGTTATTCTAAATTTTGAGTGAACTTCTCTCAAAAGCTTATACCATCATTTGCTTTTTTTTAGTTAATATTTATTTGGTAGTTAGCCTAAATATCAAGCTAATTTTACTTTGTACGACTTTTTCCTTTGATAATTTATCTATCTTGATATATTTTTATTTTATTTTAACATACCATTTTTAAAAAATATAATTTTGAAAACATAAATTTTTTGTTAGTTAAATATTGTTATATGAATTTTTTAAGTAGTTAAACAGATATCAAGTCAATATATTTTTACGTGTTTTTAAAAAAAAAAATATTTTGTAAAACTTAATATTCGTTTTAGTTTTTAGTTAATTAATTTTTAATACTGATTTCTTAAATAATTAGCTTAAATACTTATATTATTTTTGTTAATTAAGTTTTTTAGTATTATTTAAGTTTTTTTATTCTCTTACTTATTCTATTTATATTAATTTTGTTAAATAAATAACATATATATTAAGTTAATATAATCTTTTTGTTAATTTAACTTTCTCGATATGAAATTTTATTTTAATTGTATTGATATGTTGTAAAAAATAATTTATGTTTTGGTATTTGTTAGTTAAACATTTTTTTTATATTGCTCCAGTAATTAACATAAAGTATCATTTTTGGTTTGTTAAGATTTTTATGTTAATTTTTTAAATATTTCTCCAAAATTATAAATTTTAGATGACTTTCTTTTTTGATAATTTAAGATGAATGTATTTTTTGGTAGTATTGATATTTTTAAATAATAATTTTATATGTTTATACAAAAATTTAATCTTAATATTTTTTCTAATTAAATTACTCACTTAATTTTCCATTCTATTGTGATAATTTTATAATTTTGTATGTTTTAATTTATTTAAATTATTAATAATATTTATATTTTTTATGTTTAATAAAAAAAGCTGATATAGACTAATCAGATTGAGTATATATGTCATATGTGGACGCTCTCATTGGCCTAAGACATTAACACGGACCACAATTAATATAATTAAGTTAGCAGTTCAGATTTAATTGTTTGTCGTGATTAAAGTTTTAAAATAATCTAATTATGGTTTTAAATACAGTTTTAAATAATTTTGTTCAATATATATGATTTTTCTTTCATAATTTATTTATATGTTAATTAACCTTTTTATTGTTAATAGAAAAATAAGATCTATTTTTAAAACTCTTTTTTATTAATAACTAACTTAAAATTTAGAAACTTTCCTAATATTTACGAAAACAAAATTAATTAAAATTTAGAAATTTTCTTTATAATAATTAAAACGAATTAATTAATTTTAATATACAATATATAATTAACTAAAAATAATGATGATGTGTACAATAGAATTAAATCTTTTTTTATATAAAATTAAATCTTTAAATCTTATGTGAACACTCATAGATGTATTTAGCATCAACTTTTATTAATAATAAATATTTATTTTAAGAAGGAAAAAAAAAAGGTCACAATTCACAAAAGCGTAATAGCGAAACCATTTTAGACTTTTTAGACTAGTCACATAACTAAAAGGTTCATCTGGACAAGGAGAGTGCACGAACAGGTTTGTATATAACTATGATACCAATTGTGTCTAAATTAGCACTGATGGCCCATTGTAGGCCCAAACTTGAGTGGATATTCGCATCTAACGTAAGAGAAGTTAAATTGGACCGAACGAAGTCAACGAACCAAAACCATATTGAAGAGTAAAAGCTGATTCATAAAGAAACAAATATTTGCAGATGCTCTAGAACTGAAACAAGTCATTTCATAGGTATGTATTAATGACTACTAATCGTAGAAAACAAATAAATAAACGATATGTATAATCCTACGAAATTGGAAATAAACGCACAGAGAATATACAATTCCAATATTCATTTCCCCTTTTACTCAAAGCAGTAAACGCCCACACCTCTCAAAATCCAATTCACAATTGGTTTAACTTCTAGCATCTTGGGTTTCATATTCTTCATTGAACCGGTCGGTACGTTATAACATGTCCCGAAAAAAACTAGACGTAAAAGGTTAAACTCTCGATATAACTCAGACAAGTAGAAAGAATTGTATTTTTTATTTTTTTTCTTGAAAGCAAACAAAACCAATCTCCCCACACATACCAGCTTAAAACAAGAAGGAATTAGATTTATTCATTTCTGTATAAAATCTGAAATCGCGAGTTCGAGAAATTTCTTGTTTATACACCTCGAGATATGAGAATATGTGACATTGTTCCATAAACTCCGATACAACAATCTGGTAAAAAGAGAAACTGTCCCAAAGAGACCATAGTGGTCACAAGAAGGGGGATGGATTTACAACGATGTGCTTTAAGGGATGTGCCACGTCACCACCACCGGCATGTTTAACGAACTCTGCAGGCGAGAGGAAGCTTCCATGGCAGACGCACACAATCCTCACCTCCTCACCTTTCCTGTACCGATACAGAAACCCATCGATCTTTTTCCCGTTCGGTCCATCGCCCGTTGTTGACACGCATGGCATGTCTTCTATGATGTTCCGTGCCGCCGGATTCTCCGGCAGAGATTGAGCACTCGAAGGACTTGTTTCCAGGGACTTGTTTGTTGTTGCTTCAACCACAAGCAAATACATCTCAATAACACTCCATATCAAAACACCGATGATGAACAATGTGGGTAATGTTTAAGTTGCATTTGCGTGTTAACCAATTTATCAACCCTAAAGATTATAACCTAATCATCATAAACGGATAGTATCACTAGTTCCGGAAGAAGATTCAAGATTTGGTACCCTAATCGATCCAGAATCAAAAAAAACCCCAACTAAAAGTCAATCCTAAAGATCATAGAACGTATTAGGTATTGAAGATCATGAAAAATTGTGGTACCTTGAACAGGAGTAGGGAGGGTGTCGAGTTCAGACAAACCAGAGGAGCCACTTCCAGAAGAACCAATAGATCCTTCTTCTACGATCTTGTCTTCTCCTTTTCCTCCTCCAGCTTTGTGTTTCTCCCTAAGTACCCTAACGTTTCTCTGCTTCTCTGACCTCTTCCTCTTGGCCTCGAGTCTCCTCAAGCTCTGCAACTCCTTTCTCTTCCTCCACTCCTCCGTCTCCACCGGCAACGAGCAAGTCCTACTCAGCTCCGATCTACCATCGTTGACCACGAAATCAGGAATCGAAGAAGACCTCGTGAGCCTCGTCTTGGCGAGTGGGTCCACACCGAACCTACCGTTTAGAGAAAGCCCTAAGTCTAACTCAATCTCTACCTCTCCATCTTCAATCGACGGTTTCTGGTTTTTGGTCATGAACCTCTGCAACAGATCTCTAGGGATCCGTTGATGAATGTTCCGGTGGATCTCTCCGTTTTCTTTCTTCTCAGCTTCCGACATGTTCAGAGATTAGAAGGAAAATTTGGAAATTCAAACAGATTCTTGAAGCCAGGATAAAAAAGCATTCAAATCCCAAGAAAAGAGCAAATATCAACTTTCGAAGATTCCATTTCTTCAATTTGCAAAGAGAGGAAAAAAAAAAAGAATGACGACCTCTCTCTTATTATTTAAATAATTCTCACAAATTTCAACATTTTACCGAAATTTTCTCCGACAAATCTCGAACGAACATTAGAAATTACGGGAAAAAAAATAATTCCAAAAAAATAAGAGCCCGTGAGAATTTAGATATATAGAGAGAGAGAGAGATAAGAGGAGATGGCTGATGATGATGATACGAATAGAAGTAAATCAATGAAAAAAGCTGTCTGTCTATTTGCGAGAAAGGTAATACCAAAACTACCCTTCGTTAGGTGCATTGACGCCACGTGGAATCATGGAAGACTCTGCCTCAGGACTTTAGAGCACCCACGTGGTTTTCCGAAAATCAAACATCGAAGAAACAAAAACCAGACTCGTAGCCGAAACTGTACACGTGTTTTATGTTCAATGGTAGTCACGTTGTACAACGGGATGTCGCAGCGTCAGGTCGTCACGTGTCCTTGTTCTTTTTCCAATCACATCATCTTCTGTGATTGCCACGTGTCCCACTACATTCTCTCTCTCTTCTCTCTTGGAGATAAGCTGACACGTGGGAACAGGGTCGTTCCTATCTGTCGCTTTTTATTCATTTTGCGTTGATAGAAGCTTTTCTTTTCTACCATATAAGTAAACGCAACTTGACAAATTCAAATGTATCAAAATGAAAAAGTATCCAAAACTCGAATATTTGATTTCAAATCAAAAAAGTCTAACGATTTGTGTCTAATTTCTTTTGACGAATCAACAATTAACATAGTAGAAACTTTTTTCCTGTTAGTGGGACGGTGGTTTTATATTTAATATTCTGAACATGAGACTAAATTTCTTGGGTTAATTGTTAATTTTGTTTATATATGGCCATCTATTAAAATTAATTTTTCAATTAATTTTTCCAAACATAAACATAATTAAAAAATCCATACATTAACACACGAACAAAAAAAAATTATTGGTATGGAAAGAGATATCCTTAGTAATTTGATACTAAGTTAGTGCTTATTTTTCATCTACACAAATAATCTTCCAAATAAAAAAAATTTCATCATAATGAAAAGATCATCCAAAAAGATTACCTAGTAGTTAAGAAAATATATATATAAATAAAAACATTGATTATACATATTTCCATTTGGTTGTCGATATTTGATTTCAATGTTTAACAGTTTTTTCATTACAAAAATTTAACAGTTTTCATATTTATAAACGTTGAATTTATATGTGTATCGAAATGTAGATTTTGTTTTTCCGGATTGCATTGAAGTAATCAAAGTATCCATCCACATCTCAGATTACGCCGAATACACGGATCAAAAATTGTAAAATGTATAATAAACAAGATTCAAAAGAAAGGAAGACAAAGCATGTGAAAGATACGTGTGAAATTTGACAACAACAAAAGAAAAGAGACTTGTGAATTTTACGGAGTTAGAGAATCTCCAGAGAACACGCAAGAGATCAGATGGTGGAACCCACAACAATTTACTCTTTTAATCCAACTTGCAAAATCTATCGGCGTCATTCCTCTGGGTGTCTGACACGTTTACACTCCCGACAATCACACACGTGTCTCTCTCTCATTGCATCATAACAGCTAAGCAAAGCAATCAAACGAACTTATAAAGTGCAGAGGAAAAAAAACTGGAAAGCGATTTTTTCTCAACTAATCATTTACTATAATCTTAATTTGAATTCTAATGATTTGTTACGTGTAATGTAGTAATCATACTATATTTATACAAGCTACATATTAATTTCTATGAAGAAATTAGTTAAATTACACCAAAACAGTGTCACATCTTTAATCAATTATCAACAAATGAAACGGTGTAATTTATAAGTTACTAGTATTTGTCAATTATCAACAAAAGAGTTTAGTAGGCTAATTTATTGGTTTGAAAAAGGAAAATTGCAAAAACTTTTTGTATTTTCTACAGCAAGAAGAAGAACAATAAAATAAATTAGGTTGTTTTCTTTTTCTTTTTACCATTTATCATCTGATAGAAGGAATATGGTGGTTTTTATTTTGAAATTGCAGAGATTGTGGAGTAGTGAGTGGTTTTTCTAGATGAATGTTGAGAAAACCATAATTAATTAAAAAAGTTAAAATGTAAAAATAAAAGCAAATTTATTTAAAAATAAAATTAAAAGTAACAAATGTCAAACTTACTATTATGAATTGACTTGTGCTTTATAAGTATAAAGATTCAGGAAAAGTAGTTTCCATACTTTTTAAAAATTGTGTTTGAATTCTTTATTCAACTAGCGGTGGTATCTTGTTAATTGAAACAAGTAGTTAATTGAAACTTTTGCATCTCTCTGTTCCGTTTTTTTAAAAAACATTTCTAGTTTTTTGTTCAAAGGGTTGGTTTATCTCATTAAATGATTTAAACCGGTTTGGTACAGCAAGATCTAAAAAAATTCTATATTTTTAGTTTTCTGTTCCTTTCGATCTTTGCCTTTTTCTTTTGGGCTATGTTTCTAAATATTTTTTGTTATTCCGATGGCTTCGGTATTTCTTTTGGGTAGATGTTTCCTCAGTTCTTGATGTTGGAGTTCGTATTTTGGCAAACAATTAATATTAGTCCATACACCATAGATGACAAGAAAAATTGAAACAAATAACTATTTATGGGGTAAAAGGAGCAGATAATGGAGAAAGGATCTCAGAATTCCTTTTACTATCAAAGCACACTTTTTTTTTTGAACTTTTAATTAAAGCACACTTTGTTACTAATCCAAGAAGTAAAAGAGATTACTAAGAAATTATGGGCTTAATTCTCACAGTAAGATACTATTTTCTGTTTCTGGTTGGCACTTTAAGAAAAATTATAAACAAAATCCCCTCAAAAAAGGCATATGCAGATTTGTGGACTAATTATATTGGATCATCCACACTCAACAAATACCAACAAAAGAAAGGACAAAAGTCCAAAAGTAACAATATGCATTGCATGTCAAGCAAACACTAACCTAATTGCACATTTTATTAAAAAGGTAAAGATAGAGATTTAGGTAGCCTAATCAATCAAAGGGAGAAGAGTAAGATAGTTGTCCACTTGTTTTTGTTCAACCAGTTTCGAGTTAGCGCTGGGCATTCGGATATTTGGTTCGGTTCCGGGTTTTTCGGGTAGGAGAGTTTTTACCTACATAGGTACCAAAAACATTTCGAATCGGGTTCGGTTTGGTACCTATCGGTTCCGGATCGGTTCGGTTCTTAAATCTCAAAACCGTTTAAAACCCAAAAAATAGTTTTTTTTATAATTTCGGTTCGGTTCGGGTTTTTTTACCCGATTAGACCCGAAATCGTTAAAAATGTAACTATATACTCGAAATATAAGTAAATACCCGAAAAACAACTGAACTTTTTTCGAAATACTGATTTTTTTTCAACTTTAAAACTGATTTCCGGATTGAATATAACTTGGAATCAGTAACGGAAAGAAGATCTGGATAGCTGACTGCGAGACCTACGTAACGGTATGTAGATCGACCTCTGGGCCCATCTAATTCGTCAGGAAATCGCTCTACAAAACTCTAAAACTCTAAGTATATAAGGGAATTTTATTTCGGTTAACCGATCGAGTATCTAGTAGGAACCGGAACCGACCCGATATCCATGGTTCCTAAATTTAATACCCATCGGGTAAATAGCCAATAACCGAACCCGATCCAAACCGGTTATTTCGGGTTGGTTCCGGTTCAGGTTTTCGGGTTCGGTTTTTTTGCCCAGGGCTACTCGAGTATGTAGGTATGGGTTATTCGATTGCATCCTGCAATGGGTTTCAGTTTGTTAGTAACTAAAATAAACTGGCGTGAGCCCATTTTACTTCCATTCGCTCCAACTTTGAAAATATGTGTGCTCTAATTCGATTATGTTGACTTGTTTAAACGCTGCTAATGTCTTGGCTCTGTGTCCGTATGTCTTGATAGCTTCATAATTTTTTGATTCATTTCAAAAATAAAGTAGGACGGAAATAAAAGCATCACATGAAAACATCGACGATGATTAAGGAAATGTGATGTTTAAGTTCTTGTTTCTTGATTTGATAATTAACCATGAAGAGTATGATAACCATTAAGAATGTAGTATCACAACCGCAAAAGACGATTCACGACAACAGCGACACAATACTACAATGATGAGATTAGGTTTCGATTGACATTTTTTTTGAGTAAATATATAATTTTTGTTGTTAAAATTTATGGAGTTTTGCATTAGATAAGTAAACAGATTCGTTTTCTTTCTTGAAAACGTTTAATTTATATTTTTTTCCATTTTTATTCTAACCCGCGGGAAAATAACGAACCAAAAAGTTCCACGTCATGTTTCGTCAAGCAAACCCCAATCTCAACACTGCCGGTTCCGTCTCCACTCTCCGACAACGAAACCGACGCATCCTTGTCGATCGTCACAATCTCCACCTTCACTGGTTTACCCCATCCGAAATCTGACCCGTATATTCCCAACCGGATCGACCCAGCAACCGAAACCATCTGTCTACCGTGTTCCATCCTCTTGAACGCCTCGAATGGAGAAAGCATATTCTTTTCTATATTCTCCGAACACAATCCGTTGACCCATCCGCTCAAACTCTCCATCGCCGAGACAAAACCTATCCTTCTCCTACTTCCAAAATTGGTTCTGCCTTGGCGTCGAAATCTCCCGACCCGACAGTGCAGTTCCCGAAGAACGTCGACGGCAACGGAGGGTTTAACCGGGACCGGTAATCGGATGCGAAACCAATACACACGCGCCGGGTCGGGTCACCTCCACGCGCCTTTACCATACATGTTATGACGTAAGCGTAAGTGATGACGAAAGTTGACACACGCAGCTCGGCTACGGCTCGTGACTCGGTCTCGACTCGTTTGCGTAGCTTCTTAATGTTCTCCAGAGTCAAACGGTGCGTGACTCGGACAATGTCGGCTCCTATTTCTTTGGACGGAAACAGCTTTAAGCTTCGTTTGTTGTTGGAAGCCGAAATCCAACGATTCAAGAGTTTTATCTCGATTCCGGTTGGATCTCGGACAACCGTACGATCTAGAAAAGGGATTAGATCGTGCGGTAGAACATCTTGTTCTCGTTTACAGTTGTGAGCCCATGCTTTGAGAAACATGGCTGTCGTTTTTGCCGTCCAAAACAGCATGATGTGCGGTTACGCCGAGAGAAAACCCTTGGTTTGGGAACAACGTTATCTGAACGGCGAGAACGCAAGCTGACTCGTCGGAAACCGTTAACTCAGGGACCAAAGGATGAAACTCGGTGGCGGGACGAGGTTCGTCTCCGGCGAGACGGGAAAGATCACCGTTGGACTCAGCTACCGTGACGTAGACGGCATCTTGGTTGTCAGGAGAATAGACGACGGACGGTTTTGTGTCAGCTGGGTCCCACACGAGGCGGCCGGCGAGTGGGAGATAATGGAGGAGCGTCGCGGAGAGAGAGGATTTAAGTTTAGGGACGAGGACAGAGTGAGTTAACTCAGGGACTCGGTAGAAAAGAAGGCGGTCAACGGGATGGAGTTTGAGCCAACCCAAGTCAAAGAAAGTGAGTGGGAGTGTGACCGAGTTGGAAGGCGGTGGGCTAACTCGGACCACCTCGAGTATGTCAACGATTGATTTGGAATGCGTCATGACTCTGTAGTTTGACTTTTGTCTTGTGAGTGGTTTGACTATGTATAGGCATAAGCTTCTTTGGAGGTTGTGGACTTGTGGGTGTTTATTACTTACTTCTCTCCCAAGAACATCATCAACCACCTGCTAGGTTTGCTAGGGAATTGCACACTTGACTAAACGGGTGGGTATATACATGATATTTTTTATCTTTCGAAAAGTATTTAGTAAAGCAAACTTCTCTATTTCTATTTTTTTGCGTCATTTTTTTCCTTTTCAAGCACATCACGAGATTGATTTCGCAATAACGTTGCGGAGGACGCTCATAGTAAAAAAAATCTTGTTTTTTTGGATTGCTTAAACGTGATTTGACTAAATAGGCCATGGATTTTCATCTTTTAATGCTTGATGAAGGGAATTAAAAGCTGATTTAAATTCAACTTCTATGAAAAGCAGTATCTTCAAAAAATTATAGCCCATTTCTATTATGATTTTTATACAACTTTTTTCTTTTCTACACCGTGTTATCATCTCTCAGCATAATAGTCTAATGGAGTATCTATTTATTCCCTTTATATACTATTGTATCGAGCGAGGCACATGATAAAACAAAGAGAGAAAAGTAGATCAATAGGGTTAACCTTGTACTATATCTTAATTAGTCTATATAAAGTATTGGTTTGTAGTTTTTACTGTTATTCTTAAAGCTGATTAATATATGCTAATAAACTATCGATTGTTCTTGTTCACAGCTGTTATCACTTGTCATCATTCGGTTGCATTTTTAAAAAGAACAAGATAAGCCCACGAGGTATTAAAATTTCCAGTGCTTTGCTGTTAATTATAATTCTTTTGATGCAAGTTGCGTGACCAGCGTATATATATCATTCTTTAAATTGCAAGTTGGTAATTCTTTATGGAAAATGCTTTTGTTAACTTTTGTTTTTCCAACATTCACTCCACTTCACAAGCTCGGATATATTCAGAGGCATACGGATCCATTGTATCCAAAGCAGTAAACAAATGGATGATGAAAATGGACCGAGATGTCCTCTGTCTCATCCAGCTCAACCTCACACTCTTTCCCATCGATACGCCGCTGCCTATTGTCGTCTCGGATGCTTTACCTGTGGCATCAAACAAGTCGAGTATGCGAATGATGGATCCCAATACTACTGCGCCATATGTGATGTAGAGTTCCATGAAGGTTATCCTAAGCGTCCTAGAGAGATAACACATCCTTATCACCTCCAACATCCTCTCACTCTTACCTACCGAAACCTTGAATCCGGGATCATATCTAGCAGCGAATCCGAATCCAAAGGATCTGAAGACGTGAGGTTTGAGTATGTCGAAATTGTTATGCTCCAGTCCGATATCATACTCAAGAAATGTTCTTGGTGTGAAAAAGATTTGAAAGGCAATTGGTTCTATCGTTGTTCTATATGTAGCTTCTGCTTGGATCTCTCTTGCGCAGAAACCCTTCCACTTCTTACTATTCCAAACCCCAAAAACCATCCTCATTCACTCCTTTTCTTCCCTCGGCCATTCTCTACTCCATGCGATGCTTGCGGTTTAGTCAACGTGTTGGATCCAAGTTATGTTTGTTTCCAGTGTAACTACATGGCTCATCTAAGCTGCATCGACCTGCCTCGAGTTATTAAGATCACCCGTCACTCGCACCGTCTCTCTCACACTCCTTACCTTTCACCCGTAATTTCACCTTGTCGCGTTTGCTACAAGAAAGTTGACATCCGATACGGCCAATACTCTTGCGGTCACAATGATTGCGTCTATGTCGTTCATTCTAAATGTGCAACACATGTGAATGTTTGGGACGGAAGGGAGCTCGAGTGGGAAACAGAAGAGTCTAGTGAAACTGAAGATTTTGCACCATTCAGGGAGCTTGGTGATGGTTTCATAAAGCATTTTTGTCACAAACATCGTTTGAAGCTCAAGAAGCACGATGGAGGCAGAGACACTGAAAAGTAATGTCGAGCGTGCATATATCCGATCGTCTCTCCTCAATTCTATCATTGTAGGAAATGCAACTACTCTCTCCACGAGGTATGTGCTAGTCTACCACGAAAGCTGGATCATGCATTGCACAATCACACTCTTTTCTTAGACCCGTCTCCTTTAAGACACTACAACTACATGTATTGCTCAGCTTGTTCCCGAGCATCAACTGGTTTCAGGTACAGATGTTCCAAAGAGGGTTGCCAAAGCGGTGTATGTTTTCTGCTAGATGTTCGATGCATTATGGTTCCCGAGTGTTTCACCCATAAAAGTCATGATGATGACCATCCCCTTTTCATCTTCACATCCTATAGCAGCGACGATGAGATCCTTTGTAAAGGTTGCAAGAAAAGATGTTCCGGGTCACATCTGAAGTGTACGGTATGCGATTTCGCTCTGTGTTATCCATGAGCCACCATTCCAGATGAATTACACTACAAGTATGATAAGCATCCACTCACACTTTGTTACGGAGAAACCGTTGATGATACGTATATTGGTGCGAGGTGTGTGAAAAGCGATTAGATCCAACTGAATGGTTCTACACATGCAACGAATGTTGCGTCACCATCCATCTTCAATGCGTATTTGGATCCTCTGTTTTTATGAAACCTAGTTCCATCTTCAGAAACTGGAATGGAGTTGTGAAAGTCTTTCGCAATAGTAGTAACACTCGACCGATTTGCTATAAATGTAAAAACCTTTGCACAGGTTCCATCTACTACGAAGGCTACACGTGGAGGAGGAAGACGCAGGTTTTCTACAACAACCTCTGGCTCTGGACTTCAAGATTTGTTTTTTGCTCTTTGCATTGTATAATGATGAAAAACTGGTAATAAAGTTTGGTTCTTCTAGAAAAACCCAAAAAAAAAAAAAAGTTTAATTTTTCAAACCATTTTGAAACAGAGAAATAAATATATCCATCTCACATTTCTTCAGACACAAGCCGATTTCCACACCGCCTGGCTCATCCCTCCTTTCCGACATGGAAAACGCCTCGTTCCGGTCAATGGACACGATCTCACTGTTAACGGGTTTTCCCCACCCGAAATCCGACGTGTATAGTCCAAACCGGTTTGACCCAGCAATGGACCCAGTCTGCGTACCGGGTTTCACGCTCTTGGTTCCATCAATGTACAACTCGCAAACTGTTTCAATATCCTGTGAAGCGATACTTTGAACTGAATCACTTAGAATTTCGACGGTGTTAACAAATCCATCTTCTCCCAAAAATACTCCCGCTTTGTATCCAAAGCAACCGATTGGGAACACACAGTTTCCGAAGTACAATTCGGGAACCGGTCTATCTAACCGGTTTCTGAAATCAGCAGCGTACATGAAACGCACCGGTCTATCCACGTCGGCTCCGCGCGTCTTCACCAAGCATGTCCATAAGTAGGCGTTGGCTAGAACAAACGTTGACAAGTGAAGCTCAAGATGAGAGCGACTCGACTCGCTCTTGGCTCGCTCCCTAAGTTTCTCGATGTTCTCCCGAGTCAACTCGAGTGTGACTCGGACTACGTCCGAACTGATGTCCCCCGTAGGAGGCAGCTTAAGTGATCTCAAGTTGGTTTTGTCTTCTGAAAAAAACGACACTAGTTCCAAGATCTTTGCATCAAGACTAGCTGGAACATTGATGACCGTACGATCTAAACACGGAGTTAAACGCTCCGGTAAAACAAAGGTTCCATGTTTACATATGTGAGCCCATGATTTGATAAACAAAGCCATTGTTTTACCGTCCATAACAGAATGATGAGCTGCTATGCCGATACAAAACCCTTGGTTCGGGAACAGTGTGACTTGCAGAGAAAGAACAGGCGGCGAGTCACAAGAAACCGAAAGCTCCGGCACCAGAGAACGTACCTCCGTCTCGGGACGTAACCCTTTCCCGGAAACACGGGAAAAGTCAGCGTCGCTCTCCGCAACCGTCAACGGGACGTAGTCGTTGGGGAAGACGACGATGTGTGGCTTTGGATCTTGTGGGTCCCATGTGAGGCGGCCTGCGAGCGGGAGGTAGTGACGGAGGACATCGGAGAGAGAGCGCTCAAGCTTGGGGAGGATCACTGCGTGGAAGGACTCGCGCGATGAGTCTTGGTTGAGTTTGTAGAAGATGATTCTCTCGGTTGGATGGAATTTTAACCACCGTAAGTCGAAGAAAGTGAGTGGAAGAATCAGCGAGTCGAGTGAGTCTGTTGCTGGGCTGACTCGGGAGATTTTGGTTATCTTTTGCGCCATTGATGAAGAAAATAACTCTCTTCAGATAGTAAATAAAAACGATATATATATAACGCGAGACGCATGCTTTTTTCGCTTAAACGCGAGATACATGTTTCCTGCTATATAACTTTATTCATTTATAAATCAAATAACTACAAATATCTATAACAAGTGGAGTAGAATATGAGTATAACTTTAGATACAAATCAGCTGTCATGCATGTTAGCATGTGGATATGTTTGGTAAGAGATTTTATAAGGTTTGTGGTTAATTTCCAAAATTTCAAAAGATGCTTTAGCATTGAAGTTAAGCATCTGGATTAAGTTACTTAACAAAATTTTAAAAGTCTACATGGAAACTTTACTCGACCAATAGGGATGGTGTACATGCCTAATAATATTATTTAATCTTTGGTCTTTTTTTTATCGAAAAGAATAAAAAACATTGTTCTTTTAAAAAGAAAAGTTACTGCATGCAGTGCTAAATACGGGATTCGATTATTTCCAAACCATATTTAAACAAAGAAATAAAAGTGTCCATCTCACTCTTCCTCAAACACAAACCGATTTCAGCGCCACCGATCTCATTCCTCCTCTCTGTCATCGTGAACCTTGGATACCGGTCAATGGACACAATCTCGTGGTTAACCGGTTTTCCCCACCCGAAATCCGACGCGTATACATTAGTCCGGTTCGACCCTGAAACAGACTCAACATGAGTACCCGGTTTTACTTGCTTCATTGTGAAAGCAGAGGTAAAACCTCAAGAAGAAGATGAAATTTAGAAAAAGTTCTTTTATTTATTTTGTGAAGTTTGATCGATTACAACAACGCTACAATGTATTTATACTGGTAACCAGTTAGAAAATCCTAGTTGAGTCATTCTGAAGATAAGGTTGCCAGCATACTAAAACGATTTTGAATCGCAGTAGTACGATTTGTCGTTGCTGTCGTTGCTGCATCTCCCTCTGCTTTTGCTCTGGTTTTGTCTTCTTTCTCTTTCAGAGAAGACCGTTGCTTTACGAGCTCAATATTCACCTTGGGCTTCGAGTTGTGTTGGGCCTCTTCATTAGTTGCAGAAACGACTGCGTTTGAGGAAGCTGTGTTAATATCCCCTCTCAAACTTGGGGTGGGAGACGCGACTACACCGAGTTTGCTTTGCAATCGACAGAAAGGCTCAGCGGCAAGGGATTTCGTGAAAATATCAGCAAGCTGGAGATGCACAGAAACATACTTCACAACAAGAGATCCCAGCGCAACCCGTTCGCGGACATAATGCCAATCAGTCTCAAAGTGCTTAGTCCTCTTGTGAAAGGCAGGATTGGCAGTGAGATAGACGGAGGATTGATTATCGCCGTAGAGCTCAGGCGTAACTGGCAACGAGATTCCAAGCTCACGCAGAAGAATACTAATCCAGGTGATCTCAGAAGCTGTTTCAGACAAGGAGCGATACTCTGCCTCGGTTGAACTCTTGGACACCGTAGGCTGCTTCTTGGAGGACCAGGAGATGAGATTTTGACCAAGGAAAGTGCAGAAACCACCCGTTGAACGGCGTGTGAAGGGACAGCCCGCCCAATCACTATCGCTGTAGGCTCGGAGAGTACAATCAGAGTGTTTGTTGAACAGAAGACCCATAGACATTGTTCCTTTGACGTAGCGCAAGATCCGCTTGAGATTGTTGAAATCAGCCATTGAGGGTTCATGCATCTTTTGACACACATAATTGACGGCAAATTGAATGTCAGGTCGGGTAAGCGTGAGATACTGCAGCTTCCCGGTGAGACTACGAAAGTACGTCGGATCAGAGAAGGGGACATCTCGTGTACTTTGTTTAGTTGCAAAGGCAGTGGAGTTGGCATTGGGGCACAATCTGACATACACGTCGTGCTCAAAAGATCCAGAGCGTATTGTTCCTGTGTTAGAAAGAGCCCCTCTTCTTGAAATTTTGCCTGAATTCCCAGAAAGTAGTAAAGCTGACCCAGATCTTTCATTCGAAACTGCTTACTAAGCTCATCCAGTAATCTTGTAAGAACTGCAGAACTATTTCCAGTTATAGCCATATCATCCACATATAAGAGCAGCATGATCACATATTTGTTGTGAATGTAGATGAAAAGCGATGGGTCCTTGATACTGCAGACAAACCCAAACTCGAGAAGAAAGTTGCTGAATTTGTCATACCAAGCTCTAGGCGACTGTTTTAAACCATAGAGGGATTTGTGTAAATGACAGACATGATTCGGCTTAGTCTTATCCACAAAGCCAGCTAGTTGCTTCATATAAACTGTCTCGGTAAGATCATCGTGAAGAAAGGCGTTTTTAACGTCCATTTGCTTGATATCCCATCCCATGATTGTAGCTAAGTGAAGTACAGTTCTGACAGTTGCAGTTCGAACAACAGGGCTATACGTCTCGAGATAATCGATCCCCTCTTCTTGTTTGAATCCATGAGCCACCAGACGAGCTTTCAACTTATCCAATGTACCGTCAGCGTTTAGCTTAGTCCGAAATACCCATTTACTGCCAAGAACATGCATGTCTGGAGAATAAGGAACTAAAGACCAAGTATTCGTTTCAGCACAGTTTCCTATTTCTTCACCCATTGCATTGTTCCAGCCTTGATGTTTAAGCGCTTCAGTGACTGTCTTGGGCTCGGGAAAAGACACTTTATGAGTAAGGAGAGCATAGCGTGGATTAGGCTTAACTATTCCTGACTGAGACCTCGTCTTCATTCGGCTTGCTTGTCCTGACTGAGGCCTCGTATCACCTCTGAGTGGTTGTGTAGCAGGGACATTTTGAGCTGAAGGTTGCGACACAGGGACACATTCAGGAGGAGCTGATTCACTCACCAGAGAGAAGACACCGTCACCTGCAACATGCTCAGAGTGTTCCATCCCTGCAGTAGTAGACACACTTGGTGTAGAGGAGTTACTAATTGGCAAGGGTGGGAAATCCTGATCAGAGAACAGAGGTACAGCAATTGTCGCCTCGACTTGAGTATGTGGAGGAGGAGCAACAGGTACTTGTCTCTGAGAAGATGGTGACGGGAGGAAACTTTTCTGCCAAGCTGCCAAGCTCGATGTCGTTGCTGCATTGTGAAAGCTCTTGTATCGACTTGCAAAGGGAAAGCTCTGCTTATCGAACAGAACATGACGAGTTATATATACTCTTCCCGTTGGTGGATATAGACATCTGTAACCTTTGTACTTGTCATTATAGCCAAGAAAAACACAGTGTAAGGAGCGAGGATCAAACTTATTTTCTGCATAATCACGAAGTGTTGGGAAGCAAGAGCAGCCAAACGTCCGTAAAGCAGAGTAGTCCGGATCTTTCTTGTCGCATATAGACTACGCTTTCCATCAAGAGCAGACGACGGAAGCAGATTACTCAGAAAATTAGCAGTGGAGAAGGCCTCGACCCAATAATATTGTGGCAGTTTTCCATGAAAGAGCATAGTTAGCCCCAACTCAGTGAGATGTCGATGCTTCCTTTCAGCCAAACCATTTTGTTGTGGTGTGTATGGGCATGAGATATACTGCTGAATACCACAGTCCTGAAGGTGGTTGAGAAACTTTCGACTGATGAATTCACCACCACCGTCACACTGAACTGTACCGATTTTGGATGAAAGAAGATTCTCAACAAGCTTCTGAAACATGACGAATATCCCAAAGAAGTCTGATTTTGCTTTCAACGGATAAAACCAGGAGAAACGAGAGTAGTTGTCGATAAAAATGACATAGTATTTGAATCCTTGAATTGACATTATTGGAGAGGGACCCCAGAGATCACAATGAACTCTCTCTAGAGGTCGAGAAGCAACAAAACTAGATATTGCAAAAGGTAATCTACTACTCTTCCCCAGACGGCAAGACTCGCACATCTTCAAGGTACTTTTATTCAGCAAGATAGACTTATTTTGATGCAGATACTGCAGGACTTCAGAGTGAGGATGTCCAAGCCTCTGGTGCCACACTTCATCGCTTGTAGAGATCTGTCGCGTGGAGTAGAAAACTTGAAACCTCGGATCTTGTAGCAGGTAAAGACCATCACGAGTTCTTCCTAGTGTCAGAAGCTGCTTTGTGTGTTTGTCCTTAACACAAACACCATCCGAATCAAATTTAAAGGAGCACGGATAATCTGAAGTCAATTTTAAAACAGACAACAGAGATTTGGCAATATCAGGACAGACCAATACATCTTTGAGAGGGAGTGTACCTGATGTAGAAGGAAGATCTGCAGAGCCAACATAAGTGATTGGAAGAAAGTTACCGTCACCTACCAGAACAGTGTCATTACCATGATACGGCTGTGCGTGAGTAAAGTGTTGCGTGGTGTTGGTGATGTGAGCTGTAGCGTCTGTGTCTGGGTACCACTCTTGACCAGATGCATCAGAGACCTCAGTGATTCTCATAGCTGCCATTGCTTGGGGAAGCTCCTCGTCATGATAACTGTTATTGAATCGATGCCAGCAGCGCAAAGCTTGATGTCCAGATTTTCCACAGATCTGACAGACCGGCCTGTCCTCACCCTCAGAAGAGCCATTGTAAGAGGAAAACTGCTGATGAAAACCGCGACCTCTGGTTGAGTAAGAGCCATGTCTCCTGGAGCCACGTCCACTGTTATTCTGTTGACGACGACCACGGTTAGAGTGATAGTCGGAGGAGTTCTGAGATGATCGTGTGGTGTTGTAAGCAAGATGAGGCGTGACTTCACCAGCAGAGTAACTTTGGAGTCTGTCGTCAAAGCCAGTGAGCCTGGGAACAACATCGTCAAATGAGGGAGGAGGAACAGAGTCCATCAAACCTTCGATGCTTGTCTTGATGGGTTCATACTCTCTGCCAAGACCTTGAAGAGCAGAAAATATCTTTATCTTCTCTGTCACGGGATGGCCAACAGAGGAGAGAAGAGTACACAAGGATTTGACTTCTTTGAGGTAGTCGAACATGGATTTCCCGGCTTTGGAAACAGTTTGGAGACGTCGCTACAGTTGGAACAGACGTGATGCAGAGCAGCGATTGAAGTGGTTAGCAACGCAGAGCCATACATCCTGAGCAGTTTTGCAGTTCACGACCAAATCCAAGATATCATCGGCAAAAGAGCCAACCAACCATGATTTAACCACCTGGTCTGTTTTGATCCAAGGTTGGTAATCTGGATTTTGGGCTTCTGTATCTTGACCGTTGATTCCTGGGATGAGGATGAAAGGCGGAGGACGAGGCATAACGCCGTTGACAAAAACAAGAAGACCATGACCGGAGAGAAAGGATTCAAACTGGAACTTCCATCGGAGATAAGAGTTCTCGTTGAGTGTTACAGTAACGGAGGAGGTGATGTTTAGTGAAGGAGGTGTGTAAAGATCCAGAGCTCTGTTCTCCATGGCTCTGATACCATGAAAGCAGAGGTGAAACCTCAAGAAATAGATGAAATTTAGAAAAAGTTCTTTTATTTATTTTGTGAAGCTTGATCGATTACAACAACGCTACAATGTATTTATACTGGTAACCAGTTGGAAAACCCTAGTTGAGTCATTCTGAAGATAAGGTTGCCAGCATACTAAAACGATTTTGAATCGCAGTAGTACGATTTGTTGTTGCTGTCGTTGCTGCGTCTCCCTCTGCTTTTGCTCTGGTTTTGTCTTCTTTCTCTTTCAGAGAAGACCGTTGCTTTACGAGCTCAATATTCACCTTGGGCTTCGAGTTGTGTTGGGCCTCTTCATTAGTTGCAGAAACGGCTGTGTTTGAGGAAGCTGTGTTAATACATTGCATCAATGTAGGACTCGCAAAGTGCTTCAATCCCTCGTGAACTCAAACCTTTGACTGAGTCGCTAATAATCTCGACGACATTGACGAAGCCGTCTCTTCCCAACAATGTATTTGCTTTGTATCCAGTGCAAGTGATAAGGAACACGCAATTCCCCAAATACCTCTCAGGAACCGGTGGATCTAACCGGTTCCTAAAATCGGCTGCGTACATGAAAAGCACTGGCCTCTCTTCGTTGCCTCCACGCGCCTTCACCAGGCAGCTCCAAACGTAGGCGTTTAAGACGACAAACGTTGACAAATCACGAAGCTCAAGCTGAGAGCAAGTTGACTCTCGCTTGGCTTGCTTCCTAAGTTTCTCGACATTCTCCCGAGTCAGCTCGAGTGTGATCCGGACAAGATCGGTACGAGTCTCCGCCGTCGGAGGTGGCTTCATAGTTCTCTTGCCATCTTTGTCATCTGAGAAGTACGACATGGATTCCAAAATCTTCGATTCAAGACCCGGTGGAACTTCGATGAGAGTACGATCCAAAGTTGGAGTCAAATCCTTTGGAAGACAAGGTAAGGTCAGTTCCTTGTTCTAGAGATTTACAAATGTGAGCCCATGATTTGATAAACATCATGTTAAGTTATATGGGCTTCCAACTCAAAACTAATTGGCAATGAGTGGATTGACCCAAGTCTTATATATATTAGTGTTGGTCCCTTTAAACTTCCGATGTGGAATTCTAACACACCCCCTCGAAATGATGACTCTTATCAGCCAATCTCGAACTGAATCCCACTTTAGGACCAGTAATAAACTATTTTTTTGGGCCACCCTACTTGGGTTAACAAAAAAGGCTCTGATACCATGTTAAGTTATATGGGCTTCCAACTCAAAACCAATTGGCAATGAGTGGATTGGCCCAAGTCTTATATATACTTGTGTTGGTCCTTTTAAACTTCTAATGTGTGATTCCAACACGTCCTCTCGAGATGATGGCTCTTATCAGCCCATCTCGAACTTAATCCCACTTTAGAACCAGTAATAAACCCTTTTTGGGCCATCCTACTTGGATTAACAAACTTGACTCTGATACCATGTTAAGTTATATGGGATTCCAACTCAAAACCAATTGGCAATGAGTGGATTGACCCAAATCTTATACCATGTGTTGGTCCCTTTAAACTTCCGATGTGGGATTCCAACACATCATCCACCCTGTGCCATCCTTCAAAACATGATGCTCTGCTAGGCCGATGCAAAACCCTTGGTTCGGGAACAATGTGATTTGTAGAGAATATAGAGACGCAGAGTCACACGAAATGGATAACTTGGGCACCAAGACACGTAACTCCGACTGAGGACGTAGCCCTTTTCCGGAAATAAGGGAAAACTCCGCGTCAGACTCGGCCACTGTTAGCGAGACAGTGTCATGTCCGAAGACAAAGATACGGGGTTTAGGATCTTGTGGGTCCCATTTGAGGCTACCGGCGAACGGGAGGTAGTGTCGAAGGACAAGTGAGAGAGAGAGATCGAGCTTGGGGAGAATCACAGAGTGAAAAAACTCGCGAGATGACTCTGAGAGTTTGTAGAAGAAGACTTGGTCGGTTGGATGAGATCTTACCCACTGTAAGTCGAAAAAAGTGAGTGGGAGAACGAGGGGGTCGACTGAGTCGTGGTACGAATCAATCGCGGGGCTGACTCGGTAGTTCTTGATTACTTTTACCGCCATTGATGACGAATGTAACCAGAGTTGGACGTTAAACTCTTAACTAGTTTTAAGTGAAATAGAACGCAAAGGCAGTGTCTTTTATAATGAATGCATGTATCACTTGAAACCAAACCTTTATCACAATAATAATTTATTAAATGGAGGTTCCTATGTGATAACGTGAACACCAGCTGTTAGCATGTGAATATTCGTTTTGTAGGACAAAGGAACTTTCAAATATAGAATCTTGTTGTTTCGTTTCCCTCAACCTCTATATATTTCTTGTTATCTATTCCATCAAGTATGTGAACATAGTCTCATAAAAATCACCCAAGTGTTTAGCTATTTCCAGATATATTCACAAAATTTTCAGGTTTTTAGAATAAGAAAAGCGTAGCTAATTTTATAGAAGTCAACAAATATCACGTTTTCCACAAATTCTACCTAAATGTATTAGGAGAAAAGAATTCCGCGAATTGCAAATCGTGAGTTATGCTATAGTACTTTTAATAGAAATAAGTTTAAGCATCTAACTAAATTAGTGTACATATATTTTTTACATGCGTCTGTAATAGGCAGACTGTTTCCGCTATTAATTGTGTCAACACACTTGAACAAGTTTAGAAAAGAAAAGCTTCTCTGCAACAAGAGTCACTGTCTGAGGAAGAGATTCAAATGGGCTTGCGTAAAGAAAGGAAATCCATATAATTCACAACAGAAGAAAACGCCATGGGCCTAAACAAAGAAACAAAGCCCAATGAAGTTAAAGTATCTGAAACGGCTACTTTGACTTATCAAAACAGAGCTGTCTTCACCGTACGAGGCTGCGAGCTGCCCTCGTCCACGTGGTCCTTTGCACAACAATTGATGATAAGCCAGTTATTTGTTAAAACGTGGATAGATGTGATCTTAGACCATAATCACAATAATGAGAATCTCTCACTAAATATTACTGACTCCGTTTCAAAACATATTATTTATTATATTTGATTTGATATATTATTTGCTTTGATTTGATTTGGTCCAAAAAATTCGGATATGTCTGACGATTCAAAGCAAAATAAATACTAAAATATAATATCTGTCGAAAACAAATCAAATCACAAATACCAATTTCGAAAGTTCAGATATCCACTCTGATCCATAAATTACATATATACATATTAATATCATAAATTTTTAATATTTTTATATAGTTTAATTATCTTATTAACATTTAAAAAGTAAATATATATGATAAAAGATACATATAATAATTTTAAAGTAAGTAATAAACATCTACAATAGTTATCAAATATTTGAAAATAAATTAGAAAAATTTATATTAGAGTTTTAATTAACTAATATTTTTTCAGAATATAAAATATGGTTTTTATTTTTCTACCATTATAATTTATTATTTATATCCGTTTTTCTAAAATAAAAAAAGTTATTTTACTTGTTCTTAATTGGTAGTATATATTTTTTAAAAGAAACGTATGTATTTTCACCTTTTGCTTGTATTAAATGGAATAAATTTAATATCCATAAATATCCATAAATATCCGTAAATATCTGCAAATATTTGTAAATTTTTTGGATATCCGCATTTTCAGATATTTGTATTTTATCGAAGCAAAGCAAATCACAAAATCAAATATCCGGTAAAAACGGAGCAAATCAAAAATACTCAAAAATTTTCGGATATTCACTTCACGCCTAGGCCCACCAAAAAGCATGATGTTTTGTTATGTTCACACAAATTAAAAAATAAATACTCCCTATATGATGTTTAAGGTTTTGTACAGAGATTAAAAAAGTATTTAATTTTTTTTTTTCCAAAACCAAACATCAATTTCAAAACAATTCAACCAATAGAAAATAATATATAAAATAAAACAATTATATTTTACATTGATTTCTGAAAATATCATCTAATTATAAATAAAATTTTTTTCTAAAACATCTTATAAAAATAATAGAAGGAGTATATTTTAGTTATCAATGCATTACTTTTTAACAATAACTACTTTTTAATAATCGTTAACCAATAAAAATTTAAGAATTTAAATAATTTAAGTTATTTTTCTTAAAATCTATATAAAGATACAATTAATACTTTAAAACATCATATTTTGTAGAGCAAATAAAAAAATTAAAACATCCTATATTTAGGAACTAAAGGAGTAATATTTAGTATTTATTAATATTAAAATATTCTTAAGAAATTTATGTCAGATATTTATTCTTACCATTTGATTGAAAAGGATGGAAATTTTTGGCTATATTGAATATCCCTGAGGTTGCCCAATTCAGCAATAATGACAATACACATCATTGAGGTTGCCCGAGTCACTCCCACCGCCGACTCGGAATCGGTCAACTCGCTCACGATCCCCTTAACGTTCTTCGACTTACCGTGGCTACTCTTCAGTCCAGTGAAGCGAGTCTTCTTCTACAGACTCACCGAGTCGACCCGTGATCATTTCCACTCCTTCATCCTCCCTAAGCTCAAGCTCTCACTCTCCCTCGTCCTCCGCAACAATATCCCTCTCTCCGGCCGCATCACTTGGAACGCAAAAGATCCCAAGCCGAGCATCGTCGTATCTCAAAACGACGCCGTTTCGGTCACAATCGCCGAGACCGACGCTAACTTTTCTCTTCTCTCCGGCTACGGACAACGTCCGGTTTCCGAGTTACACAACTTACTCCCCGAGTTACCCGTTTCTGATGACTCAGCGTCTGCCTTCTCTCTGCAAATCACGTTGTTCCCAGACCACGGATTCTCCGTCGGCGTCGTAGCACACCACGCCGTTTTGGACGGAAAAACTTCAAGCATGTTCGTCAAAGCTTGGGCTCACATCTGCAAACAGCAACTCGAAAACGGAGTATCTTCTTTACCGGAGAATCTAACTCCGACTTATGATCGGTCGTGGATCAAAGATACGACCGGGCTCGATGAAAAGATGATCGAGATAGTGAGATCTCTCAAAGGAGACGAAACCAAAACCAGCAGAAGCCTTGCTCCGTTTCTCACCAGAAAACTCGGAGACGACGTCGTTCACGCCACGCTCGTGCTCTCCCGCGATGACATAGATAGACTCAGGAAGCGAGTCAAGAGCGAGTCACGGAGTGGTGATCGGAGCCTTCACTTGTCGACTTTCGTCATCGCATACGCCTACGCGTGGACCTGCTTCGTGAAGGCGCGTGGAGGAAGCGAGGAGAGACCCGTTAGTTTTCTTTTCGTAGGAGATTTCAGAGAGCGGTTAAATCCGCCGCTTCCGGCGACATACTTCGGAAACTGCATGTTTCCGGCGGGTAGTTACAACCGCAAAGCGGCGGAGTTCGCGGAGGAGAAGGGATTCGTCACGGCGGCTGAGATCCTCAGTGATTTGGTCAAAGGGTTGGGTTCACGAAGGGTGGAGACGATCGCGAAGGAGTTCGCGGCTAGTTTCAATATCCAGAGAGGGTCACAGCTCGGGAATGTAGCCGGGTCGACCCGATTGAGAGTTTACGAGTCGGATTTCGGGTGGGGAAGACCCGTAAAGGTTGATATTGTCTCCATTGATCGAGGAGAGGCCATCTCATTGGCTGAGAGACGTGACGAATCCGGTGGCGTCGAGATCGGAATGTGTTTGAAAAAGACTGAAATGGACATCGTCGTTTCCATTTTCAACAATGACCTTAGGTAAAAGCTTGCTTCGTTGTATTTCTTGCTTCTCAACAAGAAACTCCACGAACCATTCAGATTTTATATGTTTGTGTATTAAAGAATATTTTGTTTATAGATATTGAGCCTATCCAAGCATCAAACGAACATCCTCAAGAACTGTTGTTCCTTGTACTTTTAAATTTTGTAATAAAATCAGACAACATGTTGTTGATCTCATATGCTTTCAGCAAATATACATTACAAAGTACAATATAATTTTTTTTAATGGCCTTGCATATCCAACATCTCATCGAGTTGTTTAACCCTCTCTAATCCTTCACTAATCAGAAACCGGATCTTTTGCTTGTCGTTGCACTCACTGTTCTTTTCCATCTCTTGCCTAATACTCTGTTTCAATTCCCCTATCACATGAACACACCTATTCATCATCTAACCAACTTTTGATCAATGATTTACAAGAACTGAGTGGGACTCCCAACCAAAGATAGATAGTGTTCCAGAGAAATGTAAACACTAACCTCTAACATCAGCAGGAGCTCTCTGAGCTATCTTCAATGCCTGCCTGTAAAGTTTAAGCACTCGAGCTCTGAGAATAAAGCTCTGCAAATCTAAGGAATGAATCATAATCGATCCCCACCTTCCTGAGAACCAAAGAAAAACAATTTTTGAAATGAAACACACTTATATGAAGAAATTGCAAATGGAAACGTTACATCAAACCGCATTTTTTTGGCAATCACATTTTAATGGCAGACATATTTAATATCTCCATCACTCATCTATAAAAATTAACTGTGATATTAAGATCACACCATACACATTAGCATCAACAATTTTGAAAACATACAGATCCATATCCAACGATGGAAATTTTGACAGCTGAAAATCAAATTGTTCATAAAAACCCCAGAAGAAATGGAGAACAGATCCAGGTAATTATACAACGATCCGAAAACCCATAAATAATGCGATGCTTCTCGAGATCAAGAGAAACTGGTTACCTAGAAGGCGAGAAGATCTTCGGAGAAGAAGAGAAAAGAAGTCACGGGGACTGTTGGCGATGAAAACCTGACTGCGCTGACCGATTGAAGGTTTTATCCGGTTTTCCCGGTTTTATGTTTAATACAGACCGGATACCGGACATGGCTACGATTAGACCGATCAAAACCTATATTCCACAAATACCACTACATATCAACCTTTAACTCTCCTAAATCCGTAGCAATCTGACCGATTGGGAGTTCTTTACCGGGTTAATAATCCGGTTTTGAAGGATACATGAGAGTGGTTACGTTCGGTTGATCCGGTTTGGTGTTAAACAAAGACCGGATAGCTGACATTTAAAAGGATCATTGTACCGGATTAAGCAATCCCACACCGAAACAAAAACCATAACATACTTCAGATGTCTGAAGTTACAAACTGAAACCAACAAACATTCTAGCGTTTAAAAAGAAAAAAAAAAAACCAAAATCAAAGTTACCAAACCAAAAGCTATAAACCAGAGATCTTGTAAGTAAGCAACTACTTATAGTTTCCCACTTCTACAATGAAACACCGACAAAAAAAAACTATAACAACAACATAAGAGCATCACGCTCGTTTCAGTTAACCTTTCTTTCCTTCACCTGTTTTCCCCAAACACCTACACAAAATCTTGCAACAATCCTCACCATTTTTTTTACCGTATGAGGTTTCTATATGCGTATGTATGCATAACAATGGCCTGTCTATAAAACTCCCAAGATTCACTTGCTTCCGTAATAGCTTCTTGCCCGAAAGGGTTCTTCTTGATGAAATCTTGAACGTTTTCAGCTTCTACTAACTTCTCTAGATGAAGTCTCAAATCACCACCATCACCTGTATATAAGAGGAAGGAATTTTCAAAATCTACACAACAACAAAAAAAATGCTGATTCATTGATTCACCAAATCTTTACCAAACCCCTAATAAACTAATAGAAAGCTGAATCAAAGCGATAAGAATAAGGGGAAAGGAAAGTTTACCTAAGGACGTGTCCGAGTTGTTCTTGTAACTGTATGAGTGTGGGAATATAGCTGTATATGGCTGTCAACAATTGAAATGGTTCATTCAAAAGACTTGTTGTGTATACATGAGGCAAAGAAGATGCAAAAGTAAAAGAAGCTTACTGGGTTGAGCAAAGCCTTGTAAGGAGAATCGTCCAATAAAACCGTGTTGGTTTCGTTGTAATCAAACTTTTTCCACGGAAGTCTTGGGTCGTGTTTCTCCCAGAGCTGGTTTAGTTCCTTGAACACCACAAATTTGAACTTGTTTTCAAGGGAACCAACAGTCGTCGTAGCACAATAAGACATGTCCTGTAACAACCAAAATAGATGGAAAATCAGACAACTCGTTTTGTATAAAGAAAAACAGGAGAGTGCATGGCAAGAACAACCTACCCAGCAAAACAACAGTTTACTCTTCATATCGCCAAGCAAGAACTCAGTGATTCTATCCACATTGTTCCTGTAAGTGAAATAAAAGTTAAAATCAAATTATACAAACGGATATGGAAAGTAAAAAAATCTGTAACTTCATATTGAGTAGTAATATCTTACCGCTTTCTGGAGGACCATATGCCAACTTCAAACTTGTCAAAGCAGAATTTCAGAAAATCTTCACAGAAAGGTCTCTTATAAACTGAAAGAAACAAAGAAAACAATTGCAGACAAATTAAGTCACTTTCAAATAGTATTGGTGATGGACTCACAAGTGACAATGAAACAAAAAAAAAGATCTTGGAAACTCACTTGCCCTTCTTCCAATATTAATGTCTGCCTTACGATCTGCCTCAATCGGACCTATATCTGCAAGCAACCCATTCAGATCAAGAACAAGAAGCTTTTTCCTTGGTACCGATGGATTTGACCGGCTCACTTCATTGATTCCACCAGAAGCAACACACAAATGCATCGCTGGAATTTCATATCTGCTTGTAACAGCCGATGTAACAGAAGCTTCATTATTCTTTCCCATCTCTAAAACTGGAAGCTTGTCTGTGTTAGCCTCGTCTGAGACAACAACGACTTCTTTCTCTTCAATCTCTAACTCCTGATTTTCTTTTGGGCCAATATCTTCTCTCTCTGCCCAGCTAAGTGCAGACACTTCCTCTATCTTCCTCTCATTGTTAGATTCAACTTGTTCAACGGAAGTAACTTTCTCTTCTTCAACGGCAGTTTCACAGACTTGGCCATTCTCGCTTCCATCATCAGTTGATGCAACGCGAGTCTCTTTGACAACCTCAACGTTTTGTAATTGTGACAACATTGGAATTGGAACGTTTTCCACGTTATCAACAATTCTCGCTTTCTTAACAACGGGCTCCTCCTCTGCAGGGTGTTCAATTGCTCTCATCCTCCGAGAAACTCAGAATTTGCATCACCAGCTACTTCAAATTAAGCTCTGGAGAAGAAAGTTGAACAAATACAAAGACAGAAAAAGTCAAGAACCAGCTGAAACAAATATATACAGAGATCGTATAAATAAAAACCACAACAAGCTTTTTACATAAACAATTTTGATCCATTAAAGAAATCTCCAACTCCAAACTACAATGACCGTTTTAACTAACAAAAGTATGAATCTTTGAAATCGCAATGTCATGTAAACGATGATCTGAAACAGTATCCATTAAACCAATCTATTAAATTACCTAGATTCACAAACACTGGTTTGAGGTTAGATGAATGAATGAATCTATCCAGAAGAACCGAGTCAATTACGTCGAATTCATCTTATTTACGACCAGACAATCAAATAATATGCACCAAAACAAGTAAATTCATAATTGAAAAGGCAAGCAGAAGAAATTGGGAGAGAGCGAATTCGAGAGTTGACCTTGTGGGAGAAGAAGCTGGGAGGGAAAAGGAGTTAGTGTTGTGAATATGATTAGATTGGAGGAGACAACAAGTTAAGGATCTCGAATCTGAGGAGATGAAACGACAGCTTCTCGATGCCGTTTGGTCTTCCCCATGGATGAGGGGAAAAGAGAATTATTCAGAGACAGAAAAGAGTTAAGTGGCTTAGACGTGCCCTTTGTGGGGCCCTTAGATTTCGTGTTGTCAGTTTCGGGTCGGGTCCTCGGGCCGGTCTGCACGGGTCGGTTAATTTAATCAACACACTAATCCCCCCCCCCCCCCTAATTACATTTCCACAGGCTCGATCCGTTACTATTTTATTTTCTTTATAACCAACAATTTGAGTATTTCCAAGACATTTTTAAATCAATCTTTCACTCTCTTTAATTAATTTTCCTAGACTGATACATTGTCATTTTACATTAATATAACTCAAATTTACATAAATTCAAATCTTTACTTGAACTAACAAATTTAAAAAGAGATAATTTATTCTACATTAACATGGTATTAACATCTGGTTGTCGTCAAAAAAAAAAACATTTGGTTTTATATGTGATCATTTTTTGTAGTGTTTCAGATCGGAGTATAGTTTCTGCCTCATTGTGACAGCTGAAAACTGGTCATGGTGGTGGATGACCGGAGAAGTTGTTTCTCCGGTGGAGGAGAGACATCTGTGACCACTGGCCATGGTCCATATTTTATACTAAAAAACTTTACTTATCATATGATTACATACATATTGCATTGCGAGAGACTTCACATGCTATGTGATGATGATAGCTTAGCATCTACATATCTTGACATAAATTTACTCATATGCCTCGGGATCTGATTCTTCTAACTTAGAATCACTTTTATATATTATTATATAGTGGTGGTCCAAACAAAATTTTGATCTTGTGATGATCATATTTTGAATAAAAGCGTGATTTATTAGTCCTTTAGTAATTCTTAATGAAGCTCAATGTGGAAGAGTGCTTTGTCTTTGTAAGTGGATAGCCACGAGAAAGTTACACTTGCCATATGAAAAAAAAAATAGTTTTTGAGTATGGATCTACCATTTCCGAAGAGGTAGAAGAAATCTCTTATGTAAAATGAAGTCTGTGGATATATTTGCACAAAAAAAAGTAGAATGAAGTTTGTGAGACTTGTTTTATGTCTAAATTTATAAATTATTTGTGACTTTTATTAAAACGATAATATGCAGGACAATAAAACACGGCGACCGGATTTCAAGTCTAAGATGATGACGACAAAAAAAGAGTCTAAGATGATGATTACAAATTTACAATTTTCTAGAAAAAAAATCAATAGTTTCTTCTAATTGTTCTCTATTGAAAAAAAATCAAAATTGAAAGAAAAATAAAGAAGTGATAAATAGAGAAGAAAACAAAGAGTGTAATTATAGATTTTTCGGCACTTTCCCATTTAGCATTGGTCCCTCCGTGGACTCACGGTTACAGACGCCGTAGAAAAGTTGCCAGCTTCTCCATTCCACTTTCTCGCCACCACTTTCACCTGAATCACCACGTCACCCTCCCTCTCTCTCACTAACTCCATAAAGCCCAAACCTTTTCTACTCTCTCTCTCTCTCTCTCTCTCTCTCTCTCTCAAGCTCGAGCCTTGTGATTCTCTTCATGGGAAATCTCTGTTCTTTGTTTGCTCCGCCGAAGCCCGTGAAGAAAAGACGACCCATCACGAAGCGACAATCTTCCGGAGCCGGGTCGGGTTCGGGTCCCAATAGCAACCGTTGGAACCGGGTCAGATCGTCTTCCTCTAGGAGGGACAACAAGTTCGAAGATGCCGTGATTCAGGAACACGCTCTTGCCGCTGCTGCCATTTTGTTCAGACAGCAGAACAATGGCGGCGGCGGAGGCGGCGGATCGCTGCCGTTTGATCGGTCCTCATCGCAACGGTATCCGGCTTCTGGTTCGAAGAAGAATCAGTTGCCTCGGAGCTCAAGCACGAGGTCAAGGTCCTCCACTGATCCTCTGTTACAGCCTCATCAGTTCCTTAACCAGGTTCCGACTTTGATTAGACTTCATTGGTTAAAGTTAAATCTTTCTTATTTTGTTCAACAGAAATTATCTCATTTTTTTCAATGAGCTCAGTGGTATTTGTAAAATTACTTTGTTCATCTGGCATTGAATAGAGAGACATTCTTTGTTTACCATATGTCAAAAATGTGATATTTAAATTTAGATAACCATTGATTAGTTTCCTTTCTTGGTATTAAATGATGAAACCGTCGAATTCTCGTATTCTGTAGTTTCTTTAATAGTTACAAAGCAATGCGAGTCTATTAAGCACAGTAGTAGAGTTTTGTTGTTAGAGTCTTGAACCTGGTGCCTCTATTTTTGTTTGTTTCAATAATTTTTTCATCGATTATGGAGAATGAGATTATTATATTCTGAAAAATAAAAGAGGAAGCCAATCTTGATATTGAAAGCGTTTTATCTTGATCTTGAGATTATGATTCCAAATTCTTGCCTTTTAGCCAAATCGCATTGTAGAACTTTAATCAGTCTCTTCATATGCTGTTCCCATAATTGTTGAACATTTTTCGCTGTCTGTGAAATAGGGTGTAATAAAGCTAGATGACTTAGAAACAAACCATTTTGTTCTCGTCCATGGAGGAGGTTTCGGCGCTTGGTGTTGGTACAAAACCATTGCGCTTCTCGAGGAAGATGGTTTCAAAGTTACCGCCATAGATTTAGCTGGTTGCGGTATTAACTCGTACAATATCAATGGCATAGCCAGTTTGTCTCAATATGTGAAGCCACTTACTGATATTCTTGAAAAGCTTCCCATAGGAGAGAAGGTTCTGTTTCTCTCTGTTTGCCTTTTTTTACTTCTATTTCCGTTTTCTTTCTTCTTCGAAATCTAGAAAACTTTTTTCTGTGAAAATTTTGCAGGTGATCTTGGTCGGTCACGATTTCGGTGGAGCATGTATATCTTATGCTATGGAACTCTTTCCTTCAAAGATCTCAAAATCGATTTTCCTCGCTGCAGCGATGTTAACTAATGGTCAAAGTACACTCGATATGTTCTCGCTGCAGGTTTGGCTTTCTCGCTTGATCTCTTCTCCTGTTCTGTGCCATGGATTGATTTCGATTATGTACACACTTTTTGCAGGCAGGTCAGAACGATTTGATGAGAAAAGCTCAGATTTTTATATACACAAATGGTAATGACCATCCTCCAACCGCCATTGACTTAGACAAAGCTCTTCTCAGAGACCTTTTGTTCAATCAAAGCCCTTCAAAGGACATTGCATTGGCTTCTGTATCAATGAGATCAATCCCATTTGCGCCGGTTCTTGAGAAACTATCTCTCTCGGATGCTAACTACGGATCAGTTAGACGGTACTACATAGAGACGCTAGAAGACAACGCCATACCAGTGACTCTCCAAGAAAACATGATCAATAGTAGTCCGCCGGAAAAAGTTTACCGGTTAAAAGGCGCTGACCATGCTCCGTTCTTCTCCAAGCCACAAGCTTTGCATAAACTTCTGTTTGAGATCGCCAGGATTAGCTCTACTTAAACCTCCTCTCACAGGTTTCTTCATCATCATATTCACTAACTCGTTGTTGTTGGCTCATCAAAAAAAAATCTCTTCCTTTTGTTTCATTTTGTGATTTTGTTTCTGTTTATTTGTTGTCTTTTTAAAGGTTATATTCTCTATTTCTTTCTTATTTGTTGTTCCGTTTTCATCAGAAATAAAATGTTTATATAGAAAATGGCTGTATTAATGACATAGGCTGCAAATGTGTTTTGTTTTAACCAGTGTTTAGTGACTTTCATAACTCCACTCCAAAAAAGAAAGCAGTGGACCTAAGATATGTTGTTATAATCAACCCCTGCAATAATGTGGAGGCATGCCACTATGTGTTGTATATATTTATAGATGGAAATCATTTCATCCTAATACAATCAAATGCTACATATAGTAATGGAAAAGAGAAAAGAAACTTATTTGTTATTGACAATGTTTTAACATCCACTATATGTTTGTATATTTATGGTTAAACACAACAATGTCTTAATACGTTATTTTATTTTAACAATACACGTTACAAACTTACAAGTGATTCCCAAACATCTCGGTTACGAGTACCCGAACTCATCCCAACGAGTAAATACTAAATACTACTATAGTTTACCGAAAAGATTAACGTTATAATAATACAATCAATTTGTTGCTTAATTGAATAATATATGTGTCTCTACTATGTAGTTGGAATCAATGGCCAACCGCAATAATTACACACCAACAAGAATGAATTGCCGACAGACGAAAACAAACAATAATTCATGGATTTTGATTAAAATAATGTGAGCATTAAAAAGATATAAGATGAGAGGAGAGGGGTATTCTTATCTTCTTCCTCCCATTCAACAAGTCCACATCTCCTAGCTTTATAGCTTTAGAGATGAACAAATCAGTTTTCTCCTTCTCCTTCTTCCTCTTCTTCACCGTCTCTCTTCTGCTTCTTATCCCGGCGGTTTCGGCAACCGTATCTGCAGGGAACGCCACGAGTGGGTTGAGATATGGCGGATGTGCTCCCGGAGATACCGTCGGGGAATGCATAACGGCGGCGGTTGAGGAGGAGGAGGAGGGAGTTGAGACGGTGCTGCGGCGGATTCTGCAACAGAGGAGGAAATTAAGCTACGGATCTCTTCAGAAGCAGCCGCCGTGTAATAGTAAGATCTACGGTAATTGCATCGGAACTGCGAATCGGAATCGCGCAACTTGCACTTACTATAACAAATGCAAACGTGCCACGGGCTAGTTTTTTTCGTTTTCTTCCTTCTTTCCTTTTTTTAATTGTATATGTTGTTTTAATTTTCTCTTTCTCTTAATTATATGTGTTTTGTTTAATCTTCTTGATGTAACAAGAAGAGAAAGTCGGTCGGTGGAAAATGCATAAAAACATTGCTTTATCTATAGAAAGTTGAATCCATGAAACTTCAATCTATGTAACAATTTAAAACATGTTTATTGTATATGTTTAGCAGTTGAAATCAAGTTGATTTGTTACATGTAATGTAAATATGTAACTGGCCTAACTCTTATGCAACAAACTGTTTTATATGTTTTATACTAGTACTAGTTAATTTTATACCTTCGAGTTGTACTTTGTTAAAGCTGAAAGATTTGTCTCATGTGAGATGGGGCGGGGGAAAAAATAAGTTTGCCAAACGAAAATGAAAGAAGTATAACAAAGAAAAAAAATATGAAATAGTTTTCGGCAAACATAATCTTCTAAGTAAATTTTTTTGCAAGTTTATCAAACTATTTGAAGTGTTTTTTTTGCAACGAGATTAGTCATTAGTGAAAGTATAAACAGAGTAATAGATTATACAGATGAAAATTACAACCTACTCGATTGACTTCTATTATGTAATTATAGGAAATTACATCAGATAAATAAAAATATGGATGGTTAGACGCTATTAGAACACAAAAGCACTATAATTATCCACATCGAAGTGTCAAGTGTGTGTGTTTAATAAGGGTTGGTTATCGTAGCTAAGGAAAACAAACCCGAAAATGATTTCCTCATTAAAACCCGAAAATGACCCATCATGCTTGGCCCAATTCATGAATGAAGAAAACCCATATTCAGAGTTAAAACAATATTTATGTAAACTATACATTTATCACAATATTCAACAAAGGAAAAGGAAAAAAGCACAAACCGACAAAGAAAATGACGCGGCTTGTTGACGAGGGAGTTCTATGACGAGAGGCGGTGATGCTACTCTCGGTGACAGACGAATGAAGACTTTGAAAAATTAGGGTTTCTAGATTCGGATGGACCCAAGGAATAGACAACAAACATGCCGGCGCTTTCTTGAAACAACTGTACTTTTGCCAATAGATTAGCAGCTGTAGTTGAAAGCTACTTACATGTTTTCCAAATTAAATTAAACATTTTCAAATAGGTTATGTCTTTGTTTTCGCTGTATTTTATTTGATTTATATGGTTCCTTTGGAATTTAGGCTTTGTTTACTAACCTTTTTGTAAGTTGACCCAAGAAAAAACGTACATTACAGATTCTGATAAAAAAAACAATATTTTCTTGTTTCGAGACACGTTTTGTTTTCATGTTCAGAATGTTCTTTTTATCTAACATTAAAATTTTAGTATCAGCAACAACAACAAAAACCACACCTTCACACATTATAATATTTTCTTTACTATTACATCATAAATGGATATTATAATCAAATGTTATCTTCCAAGTTAGTAGATTTTCTGGACTGCTTTATTAATGTAACTTGAAGGTTATTAAATGTAATGCTTCTTCAATATAATTTTTTTTTTCATTTGATAATATTAAAACTTCAAAGGATACAAGATGAAATATAAGGGAGATATGCATCTATTTCTATTGATTTCATAAATAAATGGAAATCCTAGAATATATACATATAAAATTGTAGCAACACATTTCTTGTGATGGTTTATCACATTTTTCCTTTTCTTTATAATTGTTATCTGTCTTTTTGTCAAGATTTATAACTATTATCTATAAATATATAGAAAACTTAAGCAAGTGAAAGACCGATTAAAACTAGGAACTTTTGGCTTTTTAGTTCTCCCAAGTCTTAAAGTTAAACTAAAGCCAGTTCTCCTCTCTCTCTCTCTCTTACTCTTTCTCACATCTCCGAGAAGTTTCCGCCGGCGGGAGATCAAGAAACGGTTGATCGAAAACTACAGATCGGAGAAATGGACATTTGCTTCTCCAGTTTCTCCGTTTTGTTTCTCTTTCTCCTTTCTTGGACCTGCTTAACCACAACAGGTTTGGCTCAATGCTCTGAACCAAAAGAAAAAGCTTTCTTTCTTTTTTAACACTTTCGGCTCCTTTGCATTCTGTGATAATTAGTGTTGATTTTGAGAAATCCCTTGAAAATTGAGTTTTTTTAAACAAAATATAACACAAAGAAACAGAGATAGGAATTGGCATTTTGGAACCTCCATCTCCGTGTAATGATGTTGATGACGGTGACGATGGTCAACTTGTTGAATGCTGCATAAGCTTTGATTTGTTCTGTTATCCTAACCAAAATTGATAAGGAAAAATTTGAACTTTTGTATGTTTATTTATGGGTTTGTCTCTGTTTCTGGTTATGAGCTCACCTATTTTTATATATCATCTCTCTTACACAGAAGCTTATGATGCTCTTGACCCAACTGGAAACATCACCATAAAATGGGATATCATGGGCTGGAATGCTGATGGCTATACTGTAAGAAATGTTATAACTTTCACCCCCTCAAAAAATACAATCTTTTGAGACTAAATAATCAAAAATATCTTGTTTCAATGTTTCTTCAATGCAGGCTACGGTATATATCTTCAATTTCCAACAATACCGTCACATTCAGTCCCCTGGGTGGCAATTGGGATGGAGTTGGAAGAAGAAGGAAGTGATATGGAACATGGTTGGTGCGCAAGCCACAGAACAAGGAGACTGTTCAAAGTTCAAAGGCACCATTCCTCATTGCTGCAAGAAAACCCCCACCGTCGTTGACTTGTTACCGGGAACTCCTTACAACAAACAGGTAGCCAACTGTTGCAGAGGCGGTGTGATTAGCTCGTGGGCGCAAGACCCCGCAACAGCTGTTTCTTCCTTTCAGATTACTGTTGGCCAGTCCGGAACGACTAATACGACGGTTCGAGCACCTAGGAACGTCACTTTGAAGGGTCCGGGACCCGGTTACACTTGCGGCCCTGCCAAAATTGTTCCACCGAGCAAATTCATGACCGATGATAAACGGAGAAAGACTCAGGCTTTGTGTAAGTTTTTAGGCTTTTTTGGTCTAATTAATGTTATCATTCTGAGTTTTCTTGCTTATGATAACACATCTTCTTGTTTGTTGATTTAGTGACATGGAACATCACGTGCACATACTCGCAGTTTCTAGCCAGTAAAACTCCAACTTGTTGCGTTTCACTCTCGTCCTTCTACAATCAGACTATAGTACCATGCCCAACGTGTTCTTGTGGATGTCAAAACAATTCTCAAGCTGGTACATGTGTTGATAAGTGAGTCCCCTGTTTCTCTTACACAAACTCCATCTTGGTTTTGTTTGTTTTATTTTGTCTTTTCTGAATCGTTTCTTGTAAACAGTCCGAAAATAGCATCGGTAATACCGACCGGGAAGAACAACCTCGAGCCGCTCTTGCAATGTACACAACATATGTGTCCCATCAGAGTTCATTGGCATGTAAAAACTAACTACAAAGAGTACTGGCGAGTGAAGGTCACAATCACAAACTTCAACTACAACATGAACTACTCGCAGTGGAATCTGGTCGCTCAGCATCCCAACTTCGACAATGTCACTCAGCTTTTCAGCTTTAACTACAAACCGCTTAGTCTTTACGCCGGCATAAGTAAGTCCATTAAAGCTCTTTCTTTCCCCCATTTCTTTCCCTTGTTTCATATGCATAATTTCATGTTTTACATTGCAGATGACACGGCCATGCTCTGGGGAATCAAGTTCTACAACGATTTTTTGAGCCAAGCCGGTCCAATAGGCAATGTACAGTCAGAAATTCTATTCCGAAAGAACCCTTCAAAGTTCACATTGGAGAAAGGATGGGCGTTTCCAAGACGCATTTACTTCAACGGCGATAACTGCGTTATGCCATCTCCAGACTTATATCCATGGCTTCCTAATGCTACTCCAAATCTTGCAACAACTTCGCCGTTCCTCGTACTTGTCATCATCACTCTCTTTTCTTTTTTGATTCTTGTGTAAAGGGATCACCTCCACAAAAAAACGCGGTTTTGACCAAGCTGATACATCTGATTAGTAGTAACTGTCGTGGAGACGTGTTTGGTGACGTTACGTCCCAACGTGTGTTAATGTGAAGCTACCTCCCCTATATGGGCTAATTGTAATGCTAAAAATTATTCTTTGTACCTTGAAACTTCTGGAGGGATAAGCCCATTTATGACTAAAACAATCCAAATTATATTATTAGTGGGCCAAAACGTTGATCTACAATTTGCGATTAGTTGTAGAAAGTAGAAACCAACTAAATATTATCACATGTAGGACACTTTTCTTGACTTCTCTTTTTTAATTTTTTGATACAAACGAGATAGATTTGATGTAACTTAGTGTTGTTCAGGTTTGGTCAAGTTGTGATGGGATTCGCACCTTTGACTATCTCCATTTATTTTCTTTGTTTTATATTATCATGAGTTAATAGAATTTCAAAGCTAAATAAAAGATTAATTGACCTAGTCAAAAATTTCGAATACAAATGAAAGGTCATCAACAAAACAGAGAAAAGTCTCTGAAATCACCCACAGATTTGGGATAATTTGGTAAAAAAATGTTAAAAATTAATAGATAAATTATGCTGTTTTTATTTCAAACCAAGCTACTTAAGATAATTTTTTGTAGGTATCGACAAAAAAAGTAGGTTATTTACTATATATAGTTTACGTTGTATGTATCTATTTTCTTTAGTATAGATTTCTTACTATATTAAGCAGCTTCGAGTAAGAAGAAAATATAAAACATTTGTGTTTAAATAGTTTGATTTCTTAATTAGTAAATACTTCAAACAATTATTAATATAACAAACTGAACCAATAAACATAATTAACAAGATCAGCCCACAGGAAGAAAGTCCCTAGGTTTTGAATTTTAATTTCCAGGGCATGGACTTCTGTATTCATACGTCAAAGCTCTATACTATATATACGTATTGATTCTCATTTCTCACACATAACAATTTTTTAAAGAGATACAAAAAACGTTGACAGTAGAACAAGTTCGTATTGATTGTTATCCTGATTCCTGAAGATTATATTATAAAGAGAAGAAAGGATCAATAAAAATGGGACGTTGGGTGAGACCTGAGGTAAGGAAAAAGTATTACAAATGATATGATTCAAGTGATTTCTATTCGAAATTTAAATGATTTGTATATCTATCATATGATTCGTACCAACAAAATAGAATCAAATAGTTATATATTTGGGTTAATGATGTACCATTTATTTAAATTTAATAAAAAAAAATTTTAGGTGTACCCTCTTCTTGGAGCAATGGGGTTTGTTACTTCTATGGTTGTGTTTCAACTCACAAGGAATGCATTGTTAAACCCTGAGTGCAGGTTAGTCTTCATCTAATCTATTCTGATACTTTTTTTGTTTAGTTTCTTTTGTTTTATAGTTTTAGAAAGATATAAACTAAAACCTAACGTATGTCATGACTCATGTAATATGCATAATTGCATTGTTTTTAAAAGAATTGAGTCAGTTATTAAATTAGCTACTCGTTGACAAAAAAAAAAATAGCTAGTCGTTATATATAGGTGGTCAATAGTAGTTTTTAATCATATTATAATTCTAATAATATCATAGCTTATTACTGATGTTCTTTTATTTTATAAAAACATTTGGTAGGATAAACAAAGCGAATAGAAAATTGGGAATTCTGGAAAATGAAGACGAAGGAGAAAAATATGCACAACACAATCTTCGCAAGTATTTGAGGACACGTCAGCCTCAAGTGATGCCTTCTCTCAACCGTTTCTTCTCTCAAGAAGACAACTAAATGATAAATAATGTTAGGTTAATAATTAAACATATTGGATTTTGTTTGGAGCGATGCTTTGATTTGTATTGTGTGATAGTTTCAGATCCTCGTTTTCTTATAAATAATAAAAAAAGTTGAAGCATGCATGTCTTAATTAACAATTACATCCTAGTTTGAGATATTTTGAATCAAATAACTGTCCAGTGAAAGAACTGAACTTTGTGCATGCTAATCATCATGAATTCGTTTTACAAATTGACTTCTGATTTATACTGCAAAAAAATCCTTTTTTAATAACGGAAAGAAAATACAATTAGAATCTATAATCGAGTTTGTTGGTGCTGTAAAAAAGAATGAAATATTGATTACCAAACTTCTCTCGCAAATCTCTTTGCATACTGACACTCTAGATAAAAAGGCTTTGCGACTAGACATTTCAAGATATTTTATTATTAAATCAATTTTGAAACAATGACTGTAAAAAAAATATGTATACAAGAAGAAGACATAATCAGTCACACTTATAAAAAACCTAACTTGGACTAAAAGATTTCCATCTGTTAAGTTTCACATCTGTGCAAAATCTCCAGCGCGAGCGAGTGTATGACACAGCTGAGAAAAGAAGTATTTAGGGCTCATGAAGCTCTTAGAAGAGTCTCCCAATGACCGTACTTGGAGCTGAAAGTTCCTCCACCGTGCCTATCTGCATACTCAGCCATTGTCGCTCTCGCACAAGCATCCCAAGCTTGAGCTATCTCTTTAAGTGACATCGGTGCTGAAAACTCCTTCATGGACAAACTGAACCTCGATCTGGCTCTCGCTGATAGATCCTCATGCTCGTGTACACTGAGACACGAGGGAAATAAATCCGTAAGATCAAACATGTTTAGTTCCCTCTTATGATCATTTTCTACCAAAAAAGTTTCATCATACCTAGGCTCAAAGGGGATTTTCTCCTGAAGAAAAATCGGGGAGTTTGGGTAATCCGCAGGAACTAGTAAGCGTAACGGCTGAATCTGCGACTGCATCAAAACATGGGGAGACATAAATAGCTGAGCGCAAAGGGCAGAGAAGAAGAAGAAGTTTAAGAGAGACTTACGATTTGTCCTGACTTGTAATGAGCTTCGAATGTGGCACTGAGAGCCACAGGGGAATAAGAACACGTGACGATTGTTCCTGAAGTAACTTCACTTGGATAAACATCTTCATTGCGTATATTCACCACTGTCTCCACAAGTCTCCCATTGGTTTCTTTGATTTCTTGCAGGAGGGCAAAACCAGGCTGCAAGAATTGAAAGAAACGGGCCTTAGTTTTCGATATTTGCATTTGCTTTTGTTTGTTCGATCAGTTAAAACGAATTTTACAGGGTCAAGATGTTTTACCTCAACCTTGTTAACTTTCGAGCCAGATGATGCGGTGGAATCAACTTCAGATTCAAGGCTACTGAACTGTTTATAGCTATCGTTTTGTGATGCGATGTCTAGAGGCAGAGCGCATATTGAGCGCTTAAGTCTCTTGGTCGGATTTGCTTCTCCTTGCTGCAGACGGAACTGTGTCCTCGCACTCAGATCCTCGGCTACACCGGCTCTAGACCCTCCAATGGAGTGTACCGATCCCGAAAGCATGTCAGACAAACTGATGACCGAGCTCATCTCACTCAAAGATTGTGCCAATGATCTTTCTGACGATGATTGAAACTATAAAGCCACACATATTAAAAGTTTGATCAGTAAAACTGTACAAGATGTAGAAACTAAACTTGAATCAGATTATGTTTTCTTCACTCACCGCTTTGATCAGACGATCAATAGGCCGCTCTGTGATTGGCTGAGGAGGTACAGTAAACGGAGGACGCTCCTCAACTGCTGTTTGGAATTGGCAAGAACGCGAAACGGGAGACTCAACGGCTATAGGTTTCTCAGGATCGCCGTGAACCGGAGACGACGGAGCAAAGGAAGTCACAGGGGAAGGCGTAACAAAAGGCGAGCCACCGTACAGTGATGTGGTTCCGTTTCTGCTAACGGTTGCAGGAGAAGAGTTAGACATACAACCCGGAGAAGCCATTGGCTTTGTAAGCTGACTCGACGAGAGATGCTGCTGAAGCAAACCGGCTTTAACGTTGATCCCCTGCTTAATCCTCGCATCATTCGTCTCATTTGTTTGAATCTGCTGATTCGGTTGTTCCAACTGTTGTTGATGCTGCTTCCTTTTCAGTAGCTGTGGTTGCACCTGGCGTGGCTGCTGCTGCTGAGACAGACTAGACTGAATCGAACTGATGTTTAAGTGTACGGTCTGTGGATGACTTGCAGGGTTCTGTTTAAGAGAAGGTAACACCACATTCTCATCTCTAGTTTCCATCTTAGGCATTGTCTGCAACGAATGTGGCATTGCCGTCTGTGATGTCGTGAGGCCGGATAATGAAGACGAGGCCACGTTTTGGTGGTGACTTGGCATCAACCGTGAGTGCATTTGATCGTTGTCAAGAGACTGCGAGACATGGACTTGACCATTTTGGGATTGTAATTGCCCTTGTTGCTGCTGCGTTGTTGGCCTTTGAGTCCCGGTCCTCCTGGTCAACCTCAAAACATGTTCCTCGAACATACTAAACCTATCTCTGTGTTTCTCTGTTATACCGTTCCTACGAACATTCAAGAACACAATAAGTTGTTCCAGCGTTGATTTGACCCCCCTTAGCTTTTCAGTCGGCTCACCTTGCATCATTTCTCGAGGAAGAGAATCAATCTGGAGACAATTGGTTTTTATTTTATTTTTGTTAAAACAAGATATATCAGATCAAACTCTTGTCCAGGGAACGAAACAGTTAGGTTATGTTTCAAGTACCTGCCGCAATTTCTCTGTAACTTTTTGGAGCATTGTACACAGAAGAGCTATATGCGTCTCCTTCAGTGCTTTTATCTGTAGGCAAATGATGAAAAGTTTTTGAACTTAATAAAATACAATTGAAGGGTTTTAAAATTTGAGATTTACATAGTATTTAAATCATAGTTTTCATGTCTAAGATGTTTCAATATGTGAATAATAACAAGGCGAGCAAAGATACCTTCTGATAAGTCTCCTCCTGCCAGTCCCCACCACTGACATTTACCGTCTTGCCTGTAGAATCTTGAGATGCTACAAAACAATATTGGAAATTAAATCACAGATACTGAAATATGATGCACAACAATGTATTGATTACTATGAGTAAATGCAAAAATAACATAAGAAAACATTAGTATTCAAGAATTGGTAAGATAGGAAACATACTAGATGGATTTGCCGGAGCGGTTCTCTGTAATTGATATGGCTGATTCTGTTGGTCTGCTACGTTTTGGGTTTGGCGCAAAGAACCTGCCGCTTGAAACCTTTGTGTCTCATCTAAACGTTGCTGTAAGATTCTATTCTGAGGCTGCGGCTGCTGCTGCTGCACGGGGTGTTGCGTTTGGTACTGTTGTAGCATCATTGGTTGAGATTGTCCCACCTCTTGGCCTTGAGTACCCAACAAACTTGATCCAGGAACATTAAAGTTACCAATATTTTGCTGCTGTTGTGAGGGCAAGGCCGAACTGTGAGAAACAAAGCGTTGTTCTTGGTGCATATTCTGGAGGTTGTTACTCTGTTGTGGCATTGCTGCTTGAAAGCTAGAAATCTGGGACGAGGATACCCTAAAAGCTCCTTGTTGCTGCTCTCCGTTGTTTTGCCGTGGTCTTACATGATTCTGCTGCGTGTCTTGAATATTCATCAGTTGAGTAATGAGATGCTGCTGTTTCTGTTCCTGGGACGGTACAGCCATCTGCTGTTGATGACTAGGATGGACCCGCTGTGTCGGGTACTGATGTCTTGGCAGGAACTGAGAGTTTTGTTGGCCTGATGATGGTAGAGTAGAGAGAGCAGAAGATTGAGGAAAGGACTGCTGAATACTAGCAAATGATGTCTGATGAATAGGTTGTTTTAACAGACTTTGCTGCTGCTGCTGCGGCGGAGGCTGAGCCTGTTGCTGCATGTACGGAGGTCGCAGATTCCCATGACGGATGCTTTCTTTCGGAAGATGTTGCTCCACTTGGTTCTGGAACATGTAGCTGGAACCCTGTGGCAACTGTTGCTGCTGAGGAAGATGATGTTGCCTTCCTTGAATCTGTCGTTGAGAACCGGGAACAAGATTCGAATGAGCTCCTTCACCCATTTGAATGTTTGCGTTCTGAGCCGCGGCAAAGGTTGTAGGGACCTGAGTTGGGAAACTAGAAGTGCTCTGCATCTTTTGAGGTAAAACTTGTTGGCTTGTTTGAGTATGAGTATATGGCAACGAGGTGGGAAGTGACTGGCCTTGATTCAGAACTTGAGCTGCTGTTCAGATAAATGCATAGAAAGAAAAAAAAAAGTATTAAGTGATTTGTTTGTAAGCTTAAAAACTGTATAAACAGATAACAAGACAAAAGTGTTGTACTAGTCCAAAGCTCAAGGTCTTGTTACCTGGACCTGAAGTATCGGTTCCATTGACTGCTAAAGAACGAGACTGGAGATTATTAGATTGCGCCTTTCGGATTTTTTCCTCAGTCATTTTAAGCGTCTTTGCGATCTTGATAATGTAATCATCCTGAGACATGGGGATTAGAGGCAAAAGAAAATGAATCAGCAAGTATCTTCACAAGGCTTTAGTTCTTTTCAACTCCAGTTTCTGAAGGTAGATAGATAGATAAAACCATTTGTATTAGAGTGTACCTTATTTGCTGCCATGCGATAGTTATCGTCCTCGAATTTTACAGCTGTTTTGTTAATCTCAGTTTGACCATGGTTAGGAAAAAATTCCTTCAACTTTTCCACTCTGCACATACATGATAACAAAACATCAGTACCGAATCGATATAGATTAAGGAACAAAGATAATGATATATCACTAATAATGGTGGTGCAAAGGATCTGGCAAAACTAGAAAGCGCAAAAGGTTGAAGTTAGGTTTTGTTACTTCAGTAATGGAATTATATAATAAACTCTTTTTATGCACAACTCTTATGCTTTAACTGTTGCAGAGTTAACTGGTGTAATGTAGGAATCATTAATGCTAACAACAAGATCACAGCGAAAGCATGACTTTTTTTTTAATATATATATTCAAACCTTTCTCTCTTTTAATCAATAATCAAATTAAGAACAATGGATCCACAGAAGAAAACACGACAACACAAATAAAAACTGGCTTACATTACGAAAAGACTCTGTTTCCGAAGATTAGGTTGATGCTGTGATCTCCAATCATTAGTAGCATTACTAGCAATTGAGTCTCCGCCTTGTTCGTTAGGCTTCCGATTAGAATTTCCCTCCATTAAAAGTTTTAAATATCTATGACAACAACATGTAGCATCACTTTAGTATCGATAGATCAGAGATATCGAAAACAAGTTTCATTTTGCAGTTGCTAACACTACGATTGACTAGTGATTCATACTTAACCCTTCATAACAATGCCAAAGACTGATCTTGCAGATTAAAACAAAAGAGAAACCATGCTTTTATAAAACCAAGATCATAGTCTTGTCTTAGTGAGAGACCTTAAAGCATAAATCAAACAACTTGTAAGTGTGTTTCTGTTAAGATTAGACTAGAGAACTAAACCAAACTCGAAACAGAGATGCTTTGATCACATTAACACACACAGGACAAAAATACAACAAATCACATGCATAATATGATCAACTTAAGATGAGAACAGTACCTGAATAATAGGTCGCAATCCTCAAAAAGCTCTGTTTCCGATTTCGACACTCTCGTTCTATGTGCATTCAACACATCAAAAGCAAATAAATTTCAAAACTTTATAGGGAAAGAAAACAAACCCATGTTTTGTTTCCAGATACAGAGGTGAGATGATCAAGCAAAAGCCAGAATCCGGAAAACAAACACAAAATTTGAAAAAAGGAGAAGAAACCCACGAGACCGGAGGAGATCGCAGAAGGTGGAGGATCGAGAAACTGAGGAAAACGAATCGAGAATAAATAAAAAATTGAGAAAGATTCTAAGGAATTTTAGAGATTTAGAGAGAGAGAGAGAAGGGAAAACCTAAGGTTAGACGCAAAAGAGGAAAAGAGCGGAGAGATTGAAGAAGACTGACTCTACACACGTAGGAAGGAGATGATTTCCAAATATATAGTCTCTGCTTTTCTTATTATTCTAATCTTTTTTATTTCATTCAATCACCAAATTCGAATTTTGGGAATATCTATCAAGTACGACGTCTGTCAATAGACTCGGTCCGTTTTAGAAATAAATCTCTATATTTTTCTTATGTCTTTATTAAATTTGGATTTGGATTTTGACTGTGACAACTAAGCAAGAAGCAACCCAAACCAATCACAATTTTTTTACATGATAACTATTTTTTATATGTATTTTGGTAATAAATAGTTACGATAGTTTGAATAAGAATTAACATATATACAACACATGTCATGATGACATGTCGCGATAAGAATATATCATTCAAAACCAAAAAAATTGTTTAGTGGCTTTATATATGACATAAAGATAAGGTCGTTATGATAATATTGATCAACCAGTATGCATGCATGCTTGTAACATCAAAAGGAACAAAGTCTGTTTTTACAAAATAAATTATATGAAATCTTTTGGGCCGACATGATTCATATAATAACAGTTGCAGTTGAATAAACCACCATGTTGATATCTTCAATGAGGCTTGAATTTGATATATAGAAGCCCATATAGTGGAAAATGTAAATTCGATGATAAATTAATAAAAAAAAGCCCAAACAATTTAACATAGAAGCCCAGATAATTTTAAGACGAATAAATCTCGTACGTGGATATGGTATGTAGATTTAATTTGATGATTTAATTAATTTTAAGAGTATCTTAAAAAAAACAAATTAATTAATTCCTCCTTTTGTGAATTTTGGCAGCTAAAAAAACAAATAAACTCAAGCCTCTCCGTAAGCATAAAATAAATTATATAGTTAATCTTAGAATTAAAATAAAAAAGATATTAGGTATGTAAAAGTGTTTAAAGAGAAAATCTCAAGGACGACATAATGGAGACGATGAAAAAAAAGCCGGCTAGTGATCACATCAAGACATGTTGCTATCAGCCTACAGATCGTACCATAAGGACACAGAATTGATTTGGAATCCTTAAGCCCACGAGGGGGCAACGTGAATTTGGGGCTAACACTCTCACCTTTTTCCTTTTTTGTTCTCTTTATCATTCATTATTTACACCTATCCATTTCATTTACACATGCGTTGTTACATGAGAAGTTTATAGTGGTTTATATATTATACCAACTAACTAATATTTATCTTATTATGATCCGGTTCAATATCATTATGATTGCCAGTCCGAAGTTTGTAGGGTATTAAAAAATGCTATCATTGCTATTAGATCATTATTTGTGACTAATCACTATCTTCAAACATGCAAAATTTAATGCTATATCATGATGAACAAACATAATTAAATTTGTTAATTTTTTGTAATATTTTTGGTATGTTGCAGTCAAATGTAACCCCACATGAGAGTGTCGATGTGGGGAGGCAAAAAGCACATCACATGGTAATCCATTGGTGTGCATGAAGAGGTTGTCTTCGTATATGTGATTACTAAGTTTGAATTTATTCGGATTCATATAAATAAGTACGTGATACAGTATCTACTTAAGATATAACTAAGCCTAAACCTTCGAATGTGTCTTTGAACTTGTACGACCAGACGTTATAGTTAGAATGCGTTTTGTATGAGAACTTGCAGTGTACAATCGATCGTAAGAAGAAAGCAGTTTTATCGTAGCGAATCATTTTAAAGAAGTGTAACTCTTCTGATTTTTTTGTTTCCTCTGAATTTAATTTGATTAAACAGAGGGGAAATGGTATATGCGTGCACATTTTATCTTTTTAGCAATCATAAGTCATTTGCGTTAGATCGATCACTAGATCTTCAAGAATTAAAAGCATTAATCCTTAAACCATTCAAACTATATACCCAAATAAGTTGTAACTAGCAGACGACATCCATAATATAAAGCTAATAAACCTATACTGTAATGTATCTACCCCATGAACATGACTTGTCATATCAAAATAGATTTTCTATATTTCATACAAAAAAAAACAGAGGGTAATATGGATGTGAGCCTTAAAGAAAAAGGGGGCAATGCAACTAATTGACTCATCATTTCAGATTATTAATTTCCTCGTTTGATTGGAACATTGTTGATATGGATGAGAGCTAAGAGATGAGAGGATATCATATATTCGTATCCTTTCTAATAATACATGCACACTCATATAGAATATTTGAAATGGAAGCAAAGGGGAAGATGATGGAGAAAGAAACAACAGCCAAGACAACAAGCACTTGAATATGGAAAATAAAAAAATAAAACAAAAGAAAATGTAATGGGGACCTTCACACATGGGTGTTAGAAAGAGAAGTATATAGTGGAGCCAACCCCAAAGCTCATCTTAAGAATCTTTTCTAGCAAAATGTTGGTTGCAGCCTCATCTTTGCTACCTTTAAATTCTTCTTAATCTCAACCTATGATGTATTTTTGTTTTTCAATATTATGATTGTAATGCATCAGCCGTTTGCTGGTTGTTCCAGATATCGAATACCGTATAAATGTATGATTAACAATCAAGTTTGGGTAGTAGTTTTAAACAGACAAAAAGTTTGGGTAGTTGCAAAACATTGTGATGCATGAGCAGTGCATGTGACTTTGGTTGAATTTGGACCATATTGTTGTATTTGGTGCATCCATCAAATCCATGTTTTATTATATAGAAAATTAGAAATAATAAGAACCAAAAGTATTAAGAACTAGTAGCCTAGTAATATTATCAAATAAAATACGAACGTTGATCGTGTTAATACATTTTCTCTATTACAATATAAAACTTCAAATTTCTTTCCTTATTGGAATCAAGCAAGTAAATGTTGGTTTTTTAGTTTAAAACTATCCGTGTGAAAAAAACTAATAATATTGACGCTTTTAAATAAACCAAAAAGGAATGTGCTTATGAGCTTATCCGTAGCTTATAATATAATGTTATATTTTGTTATCATGCGAAAAAATCCATTACAGTTTCATTGTTGCCAGCTTGTTATACAGAAAATATAAATAAATAATAAAACAATAACATATATATATATATATAATTTATAAACTCAAATAATAATTTAATTAATATAATAATAATAATTGTAGTTGAAGCCCACAGATTCGTATGGCCCATTATTGTCCATGCAACGCAGCCACCACACGGATGGCTAAGCCTAATTCCAACATATAATTTGGTTTCCTTTAATAGACGGTATCGGCGTATCTTATAATTAAATTTTGGTATACGGACTATTATATTGGTAAGAACCATGTGTCACACTGTAGGATTAATGCTTAGCCATTCCACTAGGCTTGGACTTTTTCACTTGCAAAGAAATGTTGTGCCAATTTAGTCTTCAACTTTGCCTCGTAAAGGGATTCGTATCATTATTCATTATTAGTAATTCTTGCTTAGCCACGTAAAATATTCCTCCTATTTTCGAGTTTTTGACTGTAGGACTAGGACCTGTGGAGTCAAAGATTTTGATATGAATATTTAATGATTGGTTCGTGGGAATGTATCTGAAAATAAAACTACAAATATTCCTTCAAACTACCGAAGTAGATTTCCCGAATCATTTTTTTCGCATCAAACCAATATTAGAATCTTCGTCAATGATTTTCTTTCTTCATAAATTTGTGATAATTATTTGTTGTTACCATTAGTCATCTGCGCATTGCACCCTGACCGATTTGACATGCTTAGCCATCCTGATTTTCAATGTTCTCGAGCCTTGTAATTTTTCAGTCTATATAATTGACTTTATATAATTGGATATCAAATTTTCACATGAAAGCAAATTTTTTAAATTATAAAAATGAAGAATAGCATATTACATATGTCACAATAACATGCTTCTGTTCACACTTGCCTAGTTAGGATAAATTCTAAAATTGCAAATAAAGAATCTATCTAGCTTTAAACTAATGTATACAGTTTGTAGCTAGTAGCTACTAGTGCAGACGTGGCAACGAATGGATATCAAAATGTCTTTTTAAAAATGGAGATGAGTTTTTCAACAAAAAGGCTGATATAAGAGAAGATTTGTCAACAAATAAATAAAATATCCCAATACTTTTATTTCCAATTCAATTGATCTAAACATTATGATAAGAAATAAACTCTTTCGCAAAAAAAAATTGATAAGAAATAAACTGATACAGTAAGTGATAACTAGTATATTTAGGGCAGTCAGTTTTTTTATTGACAAAAACTAAACGCGATTTCAGTACAGATTTCACATGGCATAACGTGGAATCTAGGCTTAGTACTTTGCAAAATAAAATAGGTAATGGGCTACTCACTACTAGTGTTGGTAGTATTCAGAAGGATGACAAAAGGTAAAATAGAATCGAGCAGCAAATATGAAATGACACCTTTCTCTTTTTGACTTTTTGCCATTTAGTTCAGAAATGGCTAGACACTGCATTTATTGATCCTCGCATTTCAGTTCGACGTTTAGAATTGAGTTTCATCACTGATTATTTTCTAACTATAATGCAACTACTATAAAGAAAACGGGTTTACGGTTTTCTTCTTACGAAAAGATAGTAGACAATATGAAAAAAAAAACAAAAAAACAAACAAATACGAGTGTAAATGCAGACTGTTTTCCGACATTAGAATGTTACATTACCACTTACACACACACAAAAATGGTTACATTACCATTTGCTTTTTTCAAGGATTTAAATATATGCCAATACAAAAAAAAAGTTTTCATTGTTTCTCTTTTTTTTTACCAAGAAGGAGATTTCATTCTTATTTTTAGCCTAATAACCATAATAAAAAAAAGAATCAAAAATATAACTATATTATTCAAAAATTTAGCAAAGTAACTATAGTTCACAGAAAAAACTAAAAAAAAATTATTTTATTTTAGGTGGGAACGTATGTAAAAGATAATTTTGGCTTACTCTATCTTTATTTTTAACTATTTCACATATTTTTTTGCTAACGTCATCAATTTCGTTTAAATTTATATCAATTAAAAAACTTTTTTTATATATATCGTT